GAATAGTGAATACTGATTATTCCATTGCGGTTCCAATGCGGGCGTCTCAACAATCTCCGTTAAAATTGTAGCTCTTTTATCATTCTCATTCAAGTTATTCGCGTTTGTTTGGTTTTCAATACTCATGAGCGACAAATCTGACATTTGCCATGTAGCGGCGGAGGGCAGAGTTAGTCGCAGACAGACGCCTGGCCGCGGACAGACGCGGCTCGCTGCTGAAAAACATCGACGGGCCTGCCATCTACCGGGCGCCGTCTCCGCGCTGTGATCGGCTATATTTCTTTCGGGACGCGTAAATGGCGAAAGTTTATTGGTCTCACCGGGGCTATTGAAGATGCTCTTTGTCACGGTATCATTCGTTTTTATAAAAGTGCTTTGTGTGCGCCGTATCGAAGGATAATATCGGTAGGCCGAAGGTAGAGCTTCAAATCCTACCGATAGATGGCGCAAACTACAGTTGGTAAAATCGGGACCTGTTTTTCACGAATGGCTGGTGCATGTTTGGAGCTAAGGCAAAAGCGTGCATAGCGTAGAGTGGCCAACTATGTCACGATGATATCTAGACTGATTACAGTGTCGTACGTTGGTCGTGCTCACTACAGGGCGCCGCAGAGCGTCGAACGGAGAGAGGAACTCCTCACCCGGTTATAAATATAATCTGAGATTCTCGTTCCGAAAGTCATCAAATCCACGCCAAATTGTTGTGGAACAAGCGGCTGCGCCACTTGCTTTGCTGCGTGGTAGGAAAAAATTGTGGCACTAACCAATTTGCTTTCGAATGGTGTTCGTTTCAAATCGATGTGTTGGCTAGAAGCATAGATATGGACGGAAATGTGAAGATAATGAAAAAAGAGCTGTTCTGGGGGCTTTGTTGGATGAAATTTGGCTGATACGGGGTCAAGATGGGCCAAAGGGGTCAGCCCCGGTCACTTTGGGTCAGGCCAGGTCACATAGGCCACCTCTCGTCCGATGGGATCAGCCCGGGCCACTGTTCTACTTTTGCCTCCACCACTACCCCTACCCCTACCCCCTACCCCTACCCCTACCCCTACCCCTACCACTACATCTACCACTACCACTACCCCTACCACTACATCTACCACTACCCCTACCCCTACCACTACTGCTACCCATACTCCTACCCCTACCACTACCCCTACCACTACCCCTACTACTACCCCTACTACTACCCCTACTACTACCCCTACCCTACTACTACCCCTACCCCTACTACTACCCCTACCCCTACTACTACCCCTACCCCTACCACTACCCCTACCACTACCCCTACCACTACCACTACCCCTACCCCTACCCCTACCTCCTACCACTACCACGACCCCTATCACTACCACTACCATTACCTACCACTGGGTCATGTCAGGTCACAGGATCCGGCAATAAGTATTACAAAAAAATCAGATTTTAAAAGAGCTTCTAGCCCTGCTCCAATTCTTGCTATTACATAACTCTTAATCGTATTTGTCGGAAATGGCGCTTTGTGGCATATGTGGCGCATTGCGACAAACGCGGCGCATTTTCACCCGGCGATTGAGCATGCACCTTGGCACCAAATTGTACCCTTATCGGGCCATATTTGACAAAACTGTGCGAGCTGCGGCAAAAATGGCGCCCTGTGACCAATGTGACGCATTGCGGCAAACGCGGTTCATTTGTACAATCTTATCACAAACTGTACCCATTTAGCAACAATCAACACATTTTTTCGCCACCATTTATCAAAATCAATAATTTCACCATCCTTCAATGCGAGGCACCCGCCACCGATCGGCATGCATTTAGTCCACAAAGTTTGTCGACCCCGGCTCTCAATGAAGATGTACGAACCGATCAAAATTTCATTGGCGTTCTTCCAGCGCGCCCCACGCGCGAACCGTGCACCTCAGCGAGTCGGAACCTAGAAAAGGCGCTGACCCGCTCTGTCACCTATAAGGTGTGCAAATTTCAACCCCCTACGATATACCGTCTGCCCTGTAGGCCGGCTAAATTGAACCCACTACACGGCGTGGCGGACAGACAAACAAACAAACAGATGGATCCTGTTCAAATAGTAAGATAGATTTACCTACACATGATATCTTTCGTTTATTTTGAACTGAAATGGCGTGATATTCCGCGATGGACATGCCATCGTCGTCGCAGTTTATAAAAATGACCGCAGCTCTGCCCGTCGTTTGACCGGAGGGCTCTCGCTATACCAAGTTGGGTTTGTTCGCTACAGGCAGCTGCAAAAAATAGTCCGCCCTTGGTCGCTGGTCCGTATAGCAGAAAGTTTTGCAGTCGATCGTAGAGCTGGAACCATCGTTTTCATCTGGCCGTATCTCTGATATGGACCTCGCGTCCCAGGCGCGACTGCCCCAGATAGGTCACCGGGCTTCCTCTTCGCACTATTTCCGCCTCTGTGGACCGTCGGAGGGGGGGGGGGGCTCCGGAACAATATCCGTCGCCCAAACAGCCGTCAGCAGTGACACGGAGCAGGGCGGACGGAACGCACCGACACCGCACACAGCGCGCCGAACGAGAGGTGCGCACAAACCGTAAACAGATTACAGCACCCGGCCCGTCGCCGGCTGCGGGCGGCTGCTGGGCGAGGGCACTCTGCGGCTGTAAGTGCAGCGTCGGAGGGATGGTGGACACCTGGCTGGCGCCGAGACTGTGAGGCTCCCCGGACTGAATCGGGTGAGCGGCCCGCCCCGGGGGTGGTCATGCACCCCGTGATTCCCCCCCCCCCTGGCACGTGCCTTCGCTCGGCCCCTTGTGACGTCACGGAGGGGAGGCGAGCAGACCGTGAAGGCACGCCGGACGCTGCCGCCTGACGCCGGAGGGCATGCAGGGCTCCAGGAACCACACAGTGCGGTACAGGGGTGAAGGGCATACACCGTGTCCAACACCTCGTGATAGCATACACAAAGGCAGGTAGGCGTCGACTAGCCAGAATCATCGCCAGGTGGCGCATATATCCTGACTAACTGGCCCCAGTGACAATGGGTAGCGGCATCAACAATGGGGAGCGGTTGCTAGAAATTCTCGGCCGAGTGTTATTTGTTTCGAGAACGAGACCGCTGATATGATGAGAATGTGGTTTACAGCGTTCCTTTATTCGTGGCCGCCCGTTTAGATCTCCCGGTGAGGTGTCCGACACAGTTCGGCGAAAGTGGAATTACTGTCATAAAACAAAATTTAATTGTCTGGTTGTCAGCATGCGCTATATGCGTCGGCCATTTTTATTTCATTATTTTTTGTACTTTGTGTATGGGCGTGGATGCTATCAATGACTGAATTTTACGTCCCGATGGCTGCTAACGTCACGAATAAATGCGCTTACAATTTCATATCAACCTATCATCTTGTGTTATCAACGTGTAACAAGCGCACTTCTTCACTCACTTTTGCACAAAGTTCTCCCGCTGGCAGGCATACCATTTTAGGTACAATACGCGATACGTTCGTTCATACATTAGCCGACGTATAGTTTTGCGTGCTATGAGTGACGCAATGTGATAGAGATATTGTGAACAATCTTTGAATGGATCTTACCGCTATTTTCTTTGATGTATTTTGTGCAGCCCAGCGGTTATGTATGACAAATGACCTTGCAATAAATCACACGGTGCGATAATATATTCCAACATCATCTGTGCCCATTGAGTATTTGACAAGGCACGCAGCATTTATTATGGTCCTGGCTGATGATCGACCTATTTTCGTATCTCCAAAAACCGCTAAATCGTAATTACACTGCAGTTAGGTATAATGTAGTTTTGGATCTGTAATATCCCACTATGAAAGAAAAGAATCTCTTTTGGATGTATAGTAACTAGACACTAGTATCGCTTGCTAACTTGATGTGCTAAAATCCCTAGTCTATCTCGCAATGTCGGCATCTAACGGACGCTATTTGCAGGACTGCTAAAGCAGATACAGCAAAGAAAAGGTCGTAGTTCACATAAGTTTTCGGACACGCCTGGGCTACAGTGCCAATTAACAAGCTCAGATCGAAATCGGCAAAACGTGACGAGATACACACCGATTACGTCTCTGCACTGTCACCATTTCCGGGCCTCGCTGTTTTTCAGAATGTGGTGTCTATTATGACTTATCTTATAGCTGCAGCTGAAAATGTGATACATATGATTAACATCCCAAGCGTTGCACCAAATGAACGTCTGATCTAGACGTCTGATCTAGATCTATACCGACTGGCCCACATCTACGCTAGGGGTAAGGTAGGGCTGGCCTACGAGCCGCATCTAAAAATGGAACCTGCGCTGCCGCGATCAGGTTATTTCACAGCCCGCATCCCCCGTTCGGTGCCACATGGGCCATTTTTCAAACGCCCCCAGCCCGCTCGGACGGCGTGACGTGGCCTACCAAACAGATTGGTGCTCATACCGGGCAGATTGAGACGCTAAAAATATTATTTATTTCGCAGAAATAACGAATAAAACGCGTTTAGTGTCCTGCTGGTGGTTTATGCGAGTGCTGGTGATGGCTAGTAGTTTATTCAAGCATGTCATAATTTTTAAATGATTTATTGGTGCGGTTGAATTATCAAATAGTTTTGATTATAAACAGCCAGTTGCATCTCAAATAGCGCTCGACAATGACCGGAGCTTGAACGTGATTTGTCGAGTCAATGTTCTGCGTTGTGAGAATACCAGGCCACCTAATAGTGATGCTGTCAGCACAACGTCTGCCTGCCTGACGTCTGATTCTGTCCGGCCAAGGTGCTGTCTGGGTTGTCCCGTCTGCCCACTATCTGATTGTCTTGTTTTACCAACGGTTATCTGACGCTGTCGTGTCTGGACGGTTCTTGATTGTCCTTTCCCTCAACCTGTGTCCAGCGTTTGATTCTGTCCCATCTCTCCTCTCCATAAATTTAGCTGGTTTTTGGTCTGTCCTGCACCAATCCGGTATCTGACTCTCCCCACCCCCGGCGTCTGCCCGATTCTGTCTGACTGCCCTGCCCCCTCCCTCAGGTGGCCGATGTTTGGGCTGCCCGGTGCTCACCCTGCCGGACCCGTCGGTCACACCGGACCCGTGCTGGGTGTCGGACGACGAGTACCGACAGCTGGTCATCTACCTGACCTCGGTACCCGTGCTGGAGGAGGCCGACCAGGGCTTCATACTGGTCATCGACCGGCGACAGGACCGATGGAGCTCCGTCAAGGCCGCACTGCTGCACATAGCCGTGAGTACTTAGCCCGCGCAGATGTCTTATGTCCGGCGTCCGGCCGTGTCCTATAACGCACTGCCGTGAGTGAGTAACCCGTGCGCGCTCTGTTTTCGGCACACATACTGCTGTGAGTACCCTTGCCGGCGGCATACGTCCCGTATTCGACGTGCTGCTGTGAGCTACACACACACTCGACAGATGTCCTGTGTCCAACGTACTTCCGTACACCGCTGTGAGCGCGCGCTGCACCCTGCAGATATATTGAACAGGCGGTGAGAGGACACATACTGGGGCACCGAGCGGAGAATGCTAACGTGCTTCTGATATTCACTGGGGCTTCCTTTTTCTTTGGATTGACCTAAGCTGGAGAAATTGATTATTGATTACCGTAAAGTGGGGCTATTTGAGACAGTGGGGCTATTTGAGACAGCATTTAAAATCGCTATAAAATGAAGAGCGTTTGATTTTTATGTGATATTTTTGCTCAGGATGGTGTGGAATCGAGCAGTGAATCGCCTGAGCAAAAATTAAGCATAAATTTCCAACGGTTTTTATTTTATAACAATTTTAAATACTGTCTCAAATAGCCCCACTGTCTCAAATAGCCCCACCTTACGGTATTGATTTTTACATGGCCCCACACTTCAACATGGCCCCATGTATTAATGGCCCCTGTTGAAGTGTGGGGCCATGTAAAAATTATGTATTAGAAAAAGTAAGCTTCCGTAATGGGCCGATATGAGACGGTGAGTAACGTTATAGTAGCGTATAGTATACGTTATAAGTAACGTCATAAGTCGCGTTTTTTCGAGCCGCAGTGATTTGTGATGAAGATACCAATGTTAGGTATATGCTTCACTTGGCTTTAACTTCGATCTCGTTCATATTCATCAGAACCCCGTACCTAGCTGGAAAATCTGACTTCCACGACTTGATTCAGAACCAACAGATACTAAGGGAAATAACTTCGTCATGATTTCAACTGGCTGCTCGATATTATCGTCAAAATCACTTCCAGAAACACTAAATCTCGCAGCAGTGGCACGATAGCGCTGCAAACCTATCAGTGGATACGGGTCGTTAAAATAATTCTACTAAATATGTTCGCCGTCTCGTCATTAATAATAGCTCTCTCCTCGATTGGCTTCAACGCAGCACTTTTTTTCATCGAGCTGTGTATGTAGGTTCAAAATACCTCAATAATCTAATCTCATATATATTTTAGAGAGCGCTATATTGCATCAGTTCGATATGAGCTAAACACTCCCATGCCGGTGAGAAAGTGAGATGGATAGCGGAACAGTTTGGCGGCTGCTTCTGTGACTCACAGTTTGCTCAGCTGTGCTGTGACAGCGAAGCCGTTCGCGCGGTTCGCTGTGGCGCTGCGTGACCTGTGAGCTCCCGATTGCACTCACCCTCGCTGCTGACTCATCGTTTTGGGGGCTGAATAATTAAATGAAACAGAACACGATAGGCCGGTTTCAATGAGGAAGCCTAACATCGAAGAGAAGCGCTGAATTTGAAGCAGCTTTCTGCGATCTCGTCGCCACATGGGTGCCCGTTTGCCCGCACTCCCCGTCTCCAGCTCCACGTTGTCTGCCGACCCGGCTGGTCACTGGCTGGCAGCCAACTTCAGCTAGTCCGTCACTCGGCCTCCCACCTGTCAAAACAGCAGGCCCTCCCCGGAACTGGACCGGCGGAGGATCGCAGTAAAGCCGGATTCATATGGTGCCGATCAACGCCTTATGATTTTATTAGTTATTGTCATTTTATTTCATTTTCCGTCATGCAATTTCCAACACTGCCCCTTCTTCTTCTTCGAGTGTTTACTTCGAGCACGAGTGCAAACACAATGCATACCTATATGACATAATGTTTGATGATTTTGAAGCACTGCCGATGCCGTCGAATCTCAATATCTTTCCATTCATTGCATTTGCGGTCGACCCTGCACCAGTTTGCAGTAGAAAATCCCGTTCTGTGTCGTATATAGATCGCCGTCCCGAGAACTTTGAATGCTTCAACCGAAATAGACACCGAAGTTTTGGAACTTGTGACTTGTCCGATTTCGCCCAGTTCGCCCACACTCAAGACGCGGTCCTATATTGTTGAACTTTCATAGTGCCGATTTTAATGGTTAACTACTCACCGTGCGATATGTTGCCGAAGTGAACTTATTTTATTTTATATTTTTTAAGGCTAGAACCAATTTGTTTGAGGACATGTGAATTGTGTATTGTGTAATGCATGTGATGTAAACAAGCTAATATACCTATCACTTTTCGGTCATCCGTTTTGGTTTGTACCATGACGGTATGGCCCGTCGATGCTGATGGCAACGCAGAAGTGGCTTCGTCGGGACGATGTTCAATCGATCATGATCAATGACGGAGCACCAATATGCCGGGCTGGCTCGACCTCATAGTCCCGGGTCAATCGATCGCCGTGGCCTGTGACACCGTTCTCGGCCTCAGCCCGGCCTGCCGGCTCGGCTCATAGGGCTGTGTCAATAGATCCTAACGGGCGCTCTCGGCTCCGTGGAACACCGCTGCGGCCTGCATGCTCCGGTTCCTACGCGGCCAACGCTTCCATTGCTTCCGCCATCGCCTTCCCCAATCCCCATTGCTATGGCCAAGGCCATCGGTATTGCCATCCCCAATCTCCATCGCTATTGCCATCCTCAATCTCCATCGCTATGGCAACCGCCGCCTTATTTCGTCATCCCTCAATGGCAGATGGCGGTTTCTACATAGTGCCTCCTCTGTCGCCTTGTAGGACGGTTTGTTCGTGGTCTCGGCGGGCCTGTCTCGGCGACGGAAACAGCTGCTGCTCTTAGCTAACCTCATCGGCCCAGCTGCGGTGGGCAGCGCGGGCGGCGGCTTCCCTGTTGGTCATGGAGCCTCCCCGTCCCGCCCTGCCCCGCCCCCTCCTCCCACAGCCCCTGAGGCGACGCCCCAGGGCACGGCGCGGCCGACTGACTGGGCGCCGGGGGGGGGGGGGGGGGGGCAGGGGTCACAGGGGGCGTGGTCGTTGACCGGCGCTCGGGGAGGGCGGGGGATGCAGCTGGCTCAGTGGACTCTGATGGATGGAGTCGGTAAGCAGAGTGGCGTATGGACGGAGTCGGCCGAGAAATATCGGGAGAAATACTGCACACTGAAAACAATTTAACCCAAGGCCCGCTAGTAAACCGGTGTTTTGCAGGTACCCCTATCCGCAACCATTTTTAACCACCCTCCAAGTATTACAGTAAGGTCCCATTGCAGTGTAGTCGTCCCTGCTCTCAGCGGACTTGTTCGCTGACAGCGGTTATATCCGCTCAGAGCAAATACGACTACACCGCAATGGGACCTAGCACTACTCCTGGGAGGGTGGTTAAAAATGGTTGCGGATAGGGGTACCCGTAAAACACCGGTTTACTCGCCAGCCTTGGGTTAAATTGTTTTCAGTGCACGGCGGCGAAAAGCTCACTGACGGAATCAAGATTCCTATGACTGAGACATGTATTTTTTTTTTTCAGGAAGGCGAGATAACTCAAACGATGACGGTTTGGTTCACTGATACTAAAACACAAACGTTTCTCTCGATCTCCTTGCTCTCACTCCCTCTCTTACTTTACCTTACCCCCAGTCTCCTGACCCTGACCTCCGGCACACTGCCATCACCCACTGCCCTGTCCCGCGCCGTCCCCCCGTATCCTGTCGCAGACTCCGACGTCTCGGTCACGCCGGGGATGTCGGTCAGGCCCCGGCGGCCGGCCGGTCTCAGCTAGTGACCGATGAGGGCGCCTCTCGGGCCCCATTGACCGGCGAGGGCGCCTCTCGGGCCCCCATTGTCGGCCACCAGGACCGGATGCCGGTATCGATGGCGGCAGCAGACGTCTGGCGCCGGCCGATGGAACCAGAGACGGACCTGCACGCCGAATGGTTTCCAGGGTGTGCTGGAGCGATAACGAAATATAATTGGATGAATGGATGCCCATAGAACATATAGGTATAGAGAGATAATCGGGTGGGATGTTATAGCTGAAATATAGTATATTAGAAAGAATGTTGGGCTTGTGAGTGATGATGACCAGCTGGGCAAACCGTGACTTCTCCGTAAACAGCTTACTCTGACCGCAGTCCCCTGAGCGTTATCTGCTGGCTTCATAACCCCAATGGCTCCGTATTCGGTGGTCATTGGGTCAGTGGTCACACGGCCTGTGCTGGGACGAATGGAACGAATAATTGATTCTGATCCAAATGCCTGCCTTTATTGAATATTTCATGCAGATCGTTTCGATATAACTAATCTCGCTCGGCATTTGCATACGATGAACAGATTTTGCCCGGGATCGACGCCAAGAGTTGGTCTGAATTGACCCGATACAAACTACTGTGCCGAGCAGCAGTCGTTACTGCACAGCCTCCGGTGGGGTTTGCCCCATTGCCATTGCTATACCCACTTTGAATCGACTAACAGACTTAACTTCATAGTTGGCGGAGCTGCGGGACCGAGGCCGGGGGCTGACCCGGCGGGGCCGCGGCCGTGACATTTGGACCGCGGTATAATTCAGCCGCGGCCGGGCGCGGTCGACACGTGAAACCCGCGGCCATTGTGTGCGGTCGCCGATTGTAATGTGCTCGACGCTGGAAGCTGAGTGACTCTGACGGGTCGGAAAGACATGTGACCCATTTGGGCCGATTCCCAGAGCCGTTGCATAAGAGATAAGTTCTCATGCGTTGTTTGAGTCGGCTCGGCTCATTCTCGTTTGTGCTGGTTTAAGTCTGGAGGGAGCAGTTTAGGTAACCTGATTACCCCGGCTGCCATGATCCTTGTGAAATATGTGGATTGTGGAAAGCCACCTGGGGCGTCGGTGGTAAGCGTTATGTCGGCTGGTTCTGTATGGTTTTCAGCTAAAGGCAATTAGCATCTTATAAAAATGCAAATTTCTCCTTAACCCGGCAGGCGGTGGGCCTACCAGCCACCTTCCGCGCGGTGGGGGGGGGGGGGCATTTTTGCCCCCCCCCGTATCTCCGAAACTACTGGACGGATCCAGAAAATTCAAACGGCGTTCGATAGCCCTGTCAAATTTGTTGAGGGAAACCAAATTTCATTGACCTCGGGGTCACCGATGACGTCACAGGTCAGGTCAAAGATAAAATGTTTCACCGTTCACGGGGCTTCTAGGGAAAGCGCTATAACACCGAGTAAAACGCATTTTGTCGAAAATCAGTGATAAGGCGTCAGTTGTCTAGTACATATGTTGCTATTAGACGTCACTGGTCATACCAGGTCAGGTCACAGGTCAGGTCACCAAAGGTCACCAAGGGTCACCACATGAGCCAACTTTACTAAGGTTATGCGATGCATGTTTTATGGCCAGTTTTTCATTTCCAACTCAATGGTGTTGGTTATAAGACCATCAGGTACGGTTAAGGTCACTTTCTGGTGGAGGTCAGGTCAAGGTCAGGTAAAAAAAGGTCAAATTTCAAAGTTGATATTTTTGCATAAAATGGGTATCTATTCGATGCAGCTCGTCACGGGGAGTCTAATGGTGGTCTTTGTTTTGCGCTACGAGGTCTAGAATTGCAAAAAAATGAGTTTGAAAATTTGCCGTCATCAATTTTGAACAGTTTTTTCACTATAACTTGGCCAAAAAAAGAGGTATCGATCTCAAATTTGGTATGTAGATAGAAGGTGGTAGGGACTATCACATATATATTCCGTTTTTTTTCGAAATTCAAAAACTTTTTGGATTTTTTGGCTATTATATTCAAAAAATCTATTTTTTAATTTTTGGGGGTCAAAATCCAAAAAATTCGAAAAACCGAAATAGCAGTTTTGTAGCCCTTTTGATTCCACACCTTTTATGTCTGAAACATTTTTCTGTATCTCTAAAGCTGTAGGCCTGACAGCTCTTCCCGCAAAGCCTTTTTTTGGGTCGAAAATGGCAAAAATGACGTCACTCTGACGTCATTAGCGGCCAACCTATCATAGCCTTTGGAAAAATTTTTGGTCACCATGTGCGCTAGCTGCTCCCGGGAGGGTACTGAAAGTTTGGTGACGATCGGCGCAGCGGTTCTCGAGATATATTGAAAAAAACTAAAGGGGGGGGGGGCAAAAAAATGCCCCCCACCGCCTGGAAGGTTAAAACAAATAACACGAAGTAAAAATATTCTGTTCCATCTCCGAATCATGACAATCTCTGGACGCTGATTTTCGCTGCCCTTCTACCCGAAACCGCTCCTGAATTTGGGTAAGCCTCTCCCGCTATCTGTTAGCCCCCATCACACACCGGCCCGTATCGGCGACCTTGACCGCCCGGTCGTGTTGTGACTGCCCACTTTCCCTGCCAGAGCGGGTCGGGTCGGGAGGGGTACGGTAGGGGATCACGTACTGTTACGCCCGCGGCACTGATCGGCTGTGGAGGGTCGCGGGCTCGCCTGGCGCCGCTGTCACGTCCCATCACCTCCATAAACCCCTTCAGAGTTCCAGACCTGTCACGGCGGTCGTACGTCAGACCCCCATTACCGGTCCTGGTCAGATGGGCGACCTGACGGCTAGAATAGGGAACAAGTCGCCGACTTTTTGTCATCGAACCTTTTTTTGCCTTGGTTTGTCTCGTTTTCCCCTTTCGATCGTCCTTGCTGGCTTGACCTAGCTCTCACTCTCTTCTTATCTCGATCTAGTAATAGGTCCACCACTTTGAGATAAACTCTCTCTGCGACCATTTAACGCTAACACAAATGGCTAAGCTCCATAGATTTGCCGACTGGACACTGTCCCCTGCTGTGAAACTGCCCGAGGACAGTTCATATCCCACAGCAGGGCTCGTCCATTTGGCGGCCGCTCGCTGTCTGTCGGGCTCGGTGCCTCGCGGCAGACACCCAGTCGCAGCGGTCGGCGCGGCGGGCCGCCGCGCCGCGCTGGTAGTTTTTGTGGGGCCCTGCAGCTGCTCCTTTACGTCCGCTCGATGGTTGGAGCTCAGATATATTGCGAGGTCTCTGAGCGCCAGATACAGGCACAAGCATCCTTGTCAGAAAGCTCGATGTTAGTAAATCAATTGTAGGTCAAAATTGATTGTCTAATGTCGCAGCAATATAGATCCGAATTATTCGTGCTCACATGCTCCACATCAATGACCACATCCGATCAAGACATGCATTTTCTTGAAGTGGAAGGCATGACACTGAACCATCATTAAATCTCCCTTGTGTTGACAATTCGAGTGCGACGCTATCGTAACTTGATGTCTGTCTGTCCCGTTTCAGACCTTCTTCCCGGGCCTGATCACGGCCTGCTACGTGCTGCGGCCGGCCAGCTTTCTGCAGCGCACCTGGTCCGATCTCAGCTACAAATTCAGCCGCGACGACTTCAAGTTCAAGGTCAGTGAGTCCGTGAGCGATCGGTCCCTCTCCGGCCGCCGGCGAGGACGTCACTCACGACCGTGATGTGACTGGGCCGGCCCGTCCGCCGTCCCCGTCCTCCCTCCTCTCAGCGCCTCCAGACGGCCTTGTAAGGTCACGAGGCAGTCTCGGACGCCTTATGTCGGCCACTGCTGATCAGCGATCCGTGCTACAATAAGACGATTGTGCAGAGCTACTCAGCCAAGACGGCGGGCGGTTTGACTGTGTGGTTGTTGTCGAGGCGTTCATTGTGTGGTTTTACGTGAGATGGCGGCCCGTGCCACGGACTTCGTTTTGGCAGGTCATCAGTGGACTGCAGCATTGATAAATGACCCAGTGACGATGTGCTGAAACGCAGATCCGACGGGGCGGCTGGCTGGAATCCATTGGCCGTGACACACATTTGGCGCCAGCGCTATGGTGGCTTGTTGTTTTACTAATCGTGTCTGATTCCGACCAGGTTCGTCGTGTCGTGGATTATGGGGAAGCGGACAAATGTAAAACCGATTGACTTGATGCTAAACGAGCCATTTTTGAACGGTTGTATTCACTTTTCATGGGTAGGTACTCAGTTTTGTGTAAATAATTGTGCCGGCCTTTCGATGTAATCGCACACCCAGCCCAGGTGCAAATACTAAAAGGAATTATCCGCTATAGTCACGCATAATTAGCCTTGCACCATTCTCGGACATAAGATTAACATGTCAAGGGAAAGTGCGTTCCATCGAGACTAAATGAGCTGCTGGCTGCTGCACGTCATCGCTTTATATGAATCAGATACATTTGAATTTCGAAAACCGTGCTGCATGGCTGCATACATGGATGGCTGCATCGATGAAAGAATAGTTTAACTTCGGCCGATTAATACCCCTTGAGGAGCATGAGCATTGAGCATTAGCGTTCTTTTCCCGAAGTCAGTAATGGGGAATACATTTCTGGACGCATGGACGAGTCAAGTATTTTTTATTGAGCAAAACTTCGGTATCTCGTACTTCGTAGGTCGATCTTTGTTTGATCAGGACCTCAAATGTTGCTATTAAAGGTAGTGTGCCAGCTTTCTTGGACCATATGGAGTTAATGACCCGGATAAGGAGAACCGGATTTTTAGAACTTATCCATACCTTCAAAACTTATGGAAACGTCTTAAATTCTTCAAATTTTGAGTACCCCAGTGCGAAATTCGCCCCGACGGGTTGTCGGTCGTACCCCAACCACATTTCACACCACTATGAACAATAAATGCACACACTAAAATCGCTATTACCGATAGGCTCATCCAATCAAGTTTCGATAAACCCGTTCATCATCATCTCCTGCGGTTTCGAACACGCCTGTTAGGTGGCTTCTGATGCTCGTCGAGGTCGGAATTTCCAAATACGCGTGGTGCGTCGGGCCGCGCGCTCTGACTTCGGCCAAGAAAAATGCGTCAGCTGATCATTGTCATTTCTGCCACTTGCGTGTGGTGTAATGGGGTCATAACTTAAGAGACGGCTGTTTCATATCAATTATTTTACATAAAATCATATTTCAAACCACAAATTAATGTTCGACAGCCAAATTTAAGAAACAATACCAATACAGGCTTACAGTTTAAGGCTCGACATTGTGTTGTCTACGATTAGACAGCTGATAACTCATTCCCGTACGTCGTATGGTCGTAACACTATAATGACCTTTGCTTATTGTCACAAGTGCGCCGCATTCGCGATTGTTGCCCGACGCCTGTTTGCAGGTGAGCCCACTACAGTTGTTATACATATCTAAAAACCGATAAACTTTTAGGCGAAAAAGGCACTATTCCAGGCCCATTTTTGATTTTTTTTGCGATATTAGGTAAAAACAGAATCTTCTTATCCTAGGAAAAATAAAACGGGAAATCTTTCAAAGGTGGCACACTACCTTTAACTAGCAAAGACATTCAAATTGTACCTATTTGGGATATTTTGAGCTGTGTGCTCATTTTTTTATCTAATGCGTATCCTTATTACGGAGCGAGCGAAGCGAGCGTAGTCTTTCCTTAGATTAACGGAAATTTCTGAGTATGAGCGGCCGGCCGGCCGACCGGCCGGCCGGCCGTGGTCACGCTTTTGCGAGGCTTATATCTCAGCAACCACTTGACCGATTTACACGCGGTAATTTTTGTAGGGTAGCTTCATTCCTTCTACCGAGTATTGGACTATTCCCGATGCATGTGGGTGACCCCTTATGCACGTGCCACGTGCAAAACGAAGAGGTGTCACTTTTGTAACTGTTGCAATATCTCGGTAACTACTTGGCCGATTGCGCTGAAAGTTGGCATGTAGGTAGGCACCCACTAGGCACTGCATATACATGTGCCAGAGTTGGGGTGCTGCTGCACGTGCGCACGTGCAGGGGTCGTTTCCAGATCTCGAGAACGGCTGGACCGATTGCGCTCAAATTTGGTACACGGTTAGGGACCGGTTAGTAGGGTGCCGTGCACAAGTCAGTTGGGACCCATTTTGCACGTGCGCACGTGCAGGGTGCCGCTTCCAGATCTCGAGAACGGCTGGGCCGATTGTGCCCAAATTTGGCACATCGCTAGAGACCAGTTAGTAGGGTGCCGTGCACAAGTTAGTTGGAGGTACCCCCTCGCAATTTCGCACGTGCAAGGCCCACCCTCTCGCTCGCTCCGTTAGTCGCCCCAAAAGGCGTTATACTGGTATTTTCATAGATTCCAAAGCGGTCCGTTTTGTTATAAAGGAACTAAGTTAGAAGTCATGCACCGGTGCGTTTTTCATTAATTCCTCCTTATACTGACTATATGTGCCTGTGTTGTATCACCCCCACCCCGTTGCCGTCTACACTGTCGCTGGCCTCCTCCCCCTCCCTGGTGGTGATCGACGCTCTCACCGTTTACACTGCCCCTCCCCTCCGTCAGGTGGTGATCTGCAGCTCTCTGGCCGAGCTGCACTCGTACGTGTCTCCCGACCAGCTCACCAAGGACCTGGGAGGCACTATCCCCTACGACCACGAGGAGTGGATTCAACAGCGGCTGGTACGTTACCGTCACGGCGCTACCTCAGCCTGTCCCGGCCGGATCGCTCCGTTTAAACTGCCGTTCATACCCGTCTCCCGAGCGGCATATTCCTAACATTCGGCACTTTCCCCTCCCTCACGGCCGTCAGCGCGTGTTGTCCTCATTGTCGCATGTGTGATTTGCACATTATTTCTTCGTGTATCGCTGTTTTCCTCTGAATTGTGTAGTGTACACTAAAAAACAAGGCAAAGTGTCAGTGAAGGTATAGTTCATGTTATTGTGACCACTGTACGGTTTTCCATATTGTGTTTAACATTCAATGGATAATATCCGGACTAGGATTATCGTGGAACTTCCCCTACAGTCATAACAGTCAGTCATAACGCCAATAACAGTCATCGATTGTTATTGGCGTTGTGGATCCTGAGACCTGAATGTGCGGTGGTATGGCGGTGGAAGGGAACCGTCCTACGCGCATCACGGCTGTCCGACCCATATTGCCGCATCATGCAATCAGTTCCTGTGAGCGTGATTATCCCACATGTGTTACGGGTCGGCGTCAAATCACATCTGTGCAGACGCGTAGCCTACATTCGGCCGTCACTGCCGGTGTGCCACAGGCCCACCCCGCTCCCCGTCCCATCTGCCCCGCTCCCCGCCCTGCCCTGCCCCACTCCTCGCCCCCTCTGCCCCACTCCTCGCCCTGCCCTGCCCCGCCCAGTACCGTCCGAGAAAACTGCATGCCTTCGCGTCCGGTCATGAATAGCCGAACTCCAATCAAGCCGTGGCTCATCTGACGATGACGACCGTTTTCGGCGCCCCGAGGACCTATGAAGTATCAAATAATAAAAGAAAAGCCACAGCTCTGATGAGGGCTGTTGTGTTGCCTCTTCACAGTGGCCTCGTGAGAGGCGGGCGGCCGAAAACGATCACCGGAACTGCCGGACATGTATTCTGGCCGCCGCACAACAAGATACCAAAAAAACCACGTGACCAACCCTACGCCGCCATTCTCCGGAAGTCCACCCCGGACTTAGTAGTGGGCCGATGCCGGTGACTAAACACGAGACGAGAGGGCGGTGAGCGTTCTTACAATCATAGTGCCTATCAAATAAGAAACTAAGCACGACTACAACGCGTGGGCATGAAACGTCTACATTTTACAAATCACATTGGCGCCGGTTCGGAATTTGCAATCAGCTGACACGACTTGGGTCTTCCCTAAAAATAACAAAGCAACCTCGCACAATTCTGGCGCAGCTGATACGAACACTGAACAGCGCAACTAAATTCACGACACAACACCACCCCTCTCTTTGAGGGAAAACACACCCTATGAAAACACCCAGGCACAGGTACGGTGCTGAGCTAAACTGTACACGCGCAAACTCGCCTAACCTACGGCGAGAAACGCTTCCGCGGCCTACGCACCCTACGGCTGCGGCGCGGGGCCGCATGCTCGTCAGAGGCGGCACCGACTGGCGCCGCTGGGACAGGACTGGTACCCCTGGGCGGCTCGGGACACACATCATCGGTAGGAGCGGGGTCCACGGTCACAGGGGCTGGGTCAGTAGGCTCGGGCTCGCCCCCGACTGGGTAAAAGGTCACCGGCACCTCGCGATCAGCTTCCCCCGGGCGGCCCGGTACCAGGCGCCTGGCATGCACCCGCTCACCTGTGGCCAGCCTGTAGCTGACCGGACCGGTCCTGCGGCTCACCTGCACAGAGCGCTGCCCCTCGACCCGGCCCGTCCCGGGCTTCCGTACTCGCACCCAGTCGCCGGCTTCCCATCGCGGGGCGGCCGTGGCGGTGCGGTCATACCGGGCCCTGTAGGTCTCCTGGTACGACTGGTGATGCTGCCGGACAGCTCGATCCTCGGCAGCACGGCCGGACGGGGTCACATCGGACGGGGTCACATCGAGAATCGTCCGCGCCTCCCGCCCCCTCATCAAAACAAAGGGCGACACTCCGGTCGCCGGGTGGACCGTGACCCGGTACTCACCCAGGAACTTTCTGACAAACGTCGAGCGCGGCTCCCTCGCCAAGCGAGCCGACTGGATGGCTTCCTTAACCGTCCGGTTCAGCCGCTCGACCATGCCGTTGGTCTGCGGCGAATAGGGCGAACTAAACGTCTGTTTGACGCCCATGCGACCCAAAAACTCGGCGAGTCGGCCCGACCGGAACGCAGGGCCGTTATCTGACAGTAGCTCCAGCGGCACACCTTCGCGAGCGAACACTGTCTCCAGGAACTGGCAGATACTGTCTGCCGTCGCGTCCTGGCAGAGCGCGACCTCCGGCCACCGGCTGTACATATCGACGAGCACAATGCCGTAGCGCTCAGACGACGGACCTCTCATGGGACCGATCACGTCCACCATGAGGCGCTGCCACGGTCCATCTGGGAGTGGGATGGGCTGGAGGGGCGGCCTCTCCCTCCGCACGTGCCCATCGTGCTGAGAGCAGACCTCACAGCTCTTCAGCAGGTCACGCACCTGCCGGTCCAGGCGCGGCCACCAGAAACGCTCACGAAGCCGCTGTTTTGTGCGGACCACCCCCTGGTGGCCCGCGTGCGCGTTAGTCAGAACGCGCTCGCGCAGCGCCGCTGGCACCACCAGCCGGTCATCGCGGAGCAGCAGCTGGCCGTGTACGGACAGCTCGTCCCGTACCTGAAAGAAACCAGCTGCTCGGGGGTCAACGTCCCTCTGGCGGGGCCACTGCCCGGACACGTACCCACGGACGACGCTGAGACACTCGTCGGCCGCCGAGGCGTCACTGAGCTCCTCCTCAGAGATGGCTGCTGCCACCGTCAGAGCTGCAATCTGGAGATCGTTATCATCCGGCCACCAGGTCTCGGCTACCGGCAGCCGTGACAGGCCGTCGGCCACGGTGTTCCGCTCCGAGCGGACGTACTCAACGTCGAAAGAAAACTCGAGCAGGCGGGCCTCCCACCGCGCGACACGCCGGCCGACGCGCGTGGAACCCTTGGGACCGAAAATGGTACACAGAGCCTGATGATCCGTGCGCAGAGTGAATTTCCGCCCCCAGAGATAGTGGCGAAACTTCTCACAGGCCCACACCACGGCCAGCGCCTCCTTCTCCACAGTGGAGTAGTTACGCTCGGCCGGAGAGAACGACTTAGACGCGTACGCGATGACCCTGGGCGACCCCGAGGCGTCGATCTGCGTCACACACGCGCCTGCTCCGACGTCGCTGGCGTCGGTCGTCAGCACCGTGGCGAGCGCGGGGTCGAACATACCCAGCGCCGGTGACTGACGGATGGCGTCCTTGACGCGCTGGACGGCGCTGGACAGCGCCGGCGACCACTCGAACTTGTCAGCGCGCAGCGCAGCTCGCAGCGGCTCGACCAGGTCCGAGTACCGCGGCATGAAACGGGCGTGGTAGCCCGTGGCTCCCAGGAAGGCGCGGAGGCCCTTCTCGTCCTGTGGCTCTGGAGCCTCCAGCAGCGGACTGATCCGCCCTGGGTCGATCTGCACACCGGCCGCTGAGATCCTGTAACCGAGGAAATCAATGTCACGGCAGCCGGTGGCACTCTTGGACCAGTTCACTTTCACACGGTGGTCCTCCAACCGCCGCAGCACCTGCTTCAGGCGAGCGTCATGCTCCGCCTGGGACGGTGCGTGGATGATGATGTCGTCGAGGTACACCTCCACCCCGGGGATGCCCTCCAGCATCGACGTCATCACCCTCTGAAAACAAGGGCCGGCACTCGCCAGACCAAAGTTTACACGGCGGAACCGGTACAAACCCTTGTGGCTGACAAACGTGGTCAGGTTCTGGCTGTCGGGATGCAGCTCCAGCTGGTGGTACGCGTCCTTCAGGTCCAGCCTGGAGAACATCAGCGAACCACGGAGCCGATCGAGAACGTCCTCAATCCTCGGGAGAGGATGACCATCCGTGATGACCGCCTGGTTCACCCTCCTCATGTCCACGCAGAGGCGGATGGCACCGTCCCGTTTCCTGCCAACGACCAGTGGTGAGATCCAGGGAGACGCGCTCACCTTCTCAATCACACCCTGGGCCTCCAGCTCATCAATCCGGGCACTCACTGCGTCCAGCACAGCCAAAGGCAGGCGGCGCAGTGGCTGGCGCACTGGTGGTACCCCTGGGTCAACTGTCACTCGGTGCTGGTACCCAAGGATAGCGGGTTGGGCCCCCGGAGAGGCTGGTAGCTCGTCAGGTGGGCTGGTGGGTTGGGCAGGCTCAGGAGAGGACACACAGGTGGGGTTGGTGGACACACTGCACACACGGTTGCCCACAATACAAACATCAAACACTTCCATCAGGTCAAGGCCCATCAGAGCGCGTCCTGACGGCACAACATACACTTTGACCAACTCTGTTTTCCCCCGGCATGACACATGAACACTTTTCACCCCCAGCACATTTAGCACGCTCCCCCCGTAGGCACAAAGGCTCTCCTCGGCTGCCCCGAGATCACCCTGCACAGAGTCCCTCGGCAGGATGGAAACTGGAGACCCTGAGTCCACAGTGAAAGTTACCTTGAGCCCCTCTACCTCAGCATCAAGGGTCAGCGGCACGGCACTAGCCCCAACAGCTAGCACCTGGACACTAGAAACCACACTAGCACCGCAGTGCTGGGCAAAGTGGTTGGTCTTACCGCACTTGGAGCACTTCCTACCGAACGCTGGGCAGCTGCGGTCACCTCTGCGATGTCCAGGGCGCCCGCAGCCCCAGCACTCAGGGCCTGCTGTCTGCTGCTGTGGTTGCTGCCGTCTCGGCTGCTGCTGCCTCCCCTGCGGAAGCTGCTGCCGTCCTTCCTGCTGCTGGGCTGGGACCGGGCCGGAGCGTCTGCGTCTGGACCCCCCTCGCTGAAACTTCTGTGGCTGCAGGGCCTGGACAGGCACAGGCACGGCTGGTCCCTCGATCACCCTTGCTTCTCGTTCAGCAGACTCCAAGGTGTCGGCCAGAGTCAGGGTCTTCTCCAGAGTCAGACCTGACCCTTCCATGAGAAGCCGCTGCCTCAGCTTAGAGCTCACGGTTTTCTCAATCACCTGGTCCCTGATAAACTCGTCCATCTGGGCACCGTACTCACACGTGCTGGCCAACTGGCGCAGCACGGAGACCCACTGGCTGGTGGTCTCACCTGGTTGCTGCCCCCGGCTGCGAAAGCGGTAGCGCTCAACACAAACATTCTGTTTGGGAGCGAAATGGGCCTCGAGGCGGCGCAGGCACCATTGGAAGTCGTCCTCGCTTTCCAGCTTCTCCATGGGTGGCAGATTCTCAAACACCCGCTGCCCCTCCGTCCCTAGACAAGTCAGGAGGACAGCTTGGCGACGTGCGGGAGGGAAAGCGTCACCTCCGACCGCACACAAAAAGTTCTCAAACATCCTGACCCACCGAGGCCAGGGAATCGCCGGCTCAGCTCCAGCGGTGGGCAAAAACGGCGCGGGAGCCGCCGCGAAATCCATGGTGAAAAATCACTGTTCGAAGTCCTCAGTCGCCAATTTGTTGTGTTGCCTCTTCACAGTGGCCTCGTGAGAGGCGGGCGGCCGAAAACGATCACCGGAACTGCCGGACATGTATTCTGGCCGCCGCACAACAAGATACCAAAAAAAACCACGTGACCAACCCTACGCCGCCATTCTCCGGAAGTCCACCCCGGACTTAGTAGTGGGCCGATGCCGGTGACTAAACACGAGACGAGAGGGCGGTGAGCGTTCTTACAATCATAGTGCCTATCAAATAAGAAACTAAGCACGACTACAACGCGTGGGCATGAAACGTCTACATTTTACAAATCACATTGGCGCCGGTTCGGAATTTGCAATCAGCTGACACGACTTGGGTCTTCCCTAAAAATAACAAAGCAACCTCGCACAATTCTGGCGCAGCTGATACGAACACTGAACAGCGCAACTAAATTCACGACACAACAAGGGCTTTCGAATTCCGACGTTTAATTAAGTCTTCCGAGATGGGCCCTTGGTTTTACTACTGACTATTTATCTCGAATACTCCTACAAAGACGAACGACTTCCGTTTGTGGTGTGGTTGAAAACGCCCTTGGGAAGCAGCTGTGTCATCGCTGGTTTTAGCGCGGCTTCCCGAAAGAGCAAAGAACAGCCAAAACATGCGCTCTGAAGCAGAAGATAAGTTGAGTGTGTTTGCTAGCTTAGCTAGCTCGATGACACCTGATAGCTCGAGCATACAAGGAAGTTAGGTGGAAGTGGATATCGACGTCTTTTACAACACCTGTCCAACTTTATGCTCGGATAATTCTGCTGACGTCCTTGTACACTTTTTGCTGATTGTGTGATTCGGATAAGAATGTCAGGGAGTGTTCGGTTCCGTCTTCTCCAGTGTTTGGCTAAGAACAGTGTGTCCCCACACCATTTGGCACACCTCACATGACACACCTATAATCCCTGGTAACATGATACCTAAGCTGATTACACGCTCACTATCACGAATTCAGTGGCCGAACGATCCTGACATCAAAACATGTAAAAAAGAAATGCGAGGAAATCTCGCATATAATTATAATCACTAGGGGAGAGTGGGGTGGGTTGTATCAGTTTTTACTCCGAGACCCATAACCTCGTAACTATCCGTGATAAACTCATTATTTCCATGCTATCTCCTTCCTTGATTCTTCTGCTTTTTTGTGCAAAGTAACTTTTCCGCTACCTCTACTAGTTTTTCTTCTACGGTCTGCCGAATAGAACAATGTTTTTGATACAACTTGCCCCATGCCTTGGGTGAGTTGTATCACATGGTGGGGTAATTTGTATCACTATTTCACGTTTCAGGGAGTGTGCTTGCTACTGGTTTTGAACATAACAACAACATTAAATGGGGTTAATACAATGTATATGCTCAAAGGCTTCACTTTTATTGGACCAAACTTAGGTCAATCCGAACGAAACATCGAAACGAACGAAACATCAACAGACTAAACGCAAAAGTGGCCCGTTAAGAGCAAAGCAGCCAACACATTGTGCCGAAATGGAACGAGTATTGACTAGCTACCTACAAACGCGAGCCAGGGCTTAGCTTTCGCGATCAAAAGCAACATACCTATACATGCATACATACATACATGTTACAACATACCCCACCCGGCTCTGATACAACATGTACCTCGCCGCCATCTTGGAAAAAAACATCCTCGTGCTCAAAAACAGCGGACAGCTGGAGAAATCCATTTTCACTCACGCAGCCTTAGAACCTACCCTCACCACCGCTACGGAGATCTTTCAAATTCGTGCACATCTAAATGCCCAAAACACACATTTTCCTGCAACTTATTTTTTTAGAATGACATTAAAAAAACATAAAATCGGCTCTCACCTCGAGACGCGTCCACCCAGCCACACGACAGAACAGGGCAAGATGGCGCCCGGAAAACCTCGTCGGCTGGTCGTGTCACGAGCGCTATCTATTGGATAAGTTTGGCACAATTCGCCCTGATACAACTTGGACATGATACAACTCACCCCGCTCTCCCCTATGTTTCAGTACTATGCCGCCCCTATAATCAAATCGCATCCTACACGGAGACCTGATTAGTAGCCTTGTCTCATGTGTCACCTGTCAGCTGACTGTATCTCCTGAGTGTGTCACCTGGCCTTGTCAACTGACCGTGCCACCTGACTGTATCACCTGTGTTACGTGACATTGTCACCTGGTTGTATCACTGTTGTCACCTGACCGTGTCACCTGACTGTGTCTCCAGGAGCTGGAGAAGTTCTCGCTGCGCTCGCAAGAGATCTCCGACTCGCTGGAACAGTTCCTGTCGCGGCTGCAGCAGACAGAGTTTCCGCACGATGTCGGCACCACGGAGAACATGCTCAAGAGCCAGGTCAGTCCAGGGTCACCCCGTCAACCGCTGCGATCCTCCCCCCCCCACCCCCACCCTCCAAGTAGTCCCAGTACACTGTCTAATCTTCCCGACCCCCTTCCAGCTTTGCTCAAGCTAATGCCTCAGGCTCCATGCCCTCCGGTACAGCATACCGGCAGGAGCTCGACGCTGGTGCCATCTAGGGGCAATAATGTAAGGTTATTCTTTCTATGAGCACTTGTTCGACACCCGCTTAGGAACAAACGGTGCTCACTGCTCAGTGTTGTCCCATTTGATGTTTTCAAGAGAAATCGCTATCTCCGAACTTCTCAGGACCGAAAATGCCAGCTTTAATGCTTACCATGATTGATTATATTGACTTACGATGATCTCGTGTGCCTAATTGGTCATATTTTCAAGTTCCGATCATTCTTACGAATGGATGCCTTAGTCAACAGTAGTCCTTACAGTCCTCTTCTCCCCTCTCCTCTTCTCTCCTCTCCCTGAAGATTGCTCTCTTCTCTTCTCCTCTCCTCTCCTAATCCGTCCCCTCCTCTCTCTCTCTCTCTCTCTCTCTCTCTCTCTCTCTCTCTCTGTCTCTCTCTCTCTCTCTCTCTCTATCTCTATCTCTCCCCGCTGCAGCCAATCTACCCTCACCGAGTGTCTTTTGCCGAGCTCACCTCTCGCTCTCCTGCCTACCGACTGATCCTCTTACACCCCAATCAGCCTGTCCCACTGACCCCTGCTGCTCTGTCCTCTCCTCCCTCTCTCCAGTCCTGGGAAGATGGTCACGCGGACGGCTTAGACCGGATACAGAGAGGATCTGAGATCGCTCGGAGCTTCCACGGCTCTACTTTGGCGCAGTGATGTTTGCGTCCATCTTCGTCCAACTTGCAGTCGATATGTCAATCTTACTCCACTGCACTGACCTACAACTTCTCTGTGAATGACGCATAAGCGTCTGGACGTTGGCCGAGGCATTATGGGCATTCAAAAAGTCGGGAGATGACTGGACGAAGTCGCCCGCACGCTGATGGCTGCTTTACCGCTGGCACAGAGTGAATAGCCCGAAAGGCCTCAGAAATGACCTCGGCGGCAAAAGCCATATTTCTAGCCCGTCTATGATGTGGTCGGTTTCCATGGAGACAAGACAAGGTCGAAGTCCTGCCATTAATGGCCATTGTGCGGGCAAGCCGTTTTAAAACTTGTGGAGGAGGCAATGTAAATTGTCGTGATAATTACATACCGTCGGCAGCCATGTAAGTCGAAACATTTCTGTCATAGCCCTCGGAATACAACTTGGTGAAATGGACACTACCTTATCGTAGTTCTAGTTAGTTTCGTAACAAGTCGAGACGGCACACAATCATGATGCGTAGAATACAACCGGCCGTCCGAGCCATTTAACGAGTTTGACCGACTTGGCTTCAGGGCAAACAATCATGGACAGCTCATTTTTCATCCGATTCTCTTTATCAAGTTCCCGCAAAGTTCAAGGTAACTTTTATAATTCTTATTTATCAGTTCGCACAGTTGCCGCATTTGTTTCGCTCGGTTGGCTGTTTCGCTCAGTTAGGGGAATGGTGGAGATACATTACACGGCCTTATCAGTTGCCGTAGTAGCGGTTCGGTCGGTTGGTTCGATGTATCACGGGTATATATTTCATGATCGGCTCGGCTGCCGCCCCGTCACAGCGCCTCCCACGGCCCAAAATAGTCGCGAGGCGGCGCGCCTGGGTGTGACGTCTGCTCATGAAGAGCTCTCAGACGGTCTGAGGGGCGGTAACAGCTGCGGCGATCGGTCGTCATTTCTAGCTCGGTCGGCTCCACTGGCGTCCGTCTTTGGCGGCATCCGCCTAACGACGGTCACACTCCCATAAACGGCACGCTCTGAGCTCGGAGAGCCGGCTCATCATCATGTCAGTCGGCGCCGTCGCCTTCTTATGCTGCCGTCGCCATTGGTGCTGGTGCCGTTGCTGCTGGTGATGATGGTGATGGTGATGGTAATGGTGATGTTAACGATGATGATGATACCGATGGTGTGAATGGTGATGGGGCGTATGATAGTAATGGTGATGTCACTTTTCCCATGACGCATGCCCCTGACAATTACGCCTTTATCGCCCCTCGCCGGCAGACCCAGGCCTACTCGAGCCTCAAGTGCGAGCTGCTGGCGGCTTCTGAGGCCGGCGAGACCCTGCTCTCTGAGATCCGACAGTCGGCGGTTCGCAGCTCGGCCGATACCGACTACTGCCCGGACAAACTCATCAACGTCACCGCCGTCCAGAGGTGGGTGGCAGAGGGGGAGGGGGGGGGAGGAAGGAGACGCGAGGATAAGGAGGGGGGGGGGAGGGAACGGTAACCCGACCTGGTAAGTCTGAGGCCGGGTTTGTTAGTCTCGGGTGCGTGGGAATAGAGCCTGTTTTCGTAAATGAGGCGGTGCTGTGGCGTTTGCGTATTTGTTGAGAAACATCTTTTATTGCTTTAGTTGCGTGCGAAGTTACATAAATGTCACTTGTCACCTGAAAATGTCACGTTCAGTTATTAATGACCTTATTAGTGATGCATCGTAAAGATACGCTACGCGTCGCATGGCTATAGGACACCAGGCAATGGACCAGAAACCGCTGCCGTCCCATAATTTTTATGCTTGCTTGCATGTTCAAGGTACAATTACATAAATCCATACCTTATAATCGCACACTTTTTTAGAGAATGGTCTTTTTCTATCATTTTGTGTGTACTCGTATGTGAAACCAGGACCGTACCTATATATCGTTCCCTTTTGTTTTACGGCTATTTGTGGTTTTCGAGCTCTCACAAACAAGGAAATAACTCACAGCTGTTTCAATTTAGCCGCTATCCGTTTTGGCCAAGCCATTGATCAGGCTCAACCTGTCTTCTTGCGAAATGGAACGTCGTATCTTGAATAACGCCTCCGATTGTTTTGTGCTGCTGTCGCATGCATTCATGGAACAGCGCTATTTTCCCTAACCGATAGGCCTGCAACTGACATGTTATTGGCCAAAAACCTATTCGATTGACTTCCATGGAGGGGTCGCCTGACGTAGCCTGTAGAGGGTGTGGCTGTTTCTAACTGCAGCCGCTAGTGTAACTAACCACTGCTTCAGTGGACGGACTGTGACCTTTTCCGCCGAGTTGACCCGCCCCGGCGGACCTCCGCTCGGCGGCTGTCGCGCAGTAACGACTCGAGTTTGTGGCGTGAACTGCGCCCCGAAATACTCCGGTGCCGCGTTAACGTCTGGTTCCCGGCCCAGTGGGCTAGACCTAGGTGGCGGGAACTCGTAAGATACAGACGTTACTTTTACTATAAGTATATATCCTCAGAGTCACACGGCCTCCTTCATTCGATGTCTTGTTAGAAGCGAAATGCATACCCGTGGCATACCCGTGGCGAAATACCCGTGGACGTACCAGAAAAAAATATGGTGCTCCTTGTCGCAACATCCCTTGCCATATGGATTTTATATTACTTTAAATGTGTGATGTAGCCTGTAGGGCTATGATAAGCGAACCAAATTTTCCTGTAGAGGGAACTCTGGTTTATATGCAGTCTATACCTACCAGAGAGAATTGCGACGCTGCTCGTCTACTCAGTAAAGACACGGCTCGACTTGACCTGGGTTTGAGTTGGTGGGTTCGTCACTGGGTCAGCGGGCGTTAATGAACTCCATCGTGACAGGGCGGCTGACACATTGACGGCGGCGACTTTGGTGGTAGGGAGGGAGCTGTCCTGAGACGTCCATCTCTCCCACCGTTAGTGGCTCTCAGTCGATATCTCCCGGCGTATGATGGTCATGTACCGGCGCTGACAGGCTGGGGCAGGATTCATCCTAAGGCTTCACCTATTAATAGTGGCCTCCCAGGTGATATTATCAGTCTCTGACGGTCGTCTGATTACCTACAGACTGCTGGTGCAGCTGGACGAGACGGCATGTCGGTTCGAGGGCTATTGGAGCGGATACGAGCGGAGGCTGCGCCGGTGGCTGCAGCTGCGCCGCTTCGACCACGGCTTCCGAGAGTGCCAGGTGAGCCGCTCGGGGCGTGGCGGGGCTGTGTGAGCCATAGTGTCAGTGGAGCTGAGATTAGTTCTGAGCGAGCCGCAACGGTTGTCAGGTGATGAGAGGTTTAGTGCCTGGTGGGCATAAACGGCAAATTATTTGTGATATAAAGAATTCTGGATGAGCATCGAAGTGCTATTATGAGAGATGGTATTGGATATCCAGGCCTAGATGATCCTCACTTAGAGCCAACTAATGATCAACCCGTGCCTCCATCTCATGCAGAGTTTGACATTTTGCTCCAGACCAAGCAATTCCTGAACTGTCTACGAATGCGATGTTCCTCTGCTGTTACCGCCTCCCCCTGCCTGTAACAGCGATTTATTCTGATGTTGAGCGACTTGTGTAGTTTAATTTGTCAAGTATCTGTTAACGGACATGGTGATCATATGTACGATATGTGAGGTGTGATGCGAACATAATATCGGTTGTTTATATCCATCTCGCGAACATGCATTTAAGTCACACGTTGAACTCCAAGACAGGGTCCGCATTCATTGAAGGTGTCCGATAAACCCTTCAACACAAACTGTGAACAACATGTTTGTAAATCAACACACCTATTGCACACTACTTAGGCGATGATGGCTGTCAATGCTGATGCCGAGTTATTCGCGAGCCTTCGTTTGTTTTCGTAACCGAATCACAACACTCGGGAGTGTGATAACGGACAACCGGTGGTCATAAGACATGTTATCTCTCTCCGTCTCTCTCTCTCTCTTTCTCTCTCTCTCTCTCTCTCTCTCTCTCTCTTTCTCTCTCTCTCTCTCTCTTCTCTCTCTTTCTCTCTCTCTCTCTCTCTCTCTCTCTCTCTCTCTCTCTCTCTCTCTCTCCCTCTCTCTCAAAGCCCTTCACAAGTCGTAATTCCCAGTTTGTGGGCCATCAACCAGCCGGGATGTCATCTCGAGTGCTCCTTCAGCCTGCTCTAACCCAGCGTTATGACTTATTACCTACCTATACCGTACGGCAGCCATGCCTGCGTCACACCACGAGACATCGTGCCGTGCCAGTTTGTGCCGTATAAGTGCCGTGCCCGTGCCGTGTTTGTGCCGTGCCCGTGCCGTGTTTGTGCCGTGCCCTTGCCGTGTTTGTGCCGTGCCCGTGCCGTGTTTGTGCCGTGCCCGCGCCGTGTTTGTGCCGTGCCAGTTCCGTGTTTGTGCCGTGCCAGTTCCGTGTTTGTGCCGTGCCCGTGCCGTGTTTGTGCCGTGCCCGCGCCGTGTTTGTGCCGTGCCCGTGCCGTGTTTGTGCCATGCCCGCGCCATGCCCGTGCCATGCCCACGCCATGCGCTGTCATTGATTGGCCGCTATGTTTACGGCCGTGACATGATCCAGGACCGGCAGTGGACCGTTACTGACCGACCACACACCCTTCCAGCCAGCGCCCAACACATCGATCGAGAACGAATGTGTGCCTACATGATGGATGGTCCTGATTCCAACGGCCTAATTCGGAATGCGAACCATGTTTCTACGATTATTGAAACAATTCCTGGTCGGACTCTGGGGAACACCGAATAGCTAGTACTTTGCACTGTGTGAATGTTTTACATGGGTCGGTGTAAAAATAACCTTGTCTCTAAGCTCTTCATCGTTAGTTTTATTTTCGTTTCTTTTTTTCCGCCAGCTGACGCAGCGCTGTCGAGTCCTCTCCTAGCTCAGCGCGATGTGCCACCTCGCTCAGTCCCGCCCCACCTCTCACCCTCCCCTCTGCTCCGCTTCAGACCGAGTTCGAGCACCTGCTGAAGCGCGTGACGGACGCGACCGACGTCGGCGAGTCGGTGGCGCACGTCGACCAGCTCATCAAGGAGCACGCCGCACTGCAGAAACGCTGTCTGGTACGTGCTGATTAATCTCGGGGGGGGGGGGGGGGGTCGTCAAACGCTGTGTGGCATGTGTGATGTGATAATCATTCGCAGGGGTGACGCCCAATAAAACGCTGCCTGCCTTCGAAGCTATAAGACAGGACAGGGATGCGGTTTTGCGATTACTGCTCGTAGTCGAAACACTTGGTCGTATCAAACCTCGTCTTGAATATTCTCACTGACGTTATGATCTATCATTCTTAGTACGTATATTCTCAAGAATATACAACTTTTACTTATCACCTACCAGTATTTCTGCCGAGTATCAATCGCTGGATGTTAGACTGTATCAGCCATACAGATGTAGTATATAGATACTCCCACATAGCCCCCGATCACCACTGCCCGGTTTGGATACAGCACCACCCAGCTGTCTGGCAGCCGGTGACCCGGAAGGGCGATTGTCTCGCGTGTCACCGGTGCAGTCATTCGCGTAACGCCCGTGTGAGCGCCGCCACCGGGTCTGGCTGGGTGATGGGTCAGCCACAGCTGTCAGAGGCTGAGACAGACCGCGCTGTTACCATGTGAGGCGGCTGGCGGACAATCGACAATCGGTCCTGTGGGTGATGGTCGCATATATGTACCGGTCACGCCCACTGCAGATCCTGGATACTGGTCCCAGGTCGAAATTAAAGACGGTGTAAGATAAGCCGTGTTTAAAGCTATGTATTTGTGAGGCTGGGGAAACGCACTGCATAGGTAAATACGAGATGAGCCTAGCTTTGACGCTCGGTAACGTCTTCGCGTAAATTATGTATAAATCGGCCCATGTGCTCCAATTTACGAAACAAGCCCTAAGACGAAGCGGAAGCTCGTTGCCCGTATCTAGTGTCGACGAGTGGCTGCTAATTGGGCAATAGACGCCGCTATCTCGCCGAGGCCTCCCCGCCCGCTGAACAAAATGAGCTCATTACGTGCTAATTAAACCTTGCGACACGGCCGGAAGCCAGAGAATGACTCCCGGTGGGCGCTACTAGGCGTGATATTGCTGACCGGCGGACATCAGCGGCCGGCAGACCCGGACGAGCAACTTTTGGTGCTTCTGATTAGCATGCGGAGCTTGATGACCACTCCGCGATGGTGGGGGGATGTTCCGGAGCGACCGGAGAGAAGCGCCTGGATTTAGACCACTTAGGTGGCGCACTTATTTGAAATCGTACTAAATCAATCCCTCGCTAGCTAGCTCTACGTATTTATTGTTCTAACAGTGTAGCGTCACTCACCACCCATAATCCGTCCCCTGACCTCTTCCTCTCTGCGACCCCCAGGAGACGCAGCAGCAGGCGGACGACCTGCAGTCGTTCGGCCGTGACCTGCAGCTGACCCCCGGTGACCTGGGCTGCGAGGGTGTCGAGGCGCGCTGCGCCGAGCTGCGCCGGCTCGCCGATCTTACCTCAGACAAAATGCAGACGCGCGCCCAGCTGCTGAAGAAGTGCCGAGATCTTCAGGAGCGCGTGGAACGGGTGAGTTTGTTACGTGTGGTGCAATGGATCCGGTTGTAATATCAATGGCTTCGACATGCATGCCGCCCGTGCCGGGCTTTACTCTATTGAAATAACAATACAGTCAAAGCACTTTTTATAGCAATGCTAACTTTAGGCATTTCAACCACATCCACTAATCCCTTTCTCGCTCCTCTTTCCTGATTCCTGCGACCTCTGACCCCATACTACCTTTCGTGGACACTGTCCTGACCCATTTAGTTAGCATTATCTAACACAATCTTACCCTACATGAATGTCCCTTATTGCCGGAGTTCTACCGCTACTTAACGCCCCCCCCCCCCCCTCCGTCCGCCAGGCGAACGCGTGGTGCGCGCTGGGCGTGGAGCTGCTCACCTCTCAGCAGATCGAGAAGTGCTGGACGGCGCCGGAGCTGGCCGAGCGCGCCCTCTCCGAGATCGACTCGTTCCTGGGCTCGGCGGCCGACCTGCACCTCCACTCGCCGGTCGAACTGCGCGCCGCCTTCCAGGACGTCAGCACGCAGCAGACCAAGGCGCTGGTCCAGCAGGTAAAGTATATAGAGACGCAGCAGACCAAGGCGCTGGTTCAGCAGGTAAATAGTAGAGACACGCAGCAGACCAAGGCGCTGGTTCAGCAGGTGAATAGTAGACACACGCAGCAGACCAAGGCGCTGGTCCAGCAGGTAAGGGAACGGTGGATCAAGGCGCTGGTCCAACAGGTAAGACACGTCAGCACGCAGCAGACCAAGGCGCTGGTCCAGCAGGTAAATAATAGACACACGCAGCAGACCAAGGTGCTGGTCCATAGGTGAGAGACGTCAGCACGCAGCAGACCAAGGCGCTGGTCCAGCAGGTAAAGTATATAGAGACACAGCAGACTAAGGCGCTGGTCCAGCAGGTGAGGGAAGCTTGGCCTGTTGGACTGATACCTTGGTCCAGCAGGTACAGGAAGGCAGCACGCATTACTGATAAAGGCACTGGTCGAGAAGGTAAGTGATAGTGAGAGTCAGCATGCGCAGACACCAGTCAGGCAGAGTATGGTGGCGGCCCAGTTATAGGTTAGGGTGCTGGACGATGGTAATTCCGACATTCTTCTGTCGCGATTCCGATCTGAGATCGGTGATTGAAGTCTATACCCTTTCTTGTCTCTGTGTGTTTGACTGTACTCCCAGCGGGTGGGCTCAGTTAATTTGTGGTCGTCTGGGTGTCTCGTGTGTTCTGTGTCGTCTCACAGTCGCCGAGCGCTGTAAGTTCTGCCGGCTGCACATTACGTGCTCCGGATTGATGCTGGTCGGACCCTGAAGTACCTACGGTCTGGGGAGACGGGGTCGTTAGTGGTGTTGGGACTCATTGAACTCGCTCTGAGAGCCGCTAGGGCAGAGACACGGCCGCTATTATGAGGGCCTGTGGTTTCGACAGGAACAGTAAAGCTACCGTTGTTTGGAAATGATGTAGGCTCTGCATTGACGTTGCTATGGTAGGTACCTATATGTAAGCTAACCATTGCGCTCAGTGCCCTGTCCTACTACTTGAACGACTGTTATTTGAAAGGACTTTCTGTTAAACATACGCGCATTAGCCGAACGTTTGTTTCTTTGATCCAACCGAATCTGAGCCAAGAGCCCTGGGTGAGTCTTAGCTGAGCTGTCGATATTCTGAGGTGGCATCCTATTCTGTTAGTCAGCGTTATGTAGGTTTGTGTCGCTGCCGAGCGCAGACAGTCGTGAGTTCACCTCCCCATGTCTCTGCCGACAGGTGCTACAGCGCATTGATGACGTTCAGACCATGTGCGACCGTCGGCGGAACAGCCTCCAGCGGTACACCGCTCGACAGAGGCCCGTGCAGACGGTCAACCCCGAGCCGGCCGTACCGCTGGACAAGGTCAAACTGAGGTCACCCAGGGGCACACGGCGGGCTCGGCGCAACGGAAAGGTCAGGACGAAGGCAACTGGTATTGGTGTGAAACCAGGGACTCAGGTGGAGGATAAGGACATTTGCTGTATGTGTTATTCGAATACTTTAAGCCAATGCTGATCTCCCGTCTTGCGTTAAATGAAAGGTCAACGGAAAAAGACCAATGGAATTGGATACTTACTTGTGACCCAACGTCAATATGAAAACCGATTGCAATTGTCGCTCTCGTTAGAATTTCTGAAGCTGTGAAGTTATGACTATCGATCATGAAGTATCACCGCTGCTGAATATTTCATCCCTCTCCTCTCCAACTCTCTAGTCGTCACCATCTGACCCCACCTCCCCCGTACCACAGGAGAACGTCAGCCCGTCGAGTGCGGAGGAGGTCGAGTCGCGCGACCCCGAACAGCTGGCCGCGCGGCGGCAGCACATTGTCACAGAGCTGCTGGACACCGAGAGGACCTACGTGGCCGAGCTCAACCAGATACTCAAGGTGAGATGACTAGGAGTGAGATAGGTAGAGGGTGATTTGTTTGTTTGTTTTGTTGGGTTAGGCCCTTTCGGTCCAATGAGACCATTTCAGAGCCGGGAGGATGATAGGATATAGGGGGAGACATTGGTCTGGGCAGGCACCCTAGTGAGTCGCCGGGGCTGAGCCCGTCCAGAGGACAGGCCACCCAGCCCCAAGGCACTCACTGCACCCGGCTACGGGGTGCGCTCCCTCGGGAGCAGCGGTGCCGCTCCAAGGGAGCAGCCCGCATGAGATAAAGTTGCCTGTCCAGCCCGGAGGGGGGTTGCGGCGTGGAGGAGAAGGATATCGGCAGTATCCTGAGGATAGAAGCACGGAACGGATGGTAGAGGGTGAGCTGGTGAGATGGGGTGGTGGTGTGGTGAGTGGTAGATATAGTGAGCAAGAGACATAGTGAGTGGGTTGGGTGAGGTGTGTGAGAGGGTGAGCAAGTGAACGTGTGAACGGGTATTGAGGGAGAGGATGGGATCGTTGGCGCCTAGCGGTGGAGTGGTGAGTGGATGAGATGGTAAGGTGGTGATCTGGTGAGCGGGTGAGGTAGTGAGCAGGTGATAAGTAGTGAGTGGTGAAGATGTGATACGAATTACGCACAATGATGCATTTGTTTGTGCATTGTCGGTGACCAAAAGGTCGCACCGGTGTGGCCTGTCGTTTCGACGGCTGGTTAACTTGCGGTGAATGCGTTTTATTCCGTCCACGATGCATTGCACAAGCAAAGAAATACGAGTTTAGGGGAGTTAAGTTGCTGCAACATAGCTTCAAACACGAACGTTGCACCACGTACTACGTAGTATTTCTTCAAGGGCGAGACAGCCACGTAAATATGCTTCTCAGCCATGAAGCAATGCAACTAACTAATCACTTGATCTTAAGAAGGTGTTGTAGAAGATCATGACTATTGTGTAATCCGATGTTTTAAGCCGACTATGTTAAGTCGCGGCAGCGTCTGATCTTGCAGATCAGACCAAGGCTGTGTCCTTGTATTATATCCTGTTTACCTTCACGGTTCACAATGTGTCGAACCTGGACCTTAGTTTCTGCCACCATGATCCCTGCTTCCAACCCTGGCCAATGTCTCTGATCTACCGACAAAGACGGACGCCTCCAGACTTCTGATCACTGATTCCAGCATCAGCTAGCTCTTTCTCTGACCCTCAAACCCGCTCCCTGCCCTAACTCTAGCTTCTGAGCACGATCTACCCAAGCTACTGAATCAGACCGATGTCAGCGTCTGAACCTACCGAGCTCGGGCGCTGTGAGTTCAATTTACCCCCAGCGCTGACCCCGACCCTCATCTCTGACCGTGACCGCACCGTGCCCCCACAGGGCTACCGTGACGAGATGCTGAGCTCTGAACTGCAGCAGCTGATGCCCATCCAGCTGTACGGCAAGGCGGACGTCCTGTTCGGTAACATGGAGGACATCCAGCGCTTCCACAGCTCCGTGTTCCTGCGGGACCTAGAGGAGTGCAGCTCGGCACCCGAGCAGATCGGGGAGTGCTTCGTGGAGCGGGTCAGTGACGGCTGGGTGTGCGGGGGAGAGGGTCCGTCACTCGAGTGGGGCGGCAGGGTGATCCTGCGGTAGGGTGTGTTATGGGTTGTTTCTAGCTTTGATCGATCGGGTTCAGAAGCTGGGTGGGGCTTGAAGGGCGGGTCAAATAAGGGGCTATGACCGTTTGAAAGTACGTTACCTGGAGGACGGAAGAGTGTAGGGCTGTACTGGACGGGTCGCTAGGCAGCACTTGGGCTGAACGGTGGTGCTGTGTACATAGACAGTTCTGTAGTTCTAAGACTATACTCTCCCGGCTGAAGGAAGGCCCACAGAGGAACGGACGCTTGGCGGCATGGTCGCTTTGAATGCGATCAAGCGGTGATAACTGGTCAGCTAGCACTTCCGAAAGGGATGTCATAAACGTGGGCCGTTCGGGCCAGATGGGTCATTTCCAGGCCTGATGCGGGCATTCAGGGATGTATTACCTCAGATCTAAGGTCGTCATAAGACCTCACCGTCCTGACACACGGACATTTGCGGAACCTCTTAGAGCCTGTAATACTGACCTGCTGATGTGCCTTGACAACTAACTTACCAGGTGACAGTTCATACGCCTGACACGTTGAACGTTTCTTTTGAACATTTACCTTTGCCGATGTTCTGAGCTGCTTACACAGTACAGCTGACCGCCCCTTGCCCTGTCACCCTTCAGAAAGAGGCGCTGCATCGTCTGTACAGCGAGTACTGTCAGAACAAGCCGGCCTCAGAGGACCTGCGACGCCAGATCGGCGACACCAACTCGTTCTTCGTCGAGTGCCAGCGGCGGCTGCAGCACAAGCTGCCCCTGGGCGCCTTCCTGCTGAAACCCGTGCAGAGGATCACCAAGTACCAGCTGCTGCTGAAGGTGAGCCGCTGAGCGTGCCGGAGGTGCTGTGTTGCTGGTGGTTCACGGCAATCTTAAAGTGACGCGTGAGGCGGGGATTGTTCGCAAGTTGCATTGATGCTGAGGTGAGCCCTTCATTCAAACGGGCCAAATTCACATTAAAACTGTCGATTCTCAATCAAAAGTTGGAACAACTCTCATAACAGGTCTGTTTCCATGGACCGTATAGATCCAGTTGTTGATATTGAGATAGGATCGATTATAATATTGCATAATATTGATAATATTGCGATTTGAGGATCAATAGCTGAAATACACCTGGAGCCAAGTAAGTTCGATCAAAGAGACTCTCACGGCGTCCCGGTGAGTAGCAGCTTCGTCTGTCTTTGTGCCGGATATAGCCCGCTACAGTCACGTGTCGGTCGGTACGTGCCGATGAGCCGGAGGGCTGAGCGTGTGGGCGTGGGCCGCACTCCCACTAGAGCACGTGCAGACGGCACAGGGGGAGGGTGGACGGTGATGAGACGCGTGCCGGCTGTTGGAGACGGGAGGTGGGCGGAAACGGAGCGACCGTGAACGCTCGGCCTACTACAGAAAAATCCGGCCACGGGGGTGGTATTGGTGCCTGCCACCGGTACTGGTAGCACCCTTCAGATGTGATGAAAATTGTGAACGTGATCGGCTTTGCTGAATGGGTTACGTAACTTCCGTTCGCTCCGAAGCTCTGTTCGCAAAGCCGTGCTATTTTATACTTTGAGACGGCGTCAACAAACTTCAATCACATTACAACTGGTCGTACTGAAGCATCTCCCTGCCTATGAATGTCTCATGACTTCGAATGCATATTTGATCGACGCTGAGCATCCCTGGATACGGCCCCGGACAGTCTCCCGCTCACCCCACTGAGACCCTACCTCGCGCCGTTGCAGGACCTGCTGCGCTGCAGCGAGGACCCCGACTCGTGCAAGCAGCTCACCGAGGCGGTCACGTGCATGCTAGACGTGCTGAAATGTGTCAACGACTCGATGCACCAAGTGGCCATCAGCGGCTTCCCGGTAAGTGCCGTTCCGAACCAGATCGCTTCTGATGTATGCTTTATTGTCGATAATGCCGCCCTTGATTTAGTTTTTGAGGAGGTTGTCGCCTTGTGGCTTGTATGTAATGCGTGGTGTTCGGCTATGATTTATCAAAAGTACCGTTTATGCATACAGTCGATGATATTCATATTGTTTTAGAAGTTGCTAAGTTGTATGTCAAGCTAATTTTTTTTTTCGCCAAAAATGATGTCGATAATTGAAACGGTCAAGCAACCATATCAAGCTTTTGTGCGTTACAAGATTCTTAGTGCGTTATAAGTGGCTACAGCCGCATATGATAGCATATCTTTCGCATTTTTTCAGGGCAACATCCTGGACCTGGGTCGGCTGCTCCTTCAGGGGTCGCACACGGTCTGGATCGAGAACAAGAAGGACCGTCTCCGGGACCTAAGGTGAGTGAACTTCGGAAAATGCTCTGCAGGACGCGGGTATTCCCTATCTTACTTGTTATTAATTCGTGCCATATGTTATTACATATAGTCGCGTTCCATTTAGTTTTATTCAAGGCCCTAAAAACAGTTTAATTGTTGAACCGTGTTATGAATATGAGTTGTAAGGCATCGTGAGTTTTTTCTTTGTTTAGCAGACTTTCACTGATTTATGTGACTTCACCGACGCTGCAAAGGCTCGTTCATTTTGCCTGGTTGGTTCTGCTCACCGTTTATGCCCCGTTTTACAGATTGAAGCCCCGCCAGCGACACCTGTTCCTCTATGAGAAAATGATTCTGTTCTGCAAGAAGAAAGGCGGCGAGAGGCCCCGGTACAGCTTCAAACATTGTCTCAAGGTAATGTAGATTACACTGATACAATCCGATTACCGTGCTGGGGAATGATAACGTGTTTGTCCGGCATGGAGTGTTAGCTGGCAACACACCTACCTACATCGTGGCTTATTTTGGTTTTTAAAGACCATGTAATTCCCGTCATTACACAGTACTTCTCCTGTCGACAAATAGGTGCGTACGGAAAACCCAAGTCATATCGTTTACTTAATGCATTGTGCAAATGTGCACTCAAACCGTGATCCATGTGGCTCCAGTGTGTTGTGACGTGCGTTTCCTCACCGTACTAATTAGTTCCCGTGCTGCCCACCAGATGTCTCAGGTGGGGCTGACTGAGACGGTGAAGGGGGATCCGAAGAAGTTCGAGGTGTGGCTGCCGGGCCGAGCCGAGGTGTACACCATTCTGGCCACATCGGTGGACGACAGGGAGACCTGGGTAGGTGCCGCCGGGGTGAGCGCCATGAGCTCCCTAAATTGGTGGATATATTATCAAGGGAGACCTGGGTAGGTAGCGCTGTGAGTGGGCCGAAGTTAAGCTTTTTTAGGTCTAACGACTGGCTCACTGAAGTGGGAGGAGGTTGAATGTTTCTAAAAAAATGTGTATTAATTTGTCCATGCTTGGCGATGTTGTCCTATCTTCAGATAGGGAAATAATCAAACGACAAACGACAAACGATGCCAATGCCTGTCGGTCATCTGTTCAGGCTGGTAACGACTCTCCCTCTGGGCTGACGACCGTGCTGACTGTGTCCACAGGTTCGGCAGATCAAACGAGTGTTGATGGAGCAGCTCGAGTTCCTCAAAGGAGAAAATATGAAACAGTACAAGGTCCAGAAGGGCAACAGCATGGGCAGCAACGGCACGGCCATGTCGCCCACCACACACAAGTGGGTAGATAATGGATTCATTTTTGTATTGTGCCGTTTTCATAATGATGAATCTGGACGTGTATCTGGTTTAACTTATGAAACTGTCAAATATGAACAGAAATAAGCTTCCACAGAATATCTCCTTATAAGGGAGCTGTGACAGGACAGGACCCATGAAATCGAAATAGTATTATAGCTGCTTCCATTATTCATTCCATTAGCATTAGTCTCCCGCTGTACACCCATCGGTTCAGTCTGAGACCTTCCCATTCCCTCCTCAGACCGCTGCGTCAGACGGCCTCCTGGGAGAACGGCTCTACGGACTCGCCGCCGGGCGGTGTGGCCGGCTCACGGGGCCGTATCCAGAGTGTCGACTGGTCGCCGCAGACATACGGCACGCCGGCAGAGGACGGCTGGAGCAGCGAGTACAGCAGCGACGACGACACCTACCCGGACAACGGCGGACAGGTGCGGAACCGGCGGCGGCGGGCAGCAGAGGGGTGTCTAGTCTAACGTTAGGAGCTGAATTCCAAGCGTCAGGGATCCAGAGCCCAGGGCCGGTGTCGTGAGACGGCTGGATGGAGCCTTTCAGGCATTATTTGGCTGGTGTGAATGGTGCATGGTGTGGTTTAGTTGATGATTTTGCTGTCAATAATCCCACGCATTTGTTTACTGCGCCCTGACAAGCGATCTACTCTAAAAACAGACGAATATCTCGACGTCGCCTCCTGCGCTGTCTCTCCAGTCCCTCTGACTATAATGCTGATTCCACAGCCCCTCTGACCGTCCGTGTCCTGACCGTTGATTCGCTTCTTCTCCCGCCGCCAGTACAACCGTCACAGCCGGTTCCTGGTGCTGGCCGACTACCAGGCGGTGGGCCTGTCGGAGGTCTCTCTCAGGGAGGGAGACACCGTGGAGCTGCTCAAGGTCGGCTGTGCCGGCTGGTGGTACGTCCGCACACCAGGTTAGTGCGCCGCGCCCCGCCGGCAGGGAAGGGACCGGTGGCCCGCGGTCGGTCACACGGGCTGGCTGGCTGCCATTCAGTCAAACAGGGAAGTGATGTCGTGCCTCGTGGTCGCATAGTTATTTCAGCTGGCTGTTCTTATGACTAAGTTCACTTGTGAGGTTATTTTTGTTTTGGGGATGTTTGAGTTTGCACATTACAATATATCTGTAGTGCCTTGCTCTCGTGGATAATAATCCCATGAACTACCTGGTTACGATTTCGTCTACATTCTTCAACTGTCCCGTACGCTGACCCATGAAGCATACCTTCCCTCTACCGGCTACAGGCGTGGCCACCGAGGGCTGGACGCCGGTCTACTGACCTGTAACCCATACCTGACCTGTAACCCATACCTGACCTGTAACCCCTTCTCCCGGTTACAGGCGTGTCCACCGAGGGCTGGGCGCCGGCCACCTACCTGGAGCGGCTGAGCAAGCGGCACTCGTGCGGTTCGCCATCCGTCAGCTCGGTGGAGAGCGGGGTGATCGAGATGCGGCCGGCCGCCAGCCGAAACTCGGTCGCCTCCAACCTGAGTGCCCCCAGCGAGGTCGACGAGGACCTCAAGTGAGCGCCGGTGGGAGAGGAAGACCGCGCCGGCGGCGGAGCGTCTTAGAAGGATCTCAGAGCATGGGAGACTGGCGCGGGGAGTGGCAGGGTCCGCCGAGTAGGGTTCGACGGCGAGCGTGAGCCAGTGCTTGTGTTCTGAGAGTGAGCTTCAAACATGCCAACTGGGAGGGAGGCGGACCAGCGGATGTGAAGATAGAGCGACGATGGACCTCAGGAGGCGCGATCCGAGGGTGGAGGCTTCCAGTGCTAAAGTTCGATTCGGAAACCTCAGGCGAGTCGCGACAACCGTGACGGACAGTCCGGTGTGGCATCTGAGAACCCACGGCTTCCTCCGACTCGCAGCCTTCCTGGGACCTGAGCGTAGCCTCCGACCGCCGGCACTGGGCGCCCATCCATGTCTTTGGTCTCGGCACGGGTAGAGGCCAGCCCCGCTCAGTCGGCCTGCTGCCGGGGGTGGCGAGGTGCGCCAGTAGACGCCACCTCACTGGTTCAGGGCCAAAGTTTTCAGGACGCGCGGTCCTGCGCCTGCCGGCTCGCCTTTCAGTCTCGTCTGCCCGTGGTCGGCGCGGACTCTGGGTGGTTCGGTGAGCCGCGAGGTGGCGTGCGGGTGCCAGAGATGGGGCGCCGCCTAGAGCTGACCTTTGTGATACTGTACAGACCGCGACCGTGCGTATTTGTGTGTTGTTGGTGAGCAGTTAACGCCTGTGATTTGTACTGTATTTGATGGTCCCGCGGCGCGGTGTCTGACCGCCGACACGCAGTATTTCCCGTCTATTCACCGCGCTGTGGCGCAGAGCGTTCACCCACGCCAGGTATTAGAACCAGGACAGGGGAGCCGACCACACACACCAGTGTCCCGCCCGCTCTGTCAGACCATTTGACCCATTGAGTGAATTGTGACACGTGTAACTACCCGCGTTTGTGACAGGCGTTTGTAGAGATTTGATGAGTTTTCTTGGATGTCCTTGAGATGCTGGAGATACTATACTCCGTCAACCTTCTCAGCTAGTTTACAGGCCTGTACATTCTCCTACTTCTTACGCCTTGTAAGAGCTTTGAGATTGCCAATAACGGCTTTTATGGAATTTTAGATGTATCCTGTCAGCCACGGTGTAAAAACAAAGCTTTAACCAAGTCATTGCGTTGTCTGCTTCACGTCTTACCAGAATACCATGATGTGAAGGTGATTGATGATGTATTACACTTGGCAATGTAATGATGTGATGTATGTCGCTCCAGTTTTCGCACAGTTGTCAACGAACACAGTGAGGCATAATACAATGAATGTGTGACACCAGTCTGTACGCACAGCTACTGAAGTGTCGTTAGCTGGGCAATATGGCCACATCACATAAACCCATGAACGTGACGTTAATGAGGAGATACGTCACAGCGACATCACAGGGACAGTGGTGAACACTGAACATCATCCCGTGGAACTGATGTAATGCATCAGTTCAGTCCACCTCCTCTCACACCCTACACTCGCCCTTCATCTTAGGCACAAGGTTCGGCCGGGACGAGGCATAGTCATTAGTCATACCGCTCAAGACAGGGGAGGCACGCCATCCTACGACCCCTTCAATGACACCCACTGTCCTACAGACCCACGCACCCTTCCATCTTTCACAGTCGCCGAGCCACCCACAGCACAGCACCAACCCCGTGCTATCACGGAACGGCACCACTCAGCACTCACCACTCACGAGACGGAGCTGCCCGACGCTCACGAGACGGCGACACCAGCGCTCAGTGCCGGGAACGGTTCCTTTTTGCTGAGCACCAGCTTCTGGTGGGCGTGGCTGATGTAGCCCTTCATGCGGCCCTCGTAGATGAGGTTAGCCAGGATGCAGGCAGTCTCGTCGGCGTCAATGTCGGCGTCGGCGCCGGTAGCCAGCAGCGCCGCCTGGAACTTGGAGATGTCGATCTGCACGGAGCCCGTCAGTAGGAACCTGAAACACGCGGTACCGATGCCTTACAACATGTGCAGCTGATGGACGGACAATGATAGGGCGGGTCATCGGTGGAAGTTGGGTGCGATATCATGTCGCAAATAGAGCCAGATCGTGAATGCGATACATGTTTTTTCATTCTAATCAAGATTAGAACAAAGCCACGGATGCCGTTTGGAACAACAGCCATTTGGAACAAACCATACGACGCAACGCTACACGCTCTGCTCGTCACTCACACTTTTTTGAAGAGGTTCCTGTATGTGATGGTGCGCAGTTTCTCCAGGATCAGGTAGATGCCGCACTTGATGAAGAACGCCTGGTGGGCGGCCATAGCGGCGGAGAGCCGGCGCGGGTTACCCTCGGTGACGGCCTTGACCACCTCGCTGAACTGCAGCAGGTTGTATTTGACCAGCAAACTCTCCTGGGGCATGTGACCCTGGAATGCAGACGGACAGACGTGTACAGCTCGACGGTAGGTGGTTGGGAGGTTGGAAAGCACAGTAACGAATAACGATCCATGATCGCAGCTCATCGGCGTGACGAGACTAGGGTGCCGGCATGCGTCATACAAGACTCCCGTACATGTGAAACAGTTCGAATCGAATATGCCGAATAGCCGTTTTAAACTCACTCCATCCGTTTAATTAGTGAAGTCCAACGGCATTTTAGAAGTTTTAAGACCGACCGAAATTATTGACCATCTCTAATCCTGTTTCGGCACTCACCAGCAGCATTTTGACGGGGATGAGGTAGATAAGAATAAGCCGCTTGTTCTTCTGGCAGTCCTTGTGGCAGCGCAGAAACGCAAAGTGCAGCGCCTCCTCGGCTGGTGATGTCAAAACATTGGGTCAGTGGCCTGCGGCACCAGAATCTCGCAAACGCGTAAGCATGACGAACAAGACGAGACATTACTGCAACATTATGCCACCATGCTCATTTCACTAAATTAGGATCATTCAATGAATGACGCACTTATGGAGAAGGTTTTGCGACATCGTACGTCCTAATACTCATAATAACGGACAACGGTCATAACACATCATATAACACACGATTTGTGATACCAAAACGACACAGATTAACATTGAATGGTTGTTGATATGACTCTATCCAATGCTGAAGCGTCCGCGCCGCCGCGGGCGCCCATACTGACCTGCCTTGTAGTCGCAGTCGAACATGGCCTTCCTGCCGGTGTAGTAGCGGTACGTCACCAGCTGGCTCAGCGAGAACTCCGTCTTGAACGGCAGCGACTCGATGGCGCGGATCAGCGGCTTGCACAGGTGCAGCTTGTTGACGCGAAAGTAGATCTTGAACAGTTGGTTGACCAGGTTCAGCATGCCCCACCGCTTCGTCTCGTCCATCTCTGCTCGCCTGCAGACGCGCGCACGCAGCGAAACACGTTAGCGAGATGGTAAACCGGATGGTAAAATAGCTGAGCACCGTCCGCCGTCACAGGCTTATACTAACCTGTCACTGCCGCGACCCAGCACTGTCTAGTTTCATCTATCTCGGTAGATGAGATTTGTCACTCCCCACTGCATATCCCTAATCCATTTCTTAACACTAGATGCCGGCAGCGCTCTTGCGTTGCCTTGGGCCAGAATTGGAGGTACGGTACTGAAGGCACACACCGGGCCAAACCACCGAAACCCAGACTGAGCTTGGACTGAACCTGAAACCAACCGAAACATCCCAAAAATGCTTGGAAGCACGTGAGATTGGTGTGAATATCTACCTACAGTAAGATATGCACGTGCATAGTTCATGTCCCAGGCACCCCACTGCAGTCATTTTCATAGCATCCTGTAGCATGTGTCTAGTTCTATCAGTGTACCGACTTTTGTGTCGCTATCTCGACGTTTCCCGTGATCAGAGGATCCATCGTCAAAACCGTTAAGCGCCCCCCGCACGCGCAGCTTGCACCCCTCGGATATTATCTCGCCGAAATGTCAAGATTCAATGCATTTTTTCTTATGACCTGCAAGTTTTGAACCAGTTAGAGCCGCCGTTTACCCTGCAGGCGTGGCAACGTACGAAGGGGTGCAATCGGCTTGCACGTGCATAGCTCATGCACCACAGAGTTTAGCTCAACCAAATGTGCACTATTTTGGAGGCCTTGCCTGGGACTACAATTGAACCGATTTTGAAGTTGATAGCTCAAAATTTCTTGGAGCCAGAGGACCTCACGTCAAAACGGCTTTCCGCCACCAGCACGTGCAGCCTGCACCCCTCGCAGACGGTGACCCCCCTGGAAACTGGTTCAAGGTGTTACCGATGTGTCCCGCCAGTGTGGCTTTGTCCGTGACCTCGGGTTGACCTGTAGCCTTGACAAAAAATTTCGTGTCACCGAAACTTTGAAGTGGAATAGCATGTGCCACGAAGCACTGAGCGAACCGAGGCCAGCATCAAAAGTTTACCTCGCCGGTGACGAGTCGAACGGTACCACGTTGGTCCCGATCGGTCCACACATTTTGACTCCAGGTCCAAAAAAGCTTGGACAAACTCACATACATACATACTGACAAACAGGCTCAGCCGAACTTTTTTTTCAGCGACCCACCAATGGGAATTTCCGGATGCAAAAGCATGCTATCGCATGCTTTTGATCCTCCAATTCTGGATAAGTCCATTCCCAAAGTGCCTTCTACTGAATACCTCTGTCACAGCTACAGTTCCACAGTGCCTTCGCTATCACATGTCTCCGTCAGTCTCTCACAGTGTCTTCGTCCGCCCTAGCTCCCGCATGGTCTCCGTCACTGTCTCTACAGCAGTGTCTCCCAACTCACGTGTCTCCGGCGCAGACACGGAAGCAGCTCATCAGCCCCTCTGCGGCCTTCTCCAGTACCTCTCCCGGGTGGCCCTGGCCGGCCCTGGTTCGCTCGGCGTCCGCCGCCGCCGCCACCCGCCTGGGACCGAGGGCAGACTCTGGTCAGAGCGATAAAAAGCAGCATTCAGAACCAGCGCCTCCGCGATTTTAATTTAAAAACAAAGCAAAGCTCACCAACGATGCCCCATCGGCCCTGGAGATACCAAAGGATCGGGATTCAGGGCGATACCAAACAAATACCCTTTGTTGGCGTCATTCCTCCTCCCGCACACCTGAGGTCGATACGCTCATCAAGTACTGTCGTCGTACCCCCCCCCCCCCCCAACTCAGGTCAAGGTACACACTAAGCACTGCCCCCTCCCCCCTCCCTCACACACTGACCTGAGGTCGAGACAGATGGTGTTCATGACCGGCAGCGCCCAGTTGTCGTCCTTGTGCGTCACAAACACCTTGGCGAAGCAGGAGACGACCGCGCTCTGGCAGCGGTGCGCCTCACTGTAGTCGTTGTTGGACACCGCCCACACACATCTGGGCACAGCGGAATCAGGTGCGCGCGTGTAACTCGACAGAAGCCAATATGGTAGCCTGGTGTTCAATAAACGTTTTAATAAAATTTATTTATCTTGAAATGTACATTGCCCAGGTCTCGCGGGTTTTATAGCGGTATGTTTTGCCCCTATGAAATTAAGTAAATTTTCGAGTATACCTATTTTCTTCGTCTTAAGCTTTTAAGGGTTAAAGATGCAATCAATTTATTCGTACACACTACACAGTACACATGCCTGCCATGATCCTCTAAAATGACTTCATCACTTCATCGTATATCGATTAGTTTCCGAGATATAGCCGGAAACGTAAAAAGGCAAAGCACACCGCTTACAACCGCGAGAGCCGTACATGTGGCGGCGAATAAGCAAAACCGGTAAACCAGGCTCTGTAAGTATAACACTGTATAATACCGCATTTGATGATCGATAAACGTTACCATAAACAACATAAGGTTGCCGCTTGACGAAGTAACTCAGCCACGCGACAAACTTCTTTGAGTCGTACGAATTAAAAAGCGGTTTAAAAGTGACAAAACGGTTGACGTGTTAAATTAAAATCCGGTAACTACGGTAACTGTATTATATGCCAACCACACAACAACAAAAAAGAAGCCAACATAACCAGTGCAACAAAATGTCAAACTAGTCACATCATCCCATTATAAACAGAAAACTTTTGTCATTCCCTATTCTTCGCCTGCCATTCGCCCTTCGCCGCCAGTTCTCATCGCCCGTTCTCCGGTTCCCGTCAGTTATCCCTCCCCACCGCCCTTCCCCGCTGCTACCTGAGGTGAGCGGCCACCAGCTCGTCCAGCGGCGAGTCCAGGACGTCCTGCACATGGTCCTCGGGGTGCTCCAGCTGCAGGCGGCTCGACATCACGTGAGGGTGACGCAGGGAGAGCAGTTCGGCCGCCTGCGGGCCGCGCCGCCGGCCCCATGCTGACGAAACCTGACCAACACAGGGAAAGCTTGTCAGACAGTGTTGAAGCTACAGACTTGGTCGGAGAGGCCAACATAACCTAGCGTTTTCGTTGTAGTTAATTCAATCTTATAAGTGTCACACCAATGAGATTACAGTTAGTTCAAGTTAGTTTTAGGTGGAAATTGCTGGTCAGCTCAACTGCATGACACAGTATTCTTACTAAACATGAGTTTCTCTATAGAATGTCTAATTATAGGAATTAACTAATGTCTGAACCGGGACAAATGGAAACTTGAAATGTGACCCTGATGAAGACTGATTGGATTTTAGCCACGAGGGAGGGACCTGCCCAATTGCCCATGCAGTATAATGCAGCATGCCAGTTGCCACCATGTTCGGAAAGCAGTCTGTCCTTGTCGGTGCCACAACTAACACACAACTGAACTTAGTTCATTATTATTTACCTGGCCCAAATAGGCATTAAGGCTCATGGTAGCCATCAGAAATGTATATAAGCCGAGACGATTACTTAACCTCAAAAATAGACTAATTAATCCTGATTTCCACCCAAACTGATTGGGATAATTATCCTAGATATCAATAAAGATATTATACTGCTATGATATGACAACAAGAAAACGAAGAAAACAAACTTCCTCTCGCCAGCTCGCGTCAGTAATGTCGGAAGTGCATAACTTTTGTAAACAAAAATGCTTTGGCAGCATTTGGCACCAAAATCACTTTTATTTTGGCGTAATTAAAACTTACGCATTTTTCTACGTTTTATTTTTCTATATTTTGTAAATATCTAAATGTTAAAGCTGTCTTTTTGCAATTATTCGTTATTTAAAAAGCAATTAAAGCAATCTAATAGAATTTAAATGCAATAAAACAAAAAGTGAAATTTGAGATTTGAAGGAATAAAGTCAGGTTGGAAAATAACTTCAATAAAAGGTAGCTGCAAATATGACGCGTTTGGGTCTTTCGTGGTGCACCTTTGCCCGCTGTGCACTTTTGCACGTGGATCATCTGCAGTGATACTATATATGGCCTTGGCAGTGATTATTTGTGTATTTGATTGTTTCTCGGGCTGTGTGCTATTTTGTAATTTCATTGTTGTGATCTTTTGATAACTAAAAGCCCAAGAAATTGAAAATGCAAGTCTCGAATCCAAACAACGTCAAGATATACAACTTGACAGCCGGAAAGTCCCTGCCAGACTGGCTATCTGAAAAGAAGAAACGTGCGTTGTTGAAGAAGGATGTCGAAGTTAGTCGAAGAATTGAGCTTATTCAGGATTTTGACATGCCAGGAGTAAGTTCCTGCATTGGTTTATCACCGGACAGGCAGTACGTGGTAGTGACTGGGATGTATAAGCCAACAATGAAGTGTTTTGATTTGCATGAGCTTACTTTGAAATTTGAGAGATGCTTCGACAATGAAGCTGTCAAGTTCACTTTCCTGAGTGATGATTTTTCTAAAATCATCTTCCTTCAGCAAGATAGATACATCGAACTGCACACTCAAGGTGGCAGATATTTTCGCCTCAGAGTTCCAAAGTACAACAGAGATATGGCATACCACAAGGAGTCGTGCGATTTGTTCATAGCATGTGCTGGCAGTGAGATGTACAGGCTGAATCTAGAGAGGGGCTGCTTCTTGAGTCCTCTTCAGACTGATGGAACCTGCGTCAATGTCTGCAAGATCAACCCAGTTCACCAGCTTCTTCTGGCTGGCACCCAAGAGGGGAAGATAGAAGCATGGGATCCACGATCCCGCTCAAGATGTGGTATCCTGGACTGTGCCTCTGGGGCACTCGAGGCAAACACAGACATGGAAGGTGTTCCGAGTGTCACTGCGTTAGAGATGAACGGAGGCCTGCAGATTGGTGTGGGTCTCAGCACTGGCCAGGTTCTCCTGTATGACATCAGATCTGACAAGCCTCTGCTGGTCAAAGACCACTACAATGAGCTGCCCGTCAAGGACATCAGGTTTCACTCTGGCATGGATCTGGTGATGTCCATGGACTCCAAAGTGGTGAAGATCTGGGAGAAGGAATCTGGAAAGCCGTACACCTCTATCTCCTCTGACAAACAGCTCAACAATCTCTGCACTGTGCCTGACACTGGACTGCTCTTCATTGCTAATGAAGCGCAGAAGGTCCAGACATACTACATTCCATCCATTGGTCCAGCCCCCAAGTGGTGCAACTTCCTGGACAACCTGACAGAGGAGCTGGAGGAGTCAGACGTGACGACCATCTACGACAACTACAAGTTTGTGACCCGGCAGGAGCTCGATGATCTGGGGCTGACACACCTGCTGGGAACCAATCTACTCCGGGCGTACATGCACGGATTCTTCGTCGACATTCGGCTCTACAAGAAGGCCAAGTCGGTCGCCGATCCATTTGCGTTCGACGACTACCGGAAGAAGAAGATCAAGGAGAAACTGGACGCTAAGCGCGACAACCGCGTCAAACTGGACAAGCTGCCCTCGGTCAACAAGGACATAGCGCTGAAGTTGATGCACGGTGCCAAGTCCTCCAATGCCAAGAAGAGGAAGACGACTCAGGGCCTGCTGGAGGACGACCGCTTCAAGGCGATGTTTGAGAACCCCGACTTCACGGTGGACCGCGAGTCTGACACGTTCCGTCTGCTGAACCCGGTGCTGAGCTCGCTGGAGGAGCAGCGGGCCGTCAAGGCGGAGCGCCGCCAGCGGCTGGCCGAGGAGCGCCGCCTCCAGGAGGAGCACCAGCGTCAGGAGGAGCTCGAGCCCGAGGGCCGGCCCAGCTCCGAGGAGGAAGACGACGATGAGGACGAGGACAGCTCCGACGGCGAGGGCTACGTCACGGAGCGCCAGCGGCGCCAGCAGCAGCGCCAGCTGGAGCGGCGCCAGCGGCCCGCCGAGCTGGTGGCCAACCCGGCCGCGCTGCCCGTGCGCGTGCTGCAGGGCGACAGCGTGCGCGAGATCACCGGCGGCGCCCGCCGCGAGCGGCGCGTGCCGCTCGGCGAGCGGCTGCGGCGCCAGCAAAGCGACGGCCCCGTGCAGCATGTGTCCGGCTTCGGCAACCGGCAGATGACGTTCACCTTGGCCGGGAAGAAGAAGCGCGACTCGCGGCGGCGTGAAGAGGCGCTGCGCCACCACGCCGAGCGCCGCAAGATCCGCCGCTCGGCCAGCTCCCTCGGCAAGACCGCCGGCGCGTTCAAAAACGCGTAACGGTCGTGGTAGCGTTGTGCTGGCGTGTGTATGTGTGTATTTGTCGCGGTTTAATGGGTTTTGCGTGAGATAAAGGACGAGTATGTTTGGATGGTGTTATGACTTCTGGAGTGCCTACTGCCTACAGCCTACAGCCTATGTGTCGTTGCGAATGCATTGTGTCGAGTTGAGTGCTTTAGATTGGCAGACATCGGTATTCGGTGCGATGCTGCGATTTTATGTTGGAAATGTATTGTAAAATGTCGTACGCTGATGTCCCTCATGGCCGTTGCGGAAGTCGAGTTTGTTGGTAGATCATTGCTGTTTTGGGGATGAAACGGTTGACGTGTCCCCCAGCTGACTGACGAGGAGGGAGGGACATGTCGGCATCGTGTTCCCTTTCTTGAAGTGTCAGATACCTTTCATCTAAGGTATCGACTTTGTAATACAAAATAAATGTGGACCACTTGAAAGCTTCTCACTACGTTTTTTTTTTCACCGTTGCAGCTAGTCTTCTAACGCAACGATTTATCAGTTGAGTAGGCTAGATCTTATTTGGTGGGGTCAGCTTCATTTCTGGGTCTACTCTGTTGCCTTATTCTTCAAGTACACGAGCCTGATGCTCATCACAATGAGCTATGGGGTGTGTATTGCGTACCGAGGCGAGCTGGGTGAAGATCAGTGACTGACACGCGTTACTTCTGCAGGTATACGGCCCCGGCCCCGGCATTACCAAATGCGCGCTAGGTGGCGCGCTACGGTAATTAACATCTGCTATAGGTGGCGGAAGTGTCGGTTAGCAAGGCCAAAATATTGGTCTGGCTGGAATGAAATGATCGATATACCGTGGAAATGATCTTGAAATTTGTCATTCTAGATTTTCGCAGCTACCGGGAGATTAATTGATTGCTACTGCTGCCTTTCATGCTGAGTTTTTTTACGCATCACTCGGTTATCGACTATCGGGGCAGCTTCCCCACTGTGAGTCAGCTGTTGCCGGTTACGTAATCATAGTTGTAAACAAACGCCCCACGTGCTGACCGATTTGTGCTACGAGGCTGGATAAAAACTGGCGATTATTCGCTATTCGGCGGGCGGCATTTGTTGCTTTTTAAGCTTTTTACTACAGTGATGGCTGAGCCAGCATCGAAGAAACAAAAGAAGGATGACAGCCTCTCACAGAGCCAGAGCATCCATCAGCAAGTTGAGGAAAGGCGAAAGGAGGTTGGTATCCGCTGTGGCTGTGGCATATTACTCTGTATTTGGCTAGTTTTCTTTGACTGGCAAACAACTGTCATCCCAATGATGGTGATGTTATTATACATTTGCTTTAATCCTGGTCCCTGGAGCTGGTGAAATCCGTGGAGCTTCATATTGACACTAAATATTCCTGCTTGAATTTCAGTTCGGCAAGCCTGGCTGGAAGTTCAACAAGAAGCGGGTCAAGGTGTTGACTGCTGAAGAAATTCCAGACAAAGCCAAGAGTGTTGTTTATTGGATGTCAAGGGATCAGAGAGTTCAAGGTATTATTTGATGACAATTTACTTTTGCAAGCTACAGCAAGTAATTTTCCGAGTGCCCACTTTTTCAGCAGATCAATGTTATGGGGGTTGCAGTTCACTTTCTTCAGCATCCTTGTGTCACTAGCCTACATGACTTTTGGGTGTTGTATGACATATCTTATGTTTATTTCAGACAATTGGGCATTTCTGTTTGCCCAAAAATTGGCTCTCAAGTTCAAACTGCCTCTACATGTGTGCTTTTGCCTGGTTCCAAAGTTTTTGGATGCCACCATCAGACACTATGGTTTCATGATGAAAGGTATGTTAATCTGCACCTAATGCTTATTATGAGCCTGCTATCAGTTAAAAAGTTATTTGCTTGTCCAGGAAAACATATCTGGTCAGACCAGCTCCCTCTCCTCCCCCCATTCACTGTAAAGATACATAAAGACTTATCCCACTGCCACCATTCACTTTCCCAGGCCTTTGATGACTCTGAGCCTGACTCCAGGTCTTCAGGAGGTGGAGAAGGAGTGCTCCCAGTTGGGTATCAATTTTCACTTGCTGGTGGGACCGGCCTCCAACACCCTTGTGCAGTTTGCGAAGGACCACCAGACAGGGGCCGTGGTGACTGATTTCTCGCCACTCCGGGTGCCCCGCCAGTGGCTGGATGAGGTCATTAAGGCCTTGCCGAAGGATGTCAGTGTGTGCCAGGTGAGCGACAGCGTGGTTTGAGCGTGAAGTCGGGACTGGATCGTAAGATAGCGGGAAATAGCTCAATGGGATAAAAAAATTCGCTGCCAAGTGCCATGGATTGGTTTCGTGCCGAAACGATAAACATCGCGTGAAATGAATCAATGAATCAATAATATTTCGATATTTCAGTGAGATGATAAAGTTCATGTCGTGAAACTAATACCGTTTATTCCCTCATTAAAATTTGCTAGTCCACCCTCGACCGGGTTCGGTACGTTCACTCACCTCGCTGAACGCATCCACGATCCACCCCAGTTCCCATCCCCCTCCCGTTGGTTCTCCCCTACAGTGACCTTCCCGACGCCTCTCCGTCCAGGTGGACGCCCATAACGTGGTGCCCTGCTGGGTGGCCAGCGAAAAGCAGGAGTACGGCGCGCGCACGATCCGGCGCAAGATCATGGACCGGCTGCCCGAGTACCTGACCGAGTTTCCGGCCGTTGTGCGCCACCCGCACCCTGCCCAGCAGGCGGTCAAGGTCGGTCGCCGCACAGCCGGTGGGCGTGGTCGGACCGGCTGTCCGCTCGTAGATTCGTTCATTCATTCATTCATTCATCTAACCATTCATTCATTCATTCATTCATTCATGTATTTATTTATTCATTCATTTATTCATTCATTTATTTATTCATTCATTCATTCATTCATTCATCCATTCATTCATTCATTCATTCATTCATTCCTCTGTCGGTTTCAATGTCTCATGTTTATTTATTTTAACCGATTTGCTTTTCGTTCCATTCTACATTTATGACTCATGTCGCCGTTTCCCGTCCGTTTTACGTATTGCTCATCGTAGTTCAATAAATATCAGCGTATTTGCGTCGATCTTTTAATCCATGGAACATTCTTTTCACAAGTTACTCGTTTTGTGATTATCTAAAGACATTGTTTACACTACACAACAAATATTTCACCTATGTGTCGTCTTTACCAGTGTGTGCCCCCATGAGTCCAGATTCCAGAACTGCTGTTGTGTGCGTCCCGCCCCTGTCCCTCCTGACGCTCCCTATCTCTCCTGACGCGGTCTCATGGCTGTCTCCTGACCCGTTCCCGTCCCTGTCTCGTGACCGTTCTCTTGCTTGCATACTTGCTTACACTATCGGGAATTTTGAAAGGCAACTCGCCTGTAGGTCCCGCTCTCGTCGAGCTCGTGACTGGTGGTCATCTCTAGTCGTGAGTAGGAGTCAGGTACATCAGATTGGCCCAATGCATGTCAAGTCTGGATTTGAAGGCATTGAGGGATGGGGCCTGGACAACTGTTGCAGGGAGGGAGTTCCAGTCGTTGAGCGCTCGAATAGTGAATAGTTGTCTTCTGGCTCGTGACTTGGCGTGTGGTTTGTACAGCTTCCAGGGATGGCCACGGTTGGACCTCGTGGACGCAGGCTTGACAAACTTGTCCGAGTCGATAACGATCTCGTTATGCAGCAGCTGGTACATTCAAATCATGTCACCACGGCGTCTTCGGTGGAGCAGTGAAGGAAGCTTCAGGCATTTCAGTCTCTCAGTATATGGTTTGCTCCTGATGCCGGACACTAATCGAGTAGCACGCCGCTGGACTCGCTCCACAAGCTTGATGTCTGCACGATTGAACGGGCCCCATATGAGGTTGCCGTATTCAAGGTGGGGCCTGACAAATGCCTTGAAAAAAATCGGCAGGGTGATCTCGTCCAGATTCGAGAATGACCTCCGGATCAGAGACAAAATCTGTGAAGCCTTTGATACAGCTGAGGAAGCCTGCCTCCTGAACTTCAGCTCGGGATCGATGATGACACCCAGATCTCTCTCAGCTGAGGTGGAGGCGAGGCAGACACCGTTCATAGAGTAGGAGTGACCAGAGTTCTTGGCCCCGACGTTCAAGGACGCACACTTGCTCTGGTTGAACGCAAGCTGCCACTTCTTGGACCAGGTGGTGAGAGCATCAATGTCGAGCTGGAGCAGGGATGCATCACTGGGAGTATCAATCATCATCATCATCATAGTTTATTAGGCACCAAAGTTGGCAAGAAAGTAAGAAAAAAAGGCACACACAAAACATCACACAAAGCATGACAGTGGGTGAGCAGGGGCCACACATTGATGTCGCAGGCGACACTCACTCCCGCTCCGGGCATGTCAATAGCCGGAGCAGGCGGCGAGATACTTGGTCCCGGCGACTCATCAGGAAGGCAAGCGAGTCAGCTAGGCCATCGGGAGCCCGTTGGGGGTAGATACGGTCGCTGCACGGCCGCCCTGCTGCCACCCCGAGGAGTGCAGAAAGGTTGCAGTCACACATCTCATGAAGCTGTATCAGTAATGAGCCCACTAGCTCAGTCGGGCACATAGCCAGCTTGGTGATTCCTGACAGCAGCGCCTGCTGCAGCCGGTGCTCTGAGCGCATCGCATCTTTCAAAGCGCGGAAACACGCTGCCCGCAGCAGTTCATGTGCTGGTTGGATGTCGGCAGCAGCGAGAAGCGCCGAATGGTGGGCGGAGCGAGGCAGGCCAAGAACCACCTTGATGGAAGTCGCTTGAGCGGAACAGAGGATCGTCATGTCCCTTGCATTGAGCGGGGCGGCCACGCAGCCATATGTGAGCGCCGGTTGAATGATAGTCTTCCACAAGAAGCACTTGTCGGCTGGGCAGAGGCCGGACGTCAGCATACCAGCAGGCGCGAGACCGTACAGGCTGGCACGAGCTCGAGACGCGCGGTGCTGGACGTGTGGCGCCGCAGATAAACTCCCATCCAGTACGACACCGAGGTGCTCGGACTGCTGGCGGGTGGAGAGCTGCTGGCCCGACAGGCTCCATCTTGGCACTTCGGATAGAAGCTCGGCGCCGAAGACCATGCAGTGGCTTTTGGTGCGGACGGGCTCCGGGTGGACGAACTCCAGCCTCCAGGTCTTCGCAAAGTCATCAACCACATCTAGTAGAGTGCTGAGGTTTCTGGCATTGGTGGACAGGAGTAGCAGATCATCGGCATAGCAGACAGCTGGCACGTGGTGACCATATAGGTCAGCACCGAGATCGCTTACGTCCAAGGCGGCTACGAGCGGGTGTAGGTAGGCGTTGGCTAGGATAGGCGAGAGAATAGCACCTTGCCTGGTGCCCCGGCGGATCCTGAATGAGTCGGATATGGCACCGTCAAAGGCAATGTGAGCCTGAAGTCGGCGGTACCAGGCAAGCATGAGCAGCCATGAGTTCGGACGAAGGTGTTGCGCCAGACGGTGGAATAGCCCGTCATGCCAGATCTTATCAAAACACTTCCTGGCGTCCAAGTTTGCCGCGTAAACTGGCAGATCTCGTTGTCGGCACCACTGAATGGTCTCGAGGGCCAATATGGATGCTTCGCTGGTGCCTCGCTGTTTCACGAATCCCAGCTGAAGGTCGTGCGGACAGAAACTGGCCTCAAGTTCATCCAGCAACAGCATCTCCAGCAGCTTCGACGTGCACGACGTCAGGCTAATAGGCCGGTAGTTGTCCAGATTGTTTGGATCAAGCTGGGATTTCTTCAGAAGAGGCACTACCACGCTCTCTGCAAATGTGGCCGGCACATTGCACGAAGACAAACAGGCCGATAGAAGCTGGGCCAGTGCCGATAGCAGGGGAGGAGAACAGCCATAGATGAGGTGTTCCGCCGTCACGCCGTCCGCACCCGGTACCTTGCGCAGAGGGAGGCGGCGCAACAGGTCGGCAACTTGACTCACGGTGACCGTCCGAGTGGTGGCCAGAGTGGAATAGCGTCGCGCCCTTTCTTCGACTGCAGCAGCAATCTGAGCCTGCTCAGAGTCTAGCAGGGAGGGCTCGTCCGCGTGCACCGCCTCGAAATGTCTTCCGAACTCGCTGGCAGTGCGACCACCCCCAGGAGGGAGAGGGCCGCGCCGAGAGCGCTGAACCCGTCGCCAGAAGGCGTTGGTGTTCCCATTGCGCTTGAGTTGGTGCAACAGACGGGCCTCTTGCTGCACGGGGGCTAAGGCTGCTGTGCGGCGAGCTTTCCGGTACTCTCTTCTAGCTGACTGGTAGCAGGAGTAGACCGTCGAATGAAGAGGTCGACCACAGCTGGTCCAGACATGGAGCCAGAAGCGTACTCGGTCACGTGCAGCTGCTGTGGCAGGGGTCCACCATGGTTTTGGCCGGCGCCGCTGTTTAACACAGCCTGCCTCTCTAGCGGCGGCGAGCAGGCAGCGGGATATTGTTGAGTCCAGCGCATCGAGCGAGGTGCCACAACTAGGGAGTTGAGTCACGAGCATGCCGGTAAGAATATGCTTGTAGTCTTCTAATCTGTCGACGCGGTCCCAGCAAAGTAGATCGGAATCAGGCACAGGAGTGGCCCGAGAGATGGCGCGGTGCGTCGTCTCCGTTGGAGCTGCAGTTGCCACCAACAGCCGACAGACGAGCGGCTGGTGCGGGCTGAGGTTTTCTGGATGTGGAGGCAGAATCTGGCAGCCAGCTACGCGCGGTAGCAGGGAAAACGGTACAGCGATATGGTCGATGTGACTCTTGCAGTCGGCGCGTGCGTATGTGAAATTCACCTGCTGGGGGAATAGAAATTCTGCAGCCACGAGTTCATACTGGTCGAGCAGCTGCTGCATGGCGACACTGTGCCGAGTGAACCCTCGAAGTCGTTGCCACAGAGGCGGACGTGAAGTTGCTGGGAGACGCGGTAGTGCACAGTTGAAGTCACCGGCTACAACCACCGGAGCAGAGGGACGCAGCGCCATGATTAGAGCGTCCAGCTTGGCAATAACACTGTCGTACTCCTCCGAGTTACCGGCTTGCCCGTCCCAGTACGGCATGTAGCAGCCAATGACGGTCAGCACCGGGCGTCCATCCATCAGCACCGTTACACCGCACAGGCGGGGGTCGTCACAGCTGCAGGATTTGAAGGTCAGTCCGGGTCGGCGGCGACATACGAGAGCAAGGCCTCCGCGTCTTCTGCCCTCACCCACGCCGGGAGGCACCTCCATTGCGAATGACTGGAACACCAGTAGTTCACTGTGTCCAGCAGAAGTGAAAATTCTTGGTGCGTAAACCTCCTCCGCTCGAGACAGCCAGCTTTCTGACAATACTAATATATCGCAGAGTGGCAGAACATATTCATCGATATATTTGAACGCTGACAGCAGACCCTCGCAGTTGTAGGCACCGATGGCGATGGTCGCGTTTTCGGGCAGTTCGCGATTAGCGACGCCGCGGCTGGGGTACCGTGCCGCCGAGCCGTGGCCAGCTGTTGTCGTCTCTGGAGTCCCAGGAGGCAGGTGCGCTGCCAACGTTTCGATGCCGCGTTCGGGCATGGCCACGCGCATAGGTCCACTCGCCGTGCTCGTGAGAGTAGCCTGTAGTGGGCGCTGCGTCCCACTGAGTGCGGTTAGCGGCGGGCTGCTCGGTGGGTTGGTGCGGACCTGGATGACTGGACTGGTGCGTCGCGGCTGTGTAGTGGCTGGCTTGGACAGGAGTGGCAGGGACTCGAAATCTCCTTCGTCGCCGTCCGTTGTTATCGGCTTTAGGACGCACGCTGAGTCCCGTCGGCCATCGCGCAGAGTTCATGACGGCATCCGATCGAGACTCGGCGGTCTCGAACATGAAGGCCGCTCCTGGAGCCGACGGGCCGTCTGCAGGCAGACGGCGGAAACTGTATACGTCTCCAGCCACCGACTGTACTAGGCCACGCACGGAGCTATCAGACGCGTCGGGGCGAAAACCCCAAACAATGAACTTTTTCTTTGCCGGCTGCTGGGTCACTCCTGGGGATAAGACCAAGTCAGAGGCCGCCCCAGCGCCCGTCACAGCGGCGAGTTCAGCTGGGCGCTGATTATCCGACCTTGGCGCGTTCAGCTGCCGGCTCGCGGTGGAGCCGTGGGTAACTGTTGGCGGAGGCGGAAGGTGTGCTGGTGGGTACTGCGCCCGTCGTGTATCTGTCGCTGGCAGAACCCCAAAATCCCGTCTGGCAAAGCGCTCGTCCCCGCCCAATTCATCGTCATTTTCAGAATCAGAGTCGCCAGCTCGCCAGTGGATTCTGTCTGCGATGGCTTTGCCGAGGACAACAAGGTCAATGGCAGCGGCGATATCCTGGGCGGCCGGCGGGCTCGCCTGGCTCACCTGGGCGTCCGGTGGGCTCACCTGGGCGGTCGGTGGGCTCACCTGGGCGGTCAGTGGGCTCGCCTGGGTCGCCTGGGCGGCCGGTGGGCTCGCCTGGGTCACCTGGGCGGCCGATGGGCTCGCCTGACTGCTCACCTGGGCGGCCGGCGGGCTCGCATGGGACATCTGGGCGGCCGGCGGGCTCGCCTGGCTCACCTGGGCGGCCGGTGGGCTCGCCTGACTGCACACCTGGGCGGCCGGCGGGCTCGCATGGGACATCTGGGCGGCCGGCGGGCTCGCCTGGCTCACCTGGGCGGCCGGCGGATTCGCCCGCTTTACGTGTGTATTGGTAACCAGATGGTTATATGTCTCTGACCGGTTCGATGACTGGTGGTCCAGCATATCGCGCAGTAGGTCCTCCAGCTGGTCAATCCTGGCGTCCCGATCAGCACACGCACGCTGCAGGTCGTACAGCTGCTCTTCAAGCCGCTGGACTTGGACTCGCTGGGCATCGGCGGCGGCAGCACGACGACGAAGGTCCTGCTGCAATGCTGCGGTACAACTTCGTGTCATCAGCAAAAATCTTGATGCAGGACCTCACCGCGTCGGGGATGTCGTTGATATATACAAGGAACAGAAGGGGCCCTAGTACAGAACCCGGTGGCACCCCGCTGGTGACAGGAGACCAGGTGGATTGACAACCTTGCACGACGACTCGTTGTTGCCGATTGGATAGAAATGACCTTATCCACTCAAGGAGGTGTCCAGTCACACCGTATGCTCTCAGTTTGACGAGTAGGCGTTCGTGAGGGACGGAATCGAAAGCTTTTCTGAAGTCCAGATATATGACGTCGACCGGGCTCCCGTCTTCAATCGCACGGCTCCAGTCATCCAAGACTTCCAGTAGCTGAGTCGTGCAGGATCGGTGTGGGCGAAAACCATGCTGGTGACGCGACAACAGTCCATTCGAGGTGAGGTATGCCATCAATTGGTCCCTTATCAGCGACTCCATGACCTTGCACGTCACTGCAGTTAAGCTAATTGGACGATAGTTCTCTGGTCGTCTTCTGTCTCCTTTTTTGAAGATGGGCACAACTGTGGCAAGTGTCCAGTCGTGGGGAACACATCCTTCATCTAATGACTTGCGGTAGATGGAAGCGAGAGGAGCACTGATGGAGTTGGCCGACTCAGACAGAATTCTTGGGTGGATGTCGTCGGGGCCAGGAGAGCTCGTGGTCTTCAGGGATGCCAGCTTCTGTCGGACTATTTCTGGAGAGATGGACACATCGCTGATGTTGAGTGAGGTTTGCTGCCGGGCGAGTTCGGGAACTTCATGTTCCTCAGTAGTGAAGACACTGGAGAAGTAGTCATTCAAGATGTCGGCTTTTGCTGAGTCGTCACTGACTGACCTGCCTTCGGGGTCAAGAATATCTCCGATGCCCGTCCTCACTTTCAGGCGTGAATTCGTGTACTGCCAGAAGGCCTTTGGATTGGTTTTGATCTTGGCCGCCAGTTGGAGCTCAAAGTTTCTTCGCAAGCTTCTGGTGAGGCTCCTGAGCTCGTTTCGGCAGCGTGCAAATCTGGCATGATCAATGGGGTCTTTGGTTACCGTGTACTGGCGCCACAGGGTTACTTTCTTCTTTTTGAGCTGGTTGGCCTTCCCGTTGATGTATAGATTCTTCTTCCTCTGACCTGCCCTAGCAGTGGGAACAGAGGCCTTGACAGCCCCAGCAACTGAGTGTTTGAAGAAGTTGTAGCTTTGGTCCACATTCAACTGGGCCAACACACCCCAGTTAACATCGCTCAGCAGTGCATTCAGGGTGGAAAAGTTGGCACGCCTGAAATCCAGCTTCGGGATGTCAGATTTCCCTGGGCCAGCATAACAATTCAGGTCAAACTTCAGCAGAACGTGATCGCTGTTTCCTAGACCAGGCATGTAGTTTAAATTGGAGACCATTCCTGCTTCATTGGTGAGAATCAAGTCCTGCACGTTACAGGCTTCACCTTGTCTATATCTGGTTGGTTTGGAGACATGCTGCTCGAGGAGACAGTCGTTGAAAGTATGCACCAGTAAGTGAGAGTAATGGTTGTCAGGAGCGGTTGAGAAGCCACTATCCCAGTCGACATCAGGCACATTAAAGTCCCCAGCAATAAGCAGATGGGATGAATTCAGTGAACACACCTGTTCAAGAAGGTCTGCAAGCTCATGCATGCTTTGGAGATTGTTTCCTGAAGGACTTCGGTAGATGCACCTAACAAGCAAGATGTCAGAGTTCATCAGTTCAAACCTCACCCACAATTGCTCCTCGAAGTTGTGGCCACTAAATTCAGCTTGAACAGCCTGTAGATTGTTTCTCACATAGATACAAACACCCCTTTTTCCACTAGAGCCGAGATTGGGTTGGTCAGGCTCAAAGTTACAATGTAGAGTGAAGCCAGGGATAGACAAGATGGCTGGAGAAATAGGATGAACTTGTGCTTTCGGGATGACCTCAGTGAGCAAGATTACATCAGGTTCGTTACCAGCGATGAGCATGCAAAGGTCGTCCTTCTTGTTAGGGAACTGGTCAGTGTTCGTATAAATTACTTTTAGTCCCGTTTTGCCATGCTCCTTAAGGTGGGAGGCTAGTCATTTTTGACCGCCTCTCTGGTGAATGCTGGTTGGTCTAGCACTTGGAGTTGGATTGAGAGCATCGGCTGAGGCTGAAGCAGACTCCTGGTTGGCTCGAGATTCCTGTACAGGGAGAGTTCCTTCCTGGCCAACAACAGTGCGTGGCCCTGGAACAGGAGCTTGGGGTGGCACTGAGTAAGTTCTCGTCCCAGTTCTCGTCCTCTGACGCCGTTTAGTCACTGCCCCGTCTGTGCTGACGCGGTCCCGTCCCGCTTGTAGGTACTGTCTTCTGGTGCGGTCCTGTCCGTGGCCTGGCTCTCTCCCGACGCCGTCCTGTTCCTGTTGTGTCCCTGTTGGCTCATTTCCGTCCCAATCGTCCCTCCCTTCTGAAGCGGTCCTGTCTCTGCCGTGCGTGTGTCCTGACGCGTACCCGTCTCGTCCGTGCCCCCTGACGCGTTCCCGTCCCTGCGCTGTCAGTGCTGATGCGGCTCCTGCCGTTCCTCTTCCTGTCTCCTGACTCGGCCCGCCCTTGGGGTGTCTGTCCACTGACGTGTTTCCCACTCTCCGCCAGCCGGTGGACTGGGCGGCCGCCGAAGCTTCGCTGCAGGTGGACCGTTCGGTAACGGAGGTGCAGTGGGCGCGGCCGGGCACCGCCGCCGCACTCAGCCAGCTCTCCGAGTTCTGCTCCGGCCGACTGCGTCTGTTTGCCGACAAACGCAACGACCCGACCGTGGCGGCGCTCAGTAACCTCTCGCCCTGGCTCCACTTTGGTGAGTGCACCACTGCAGAATGGCAGCCGCTCCCGGCACCGGCGAGTTTCCACTCCTACGGAACGGAAGCGTACCGCCCTGGCGGATGACGTTACAATCACGTGAGGGAAATCGTTTTTACGGAGCGAGCGAAGCGAGCGTAGTCTTTCCTTAGATTAACGGAAATTTCTGAGTATGAGCGGCCGGCCGGCCGGCCGGCCGGCCGTGGTCACGCTTTTGCGACGCTTATATCTCAGCAACCACTTGACCGATTTACATGCGGTAATTTTTGTAGGGTAGCTTCATTCCTTCTACCAAGTATTGGACTATTCCCGATGCATGTGGGTGACCCCTTATGTACGTGCCACGTGCAAAACGAAGAGGTGTCACTTTTGTAATTGTTGCAATATCTCGGTAACTACTTGGCCGATTGCGCTGAAAGTTGGCATGCAGGTAGGCACCCACTAGGCACTGCATATCCATGTGCCAGAGTTGGGGTGCTGCTGCACGTGCGCACGTGCAGGGGTCGTTTCCAGATCTCGAGAACGGCTGGACCGATGGCGCTCAAATTTGGTACACGGTTAGGGACCAGTTGGTAGGGTGCCGTGCACAAGTCAGTTGGGACCCATTTAGCACGTGCGCACGTGCAGGGTGCCGCTCCCAGATCTCGAGAACGGCTGGGCCGATTGTGCTCAAATTTGGCACATCGCTAGAAACCGGTCAGTAGGGTGCCGTGCACAAGTCAGTTGGAGGTACCCCCTCGAAATTTCGCACGTGCAAGACTCACCCCCTCGCTCGCTCCGTTAGTCGCCCCAAAAGGCGCTATACTGGTAAATTAAATTATTCATTCTATGCTATGCCATCATCCACATTCTACATCAATAGAATATTCTATACAAAATAGATTACCTGCGAAAATGTTGACCTGGGATATTGACTGGGATATTGAAGTCAAATTGTGCCGGCGTTGCCCCGATTTACTCTGCCCAAGGCTGAACTCATGAACTCTGTTGGTTTGAACTTTGGAGCAGTGTCACCGCCCGACGGAACATATCCATCGTTTGGTGGCCTTGCTGCTTTTGGCCAGATTTCCTTTTGCGACCGGTTGTCTTGCCAGCCGCCTTAGCTCAGGGGCAGAGCACTTGTCTCGTAAACAAGGGGTCGTGAGTTCGATTCTCACAGGCGGCACTTTTGGGTGTCTTTCGCGCAGGCGCAGTGTGCGAATTATGAGTTTCATGTTAGACCGATATAGGACCTAACATAGGACACATCCTGGCTGGATAGGGTCAGACGACATAACCTTCCCTGGGCCCGCATGGGCACTACATTGGCCCATCTTGAACCCACCTGGCTATGTGTGTATTGTATGCCAGCAATACGCATGCATGTATGCATCAACATGAGCATCAAACTGCTGACCAAAAAGGGGATTAGAGTTAAAAACTGTTGGTCAGTTATGGCTCAAGAAGAGTGGGAAAGTATAAAAAACATTAATTATCTACTGCTGTGGCAGATAGAGGATGCAAAATAACCATCCACGCAAACTGCTCTTTCGTGGTGACTTTGGGAATGGAAAATTGGTCTTGAAAATTGGAGGGGAGAGTGGAAAATGACTTGATGAAATGAAATGTGGATGTCGTTTCCCACCCAAATCGACAAATTTTCGGACACTAGCATTGCTGAAGGTGGTGCGGAAAAGATTAGTGACACTCATGGCTGCGAAGTCAGAGTCGGTGTCGAAGTTGAAGTTGAAGTTGAAGTTGGAGTCGCCAAAATCCTGCCGACTTTAGAGTCGGAGTGAACACTGCATGGCTCAGTCAGGCCCCACTGCTCGACAATATTACGCTCGTTGACCTTTCCTAGTCACATTCTGTCGAAGCTCAGGTCCTACTCATTCTTTGGACCAGCAATTTCAGCGGAAAAGAGCAGGACACAGCTTCTGTGCCAGCACCTGCTTTTAGTCCTGCAGCTATTTATTAAGTGTTTTTGCAATTCAATGCCATGGAAAAGCTGAAAAGCAAAAGATCGTTTCAGGCAAGAAAAACCTCCTTGACAAAATCTACTATCATGTTATGGGCTTAAGAAAAATGTCTGGGGTTCGGAGCTGGAGTCGCAGTCAGAATCGGAGTTTGAGTCACCAAAAAAGTCAATCGACTCCACAGCCCCGAGGACACTGGTGACTACTGACGGCCGTATTCACTTTCAGCAGCAGTTACCCGGAACGCTGAACTGCTCGTTTGGACGGAAGGGATCGGGCCTAATCGCAGTCGCGTCATAGCAACATAGCATCCATTTTAGTCATTGAGAAACGAAACTCTGGCGAGCTTAGCACTCCGGCCCCCCAGTTGCTCACAAATGCAACACCCGGCCCGCGCTCCCAAAAGTTTGCCCGCCCCTGGCCTAACGCAGCAAGCTCCACTTTTTGCAGACACCGGCGCGGCGGTATGGAAAAGAGAGGAAAATGGGCTCAGCCGGGATTTGAACCCGGGACCTCCTGCACCCAAAGCAGGAATCATACCCCTAGACCACTGAGCCGCTGGGGTAATGTGTGTCACTTTTGCAAGAGTTTGTAACCAGCCTTGTACGCTATTGCTAGTCCAAGCAATGTATTGAATTTGGTAGGTCGTTTGTTGTTTGTACAGCCCTCTGCAAACTGCGTGGTAGGTATTCTTTTTTCGACAAAACCGAGAATAACGCGAATACTATGCCATCGGTCACTCGGAAATCGTAACAGTATGACGCGCGAGACTTCGCACCTTAGATTGGCATTATCATCGTGTTCATTTTCTATCCAGTTTGGCAACAAAATCCAAAAGTTTATATTTGCCCCCAAAACAGACTTATGCATTTTGTTGCCACTGAAGGCGTATACTTTGTCTAGTGATGGACCTAATCGAAGAAGTGGAGCATGGCGCATCTATTTGCAGTGAGTTCCGACCGACTGATAACATAGCCTTTGAGTTATCACCGGTTTTGTCGAAAAAAGAATACCTACCACGCAGTCTGCTGAGGGCTGTACATGAAGGCATGCTGTTTTAGGAACGAAGATTGTTTCATTTGATGAATTCCTATCATTCCAAGCCCCTACAAAGCACACGAGATCTACAGCCGAGTCTATCAAGGAGACAGCTTTTTCTGGAGGCAGGTGGCGATAGTGTTCAGTCAGACTGCCCCGCCGACAGCAGTATAGAGGACACCACTGTAGCCCTTCCATAGACCTATGGCATGGGTGAGGAATTCATGGATTGTTGCAGTAGCGAACTGTGAACGAAGTACGTATGGCTAATTAACTCTCGCACTTATAGGGTGGGGGGGAGGGTTCTAAAGGACCCCTTCCTCAGTTTTTCGCTGGATGTGTAGATTACCTATAGATACATACGCCCCTGATGCTACGGACGTGTGCAAACTGCTGCACTGACGGTGTTGCAGTGCTATCTGAGGCTGCATGCACGCTGAAGTGTGGACGGGCCGGCTCTTGACGACTATCGGCGTCTGCCGATGCTAGTCGGCAGTGGGCCGCAAAGGCGGTGACTATTTATTCCTTATTTATCGCATTGCGCAATATTTGCTGATGTTGAAACTTGAAAGATAGATATTGGTGCTCGACAGTATCAAAACTGCTGTTGTGACAGGCCAATGACCCTCCCCTAAGTCCCCTAGTCTGACCATGACTGTTGTATCGTTCTGTAAATAGGAGGTATCTAAGGCTCAGATGTTACAGAGTCAATATATTGAAAGGAACAATAGGTGTATGTGGACCAGCAGTGGTCCCAGACATTCCAGTGGCACTGAGCAGTGGACTTCAGCTGATCATGCTGAGTACTGTGAACTAGATTCCATCTGATTCAGATCGGGCTTCTCATTGGGGGAGCGAGACCTAGAAAGTATGAGGCCATTGAGTCCTGAACGGTCGACTTCATTTTCTTATTCTCGTGTAAAGCTGTAGGAATCCAACGACCAACGTTGTAGTCTGCGCAGGGCAATATTACTATGTAGTTTTCAAAGTCACTGCACACAGTTCGCAATCAAACTATCGGAATCCATGTCAGTCATCCTCCATCCTAGATCCATCCTTCAACTGCAGGGCTGGATTTTTTTTTTTTTTTTTGTTAACACGCAGCTGTTACCTCGTCTTTTTGCTGTTTGAAGCTCCATCGCCGCTTTTTTATTTGGCACACCTCTGTTCGTTATGCATTTGTTTCTGTTACATATCTTTTTACAACGACTCCCGTCCAGCGACCGAACAGTGTGATCGCCTCCATCGTTCTGTTCTTTTCGCTTTGCGGCGTAACTTAGTTACAGTTTCTCCACCTTGACCATGATGGGCTTTGTGGTCGCGAACAGCCCGCTGCCGGGCAGGTACTCGAACTTGGTCTGGTCACACGCCAGGAACCGGTATCGGCGCAGGAAGCCGGCCAGGAAGAACTTGCACTCGACCATGGCGAGCCGGGCGCCGAGGCAGGCGTGCGGCCCCAGGCCGAACGGCATCCAGCTGTACTGGTGGCTCCGGTGAGCGTCTTCCTCGAGCCAGCGGGCCGGCCGGAACTGGCGCGCCTCCGGGAACAGCTGCTCGTCCATGTGGAACACCGACATGGGAATGGTCACCGAGGTGCCGGCCGGCACGCGCAGGCCCTGGTACTCCCAGTCGCGTGTGCACACGCGGAAGTGGCGCACCAGCAGCGGCGCCATGCGCAGCACCTCCTTGATGAAGGCCTCCAGCTTGGGCAGCTGCGACACCGACTCGTAGGTGAGCTCGTCGAGTTCCTGCGCCTCCTGGGCCACCTCCTCGGCAGCCTCCGGCTCGGTGGCCAGGAAGTAGGCCGACTTGTTGAGCGCGGTGCCGACGGTGTCGTAGGCAGCCATCAGCATCTCGGCGCCCTGCAGCAGCAGGATCTCCTCTGTGAGCCGCAGCTGCCGGTACTCGGCCGTCGGCACCTTGTTGTCGATCGCGTCCATGATGACGCCCACCAGGTCCTGCCGGTGCACGCCCTCGGCGCGGCGCTGCTTGATGGAGCGCCGGATCATCTCCAGGAAGTATCGGAACGCCGGGATCAGCTGCCGGCCGGCCACCCGGTTACCCAGCGACGGGAACGAGGTGAGGATGTACGTGATCAGCGGGTTGGGCGTGGCGTCGGTGGGCACGCCGAACGCGGACGCGTGCTTGACGAACACGCTGTTCTTGTCGGCCACGTCGGGCACCTTCATGCCGAACGAGAACTGGGCCATGACGTCGAGCGTCAGCGGCCCGAACAGGTCCGCCTGCGCGTCGATGACGGGACTGTCGCGCAGCTTGGCCTCCATGCGGCGGCACGCGTCGTCCAGACACTGCTGCATGGTGGGCGTCATGGCCTTGAGGCGGCCGCTGGTGGTGAGCGCGGGCGCCAGCAGCGAGCGCAGCACCTTCCACCGGTCGGCCGTCATCATGTCCATCTGGTCGCGGCCGTACTCAAAGTCAAACAGCACCGGACGGTCCTGGAAGTGGTCAAAATCCTTGATCATGATGTGCTTGGCCATGTCGACGTCTGCGACAAACAGCTGTGCCCAGGGGCCCTCGTACAGACCCCAGAGTCGGCCGTACTTGCGTGCGTTCTGGAGGTCATCGGACACGCAGAACGACTCCCATGGCTTCAGGATGCTGCCGATGAAGGGGTACGGCTTGATGACGGGCACGCCGAGCTTCTCCAGGGAGCCGAAGTCCTTGGTGCCGTACCAGTAGACGAGCGCCAGCAGCAGCAGCGCTGCCAGCAGCGCCGTTAGCGGGTCCATGGCGCTCCGCTCGGGCCAGTCCTCGCTGCACGCGCTCACGACACCGACTGGCCGGTCGCACCCCGGGGCGGCCGGTCGGCAGAGAGGCGTCACCGACTGCTGAATCGCCGCGCCCCGCCCAGCCGCACTGCCGCTGATTCAAGGACGAAATGATAGTGTCCGCTTAGCCTTATGGAAATCGAGATTGACGCTCAAGGCCGGAGGATGATATGCGATTTTTAGATCCAACGCGTCATTGGGTTTGTGTATTTCTTTTCGGGTGGTGCCTTTGTGATGGCCATGAGTCGCAGTCCAATAATGCGTCGATCTCTGGATATTGTATACCGATGCGTCATTTGATCCCCTGCGCCGTACCGCCGCGTCCGACCATACAATAACGTGCGGTCGTTGGCCCGGCTGTGACCTCGCTCCGCCGGGAGGGGAGACCATCTGACGCCTGTGCCACGCTGCCAAAGACGCTGTCACCACTCGGCAGCTACTTCTTAGCAGATGTCCGGTCGGCGCTGCCGTGCTGTCACCATCGCTTAGCTTGGTGCTTAACGAGTCCCTTACACCGAGGAGTCCAGTGGACGACTGAGTCCTTCCCACCAAGTGCAGTATATGACTGAGTCTCTCATTGAGTCCACTGGACTGCTGAGTCGTTTTTATCGAGTCCAATGTATGTTTGAGTCTCTGATACCGGGCCCAGTGTTTAACTGAGTCTCACATCGAGTGCAGTTTGTGACGAGTCCCGTACACCGAGCCGAACACGACAGGGTGCGGTCAGCTGCAGCCAGTACCCGGTGATGTGGTACCAAGGCAGTACCCGGAGATGTGGTACCAAGGCATTACCCGGAGATGTCTTACCCAATCAGTACCCGGAGGTATCCATGTCTCCGCCGGACCCACTCTGGATACCAATGAGGCAGAGAGAATGACATAACCGTGACAGATATTCATAGGAAAATAAGACCGATACGATGTGGCTGCAGGTCACTATGATGGTAATGATGAGCGGAAAAGCAGCTTTCCTATACGTTATACTGCAATGCATATTTTTTAGTTATCGTACATGATGCGCATAATGCGCAAGGATTGGTCGCGGAGGAAGTGCACAGTAAATTATTCGTGTCTGATGTCGGCGATATTTCTTCAGGGTCAGTGTCGACTGGAACAGCCGTATATGCAATGTGCATCACCCCCCCCCCCCTCTTCCCGCCACCGGGGCAGCCGGTGGTCTGTGAAGGGTCAGGAGGGACGCTCTGGCGCCGCCGGCCGTGGTGGACTCAGTAGCCGCAGTGTGGCGTCCCGCACTGAAGCAGGAAGTGGCAATAATTGAGCGGTCCATGACTGGGGAGTGATCTCAGTGAGCGCTGCCAGGACCCTAACTACATGACTTGCGCTTTGAACACTGTGTATAGTGTTTAGCACTGACCTCATTGCATCGAGCCGAGCTCACTGGCAGATCCATTTTCTAACCTAACGAGTATTTGCCTGATCTGAGACGCTATTAAAATATTTTCTTAGATCAGCTGTCTTACTCCAAAAACCTGTCCCAATACTGTGATATTCTCAGGGCAGCCGCCGCTTGTTTAAGTAACTTTCCTAGACCTACGGTTAGCGGGGTCCTTGCCGACCTGTCCCAATCCTGCAGCCCATTGAAATGAGTTGTGGGGTACTGGCCTACGGTGACCCGGGGGCAGCTGCCGCTGCTCCACTGACCCCTTTCCGACCTGCCCTACCCGCAGAACTGCTATCGTTGCTAACTACTGACCTCTGCGCTTTACTGACCTGTCCCGTCCACTGACCTCTCCCCTCCACTGACCTCTCCCATAGGTCAGTTTTCTGACCTCTCCTCTGCCATATCGTTAGGTCAACTGCCCGCCCAGTTGGCAGTGCTGGAGTTGTCATTACACTGACCTCTCCCCTCTGTCGTACCCACAGGTCAGCTGTCCGCACAGCGGGCCGTCCTGGAGGTACGACGCCTCCGCAGCCGCCACTCCAAGGCCGTGGAGGCGTTTGTCGAGGAGGCCGTGGTGCGTCGGGAGCTGGCCGACAACTTCTGCTTCTACCAGCCGCACTACGACAGCGTGCAGGGCGCCTACGGATGGGCGGCCGAGACGCTCAAAGTGCACAGGTCAGTTGTTGAAGGGTGCAGAGGGCGGGTCAGGTCAGAGACGGCGGGCACGGGTCAGTTCGAATCGGGTCTACAGCCACCGGAGGCAGACGATGGATCAGTTGAGTTGCCTAAGGGTGATGTCAAGTCATTGGAAAAAGTTTCGGGACTCAAGGCCGTCAATCGCAATGCACAGAGGCAATGATTGGTGACCGATTGGTGAAGTGTTGACTGTTGGTGATCGACATATATTCAACTGGCGGGCAATTGGTGAATCCTGGTCGGTGAAGGTCGATGAACAACTGATGAACGATTCGCATTTGAACCGTTTGCATTGGTGACCTTGGTGACAGTCACGGTCGAGCGATTCCCTCATCTCATGGATGTGGGATCTGTTTACGACCAAACGGATATCGGATTCGTCGGCGGTCCGGGTTCTGGTGATAAACGAACCAGGCTCTGCTCCAAGGACGGGTATAGGGCTGCTGAGTTGAACAGGGTGACTGTTAACGGGTGCGCGAAGCCGCTCCGCTAGGTTTAAACTTTGGCTGGACTGCCGGGAAAATGTGTGGAGACTGGATGCGTTAAGGAAGTGAACTGCTCAAGTTGTTGTTGCTATGCTGGACGCTGGTGCTACGCTTCACTTGATGCGATTGGAGCTGGCACGGCCATTGCGAAGGTCTTTGACAAGATGTTCAAGTGGGTACACATTTCGACATGCGGTACGGCCAATCAATTATCTCTCGTTGCCGTGAAGCCTCAGATAGTTGAATCCTGACTCAGTGAATCGAAACGATTCCCTGCACGGGCGATTTTGGTACGGTAAACATTGTTTCAGGTGCTTGATCCTATTCTCCTACGCGGCCTCGACAGAGAGCTAATGCGTAACATTACCCTTGGAGGGATGGTATACGTGCCTAGAACCGTTACGGGCCCGGTTCGTTTCAAGGCCGCCCCGAAGTATGTTGTTATGCACGCTACATTTGAGGGCGACTTTGCAACCTCTCCATTGCGGATCCTAATTGGCTGATAGGGTCACCAATATATCGTCTACTCGGCCACGGACGTGCCACGATAGCCCGCCCACCGCACCACCCCTGGGCTTCAAACACGGCTGATCACCACAGTCTCGGCAGATCCCAGTGGCATGGACCTACGCACTTCCTGCGGCGCTGTTCGTACCCAGTCGGTTGTGAAATTGGCTGCTCCGCCGGCGTGTGCCTGTGGTCTGAGCCGGCCTGACGGACCGCGGCCGGCCTCAGGGTGGAGAGGGGCCCTGCCGCCGCCGCCGCTGACCCTGGGGAGGGGAGGGGGGGGGGAGGACGGGGAGGGATGACGACAGGTGAGCCATGTCCGTCCCCCGGGGGCGGCTGAGGATCAGCAGACGGCGACTCTGGGGGCTAAGCGACAGGTTGAGGCGGCACTGAGTGCTGATGAGGAGGTTTACATCTAGGCCATGGATTTAATTATACTAGCTATAATGTATGTTATATTTATACAGGATTAAAATTGTACAGAGCGTTTGAAAGACGTTGACGTCCATTGATGATGTAAATGACGAAAGTAATTCATTTCTTTCGTACTAACAGAGTAGCAGTCATGCTGTGAAGTACGGGCTGAAACAAAAATTTCAGGGCCGTACTCCACCAAGAGTCTTTTGGGGCCGGAGCCTTTAATTCATTGTACAGGGTGTCTCAAAAGTTCGTTCACACATTTCCCATGCCCATAAAGCATATAAGAACCGGCCAAAAATCTAAGGTTTTGGTGTATGTGTGCACACTAGACAAATATGCATGCTTTGACAACTGATTCGGAAGGTTGGAAATCAAACTATTTGCTGTATCTCCAAAAATATTTGTCCATACCGATTTTCGTCGCTCCGTCAGCTGCCGGAGGCTGATAAAAGGTTACCAGCTTTCAAGTTCTTGTAGGGGAATCCCCTGCAGTTTCTGCGTCGGATTTAGGTTTGACGAGCTCCCCGGCAACATCCGCTTCTCCCTGAAAGCCGACAGCTTGCATCGACACCATCCGTGAGTATTTTGTAGGTCTTCTCTGGCGCTAACTCCTTCATGAATGACTGGCGCCGACCTCCCAAGCACCATTTTCCTTTTCAAAACAACCCCATTCCTGAACAAATGGGAAGTGCCAGGGGCAAATTTTTCGCAGCATATCGTAGAAGAATGTGTCGGCCATCTGTTTCTTAGACACGTTGTGCAAATTTTGCCAATCCCAAACGCTCATCATTCCCCATGACAAGATCTTCACTGGGTTGCGGAGTGTTTTCTTCAGGAGAGGTTCTGCTTTGTAAACGGCCAAAACCTGTCCATCGTGCGGTTTTGTCGGGATTTTGTGTCTAAAAGAAAGCTATTCGCTCCAGATCTGCCTCTTGAAACTTCGTAAGATAAAAATTTACATTAATTGACACTTTTGGAGGATCAGTTGTCCTTGGCATTGACGATTTTCGTGTTATTTTCCCCCAAAATTTAGCGTTATAGATATAATGAACAATTTAAAATGATACTTTGTCTTTATTTTACGATGACCTGCAATTTTTGAAACTGGGTAACCTCTGTCTGTGAGCTTCTTGTCAGTTTTCAATAGTTATGACTTCATTTTAAGCTGCTTTCCGGAGCACGAGTCTGCTGCCGTACGAGGGTCGTTCAAAACGCTGTTAGTCTCGCATGGTTTTGTCCTTCAAAAATTTTAGCCACCGTTTTTATTAGATGATCATCATGTTTTACTCATCCTCGCCGACAGTTTGCCATGGGTCATTTCCGACTTAACCATTCCCATTACTCCTGAAATAGAGAGTTTCTCAGCCGACCCGATTTTGCGACCTCCATTTTCATGCCTGACCCATGGTCAGAGATGAACCCTTTTTGTGAGCTCATGAAGGGTCGAATGCGCTTGAAAACACTGAGACTGCTTGAGGAAGGTTGTTACGAATGCCCATGCAAAATTTCGACCGTTAATTAATTGTTGATTCAGAATTATTGACAAAAAAGCATGGCTGGTACCTGTGAACGAACTTTTGAGACACCCTGTATTTCTTGGTCAGTGGGTAGTAGGTAATCGGGGTTAGGGCACTGCAGTCTCAGCCTTTTTGTTACCGCTACCCAGAACCTGAATTGAGATACGCGGTATTCGTTACAAATACCTAATCAATATGAAACATTTACTTACCCGCTTATTGCCAGAAAGTGGCAACACAGGTTATCGCACTGGCACTGCAGTTGACAAATTTTGATTTGGCTCGATCTCTTCACACCATAAAATCAAAAATAAATCAGGCCGAAGTAAAGTTATCGAGTTTCCCAGAAAAAGGAAAATGCTCTACTGAACCATCACTCATTCGAATGGGATCAAAAAATGGGTACATTGTGACGCAGTCTCCCACCTCGTTGTATCTCTTCATTCTTCAAGGTAAATGACATCGCTTTATCATAGATCGCTTATCTTCAATCAATATTCTTTAAACTACATTTCACAGTTTTAGATATCGAACCTCTTAGCAACCGGCAAAATGTTTAGAAACTAAGCAATCTGTGAGGAAGCGTTAGGAAAGGGATTTTCATTGGGTGTCCTAGTCCATCATTTGCACCATTTGTAGACCGAAAGAAGCACCTCGTGTAACATTTTTCATTTATTGAGCGTCATTAGTCTCTGTTCAATGATTCAGCACACAATATGAAAATTTTCTATCACAAAACGGGATGGAAAATGGAATGGAATTTCGATGTGGTGATGTCTCGGCGTTGTCGATCGTGTGTCTGTTCGTCTGCGGGTGGTCTACTGGTTCTTCTCGGCCTCGATCTGGGAGAACTTGGCGAGGGCGGCGGCCTGCGCCTCGGCGTTGGGGTCTGCGGGCGCCTGCGGCAGCGCGTCGCTCTGCGCCTGGAAGCCGTTCTCGTCGGCCACCCAGTCGACGCGCACCTGGACGTCGTTGCCGTTCTCGTCCTGGGCGGTGAAGGTGTAGCTGCCCTGCTGGACGGTGCCGACCTTTTCCTCGTCAAACTGCTTCACCTGTCCGGCCACGTCCTGCGACGACGGGTCGGAGGTCTCGTAGCCGTACTGGAAGCTGCCGTCCTCGTTGGTGACGGACGAGCTGCGCAGGAGGCCGTAGTCCTCTGGCGTCTTGAGCTCCTGCGGCCGGCCGGCGGCCACGGCCAGCAGGGCGGCGAGCACCAGCTGAAACAAACAAACAGACGATATTGTCACCATTTCAATAAAAATACACGGGGAAGGTTAAAAAACTTCACCGGAAGTTTCACCTTCGGATCAAGAACACTACTCTTTAAAGTCTTTCATACATATGTAGAAGGGGGAATTCATTGTGTTTTTACGAGAAATGTCTTAAGAGCAGTATAACTTGCAAACATAGCAATAAATAGGTATCCCTACTCATTCCATAGTCATGTAATTCAAGCCTACATTGAATTATTGTATTTTCAATATAACCTTAAATTGAGAAGACTTAAACCAGATATAAGAAATGACAAAAAAAAAAACAAATAGACAGAAAAAAAACGTCCCTTAAGTTCCCTATCCGTTGCTATTTAGTATCATCCGCTGCTGTCCCAACTCACGTATTTCATGTCGGTGAGTGTGTGCGGTGACGGTGAGCTGCGTCTGTCCAGAGTCCGCCGACGGTCTGCTGCGGTGGGGCGCCGCGGCCGCCTTTATACGTGGCTCAGGTAGACGACATGGCCCCGGGCACCACCGCCGCCGAGGCCAGGCGCTCGTGGCTCGTGCCGCCCGACACAGCATCTATGTGTGTATAATATAGGTGTGGGGATACCGGATGGCAAACGACGAACATGCTGGAGGACACGTTGCACCAAAGTCCCCGTCCGTCGTTTCCATCCTCAGGATGTTCATATCCTTGTCCTCCACGCCGCAACCCTCGATCCGGGCTGCACAGGCAACTTTATCTCATGCGGGCTGCTTCCTTGGAGCGGCACCGCTGCTCCCAGGGGAGCACACCCGTAGCCGGGTGCAGAGAGTACTTTGGGGGCTGGTCGGCCTGTCCATTCGGACGGGCTCAGCCCCGATGACTCTCTAGGGTGTCTGCCCAGACCAATCAATACGATTCCATGACACGTCTAAATCGATTTAACGAAATTTTGCGTGCGTTTTTCTCGGATACTATTCACCCCGACCCCCTGCTCTACAAGGGTTAACCCGCGCCCTGGTGGAGGGTTATTTTGTTCCCCCCCCCCCCCAGTCTTTTCGCATTATCTCTAAAACTAATGCGCTGATCGTCGCAAAAACTTTCAGTATCCTCTCGTACGTAGGTACGGTCCACAATAGAAGTAATGTGGGGTTTCAGTCATGGTTATGTTCTGCTTCTGAAGCTTAGGAACGATTAACCAGACTACAATGAAACTTTGAATGTAGCTTATATGCATCGTCACCCTTGCAGCTGCAACTTTAGCTATTGACATCTTCTTTTCGATCACTCCGCATTAACCCGCGCGGGGCTGGGGTCTCCAGCCGAACGCGCGGGGCTGGGGGGGGGGGGGTAAATTTTACCCCCCTGTTATCTCCCGAACTAATGGTCCGATTTGGAAAATTCAAACGCCAATCGAAAGATCTCATCACCAACAACTAAAAACATGTACTCAATTTAAAGTTTGAGGTCAAGGTCAAGGTCAGGTCAAGGGTACAAATTAAAAGTGTCTACAGTATCGGCCTTGCACCGTAGTTGCCGAAGAATGGAGTCATGGACTGAGACTGATTGCCCAAAACGTGGTCTTAGGCTACCAAGACAATATTCGTTGCATACAATATCATTCAGAGGTCAAGGTCAAGGTCAGGTCAGATCAGGTAAGGTCACCAAAAACAAAATATAGAAAAGGGCATGTGCGACACATGTTTTATGGGTCATTTTACTCATAGAATTCAATAGGCACACTCAATAAGTGATATGGACCACCGCTGGATGAATTTCAGGTCGAGGTCAGGTCAAGTGAGGTCAAATTTTGAAGTTGGTTGTTAAGGCCTAAAAAGGTGTCTATCTGATGCAGTTTTTCACGGCAAATCGAATGGTGCTATTTTTGTTTCCGTACGAGGTCTAGAACTTTCAAAAAAAATCATTTTTCAAAATTTTTGTGTGTCGTGACGTCATAAAATTTTGAATAGCTCCCACATTTTTGAACCGATTCTTCAAAAAATTGGTATGTAGGTGCACATAGACCACTTCTCTGACATATATTCCGGTTTTTTTATACACTCAAAATTTTGGATTTTATAGCTATTTTCCCAAAAAAGTCAGTTTTTTTAGAAAAAAAATTGGGCCAAAATCCAAAATTTTCAAAAAAAAACCGAGATAGCCATTTGATAGACAAAATAGAGTTACGTATAAACTTTTTTGTTACGTCTTGTTTCCTTTAAAAATGAAGATGTTAGCGGCGTTTGAAATTTTTGCCGTTTTTGAGGCGAAAATGGCGAACATGACGTCACTAAAACGTCAATTTCTCAAAAAATTTCCGACAGATTTCGCTCAAATTTTCAGAGAACGTGTCAAATTGATGTAAGAAAAGGTACTGAAAGTTTGGCGGCGCTGCGCGCCGCCGTTTTTGAGATATTGCAAAAATTCGCGAGGGGGGGTAAAATTTACCCCCCCCAGCCCCGCGCGGGTTAAACAATCGCCAGTCAAAGCCAACCGTTGAGATTGGTAAAACCCTACATTACTTTAGCGGTGGGCTGTACATCAATTCAACAACTTGTCAAAAACTTTGATAGGTTGGCCACAAATAACAGAGTGACATTATGTTCAGCCATTTTCGACCCCAAAAAGAGTTTGAGGGGAGAGCATACACTTTTAAAGATATAGAAAATTGTTCAATATCAAAAAGACGTGCATCAAACAGGGCTACAAAACTGCTATAAACTGCTATATATTAAAACTCGGATTTTTTATTTTGACCCCCAAATCTCAAAAAAGTAATTTTCTGAAGAAAAAATCTTTTAAAATGCCGAAAATATTCAAAATTTCGACAAACCAGAATATATGTTATAGACCTATTGGTCTGTTATCCACCTGACAAATTTGAGCTCAATGACTCTTTTTCGGCAACATTATGGCTACCAACTGCCAACTGCCAACTGAGCTACGGGACAGGCCTGACCTTGACCTGACCTTGACCTGACCTCCACCAGAACGTAACCGAAAATGGTCCTGATTGTGACAACACCATTGAATCTCTTCTTTTCTCTTTCTTCTCTTTTAGCAGCTTATGGTGAAGACAACCAACGCTCTGTCCTGATTTTCGATAACATGTGTTTTACCTGATGTATAACGCATTCCCTAGAAGGTGTAAACGGTGAAAAATGCATGCTTTGACCTGGCCTGTGACGTCATGGGTGACCCTGAGGTCAATTGAATTAATTTTCCTTTGACGGTTTTTACAGGGCTTTCGAACGCCGTTTGAGTTTTGCGAATCTGTCCAGTAGTTCCGGAGATTTGAGGGGGGGGGGCAAAAAACAGCCTCCCCCAGGTTGCGTTATAATCAGACCCCACGGCGCGGGTGAAATGACATACGCACGAGATTTTACGTGTATGTCAGGTTGTCATTGAAGCTAGGGGACTGTTTTTTTTTTTTGCTTTCATGACCTGACCAGGAATTTCGGACGAATTGATATAAAATATCAAAAGTAAAAAGTTGATAGAACCGAATATTTTCTACATTACACAAATGTCCTACCTTTATGTCACCTAAAAAGAGTTTCGCAATTACACCTTTGTTGCCATCCACCCGGCCTTATCACACTACCTTTGATTTCCCTCGTGGTTTCATAAAAATAGTGTTTCAAAATTCGTAATTTAGCGAAACAATTTACGTTGTGCTGGGAAATTGACTAACGTCCGGCTGGGGCTCCTTGATTTTCACGATTTTCTGGAGATATTAACACCACCATTTAATTCGGCTATGAGGCCGCGTTCGAGAGCGACATGGGGTAGGCGCTGTTCAGCAGAGCGTCGTGGATCATGAAGGAGATATATTGGCCCTATTTCCAGGTCAGTTCAGAGTTCAGGTCACTAGAATTCATAAAAGGTTAAAGTTTGCTGATTTGGACTCTTTTAACCCTCGCCGGCCGAGGGGGGGGGCGGGTGCCGCCCCCCCCCCATAGGGTTTTTTCGCGATAGCTCCGAACACGCTGGCGATAGAGAGCTGAAACTTGGCATACCTGACCTTTGATTCAAGCCGGATCTTTTGACACCAACCGCATTTTTGAGTCAGGTCAGGTCACTGACCTATGCCGTCATAAGTGAACCTCTGCACGGTCTTCAGATGTCGCAACTTCGCAACGCCCTCACTGCCAGAGGAGATGTCACAGGGAAATGAAACTTGCAGGATCTAGTATCCATTATGAGTCTCACAATTTGTATATCTCAGATTTTTCCTAAAGGTCATATCAGGTCAGGTCATTTTCGTGACCTCACCATTACCTGTAAGTCAATGGGGAAAAATGAAAACTGCTATTCTGGCGCCGGGAACGATCTCCAACTATCTCAAGCACACAGAATCGTGATTTGATGCACTCCTTGCAAGATTAGATGCGTCACTTTTGCAATGTTGACCTTGCGTGACGTCATTTATGACGTCATCAAGGTCAAATTCGTTTTTCGTCAATAACTCTTGATCAAATTGAGCTAGCGAATCGCGGAAGCCACCAATGGACTCAGGAAGACCTGCCGAATCGAATGATATGCGACATGACCTCTTTCGACCAACTTCGTGACCTGGGGGTGCTGACCTGACCTTGACCTGAGGTCAACACCCCAAGTTGACCTGACCCGAACAAAAAGTATATCATTCGACGCGCCTGAGCGAGGCGAACACGATGCTGCCAAAATCGCGGCTCTGCGGCCGTTTTTTGCGAAGTTATTCATCAAAAACTGAACCGTACCTTGGGGCACTTGACCTGACCTCAGAGGTCACCGGTTGACCTAGGACCTTAAAATCGGGTACCAATCTCTGCGTCTCGTAACGGCGCACACGCTCGTTTTTTTCGCGACGCGCTAGCTCCACCAAGGGCGAAACGGCGAGGGGGGGGGGTCGTACCCGCCCCCCCCCCCCCCCCTCGGCCGGCGCGTATGTAGAAAACCAATAGGTCCGGCGAGGGTTAAATCATGGCACATAACTCGGGAACGAAAAGAGTTAGGACGCTGCGGGCTCTTTCCGTTGAATGCTTTCTGGTTAAACCTAAGGTTAGTCGTTTAGCATCCGTTAAAATTTTATATTTTTGCATATTCTTTCAGCAATCACTTTTTGTAAGACCTATACGGCAGAAATTTTATCGGCATAAATGTACTGTGTGACTCTCGTTCAGACGCATCGAGTTAACTATATTCTGAGCTTAAAAAGTCGACTTGAAAATTTGACGTACGTTTAGGGTCAATCTGATAGGAAGAAGTCATTTTGCATGTCAGTCGATATGTATCCTTAAGGTGAACAGTGAACATAGCCAAAGTGAACATATCCGAATTCTCATATTTCCAGCCTGATGAATGGCTTTCATGACCTTTGATGGTGTTCTGTTTGCTCGATTCATTATTGAATCTGTTCCTGTAACCCGTTATTTGAAGTGTTCAAAAAGGCGCAGTTAAATCTTATCGCATTGGTGCATGATGGAGAGGTCGTAGAATTGACCTGACAGCCCACTGATTTCGAGATATTTGTTAGTGCCCGATATTATCTCTATCAATCGCTGAAAGTGTTAGCATATCGTTCAGTTAGTACGGCGAGCATTATATTTTTTTCTGTAAGGTTAGGTCATTTGAAGTGATCTAGTGACCTGACCGTTCAAAACCCCGATCAGACATTTTTAAAACTTGTGCAGGAAAGATTTATGAGTAGGTTTGCCAGTGACGAAAGCGCAGAGCGCCGGCATGTTTCTTTGATAGACATATCATATCGACGTATTTAGTTTGTGCAAATCTTTTAAATGCATTGGCGTGACATTGGGAGCTCAGTTTGACTAATTACTTTACTGTGTCGTTGTAATAGCGGCATTGCTTTGATTCCTCAGTCACTAGATGTATCTTGACTTGCACATAACCATATCTTCTCCCCACATTAATGCACACTTTGTGAATTTTAGATGTATTGAGCGTCATCAATCCCTGTTCACATGATCACGGTTGGCAATGTTTCACATCAGCTCACAATGAAATGAAATGGAATGTCGGCGTTGTCGATCGTTTGTCTGTCTGTCTGTGGGTCGTCTACTGGTTCTTCTCGGCCTCGATCTGGGAGAACTTGGCGAGGGCGGCGGCCTGCGCCTCGGCGTTGGGGTCGGCCGGCGCCTGCGGCAGCGCGTCGCTCTGCGCCTGGAAGCCGTTTTCGTCGGCCACCCAGTCGACGCGCACCTGGACGTCGTTGCCGTTCTCGTCCTGGGCGGTGAAGGTGTAGCTGCCCTGCTGGACGGTGCCGACCTTCTCTTCGTCAAACTGCTTCACCTGTCCGGCCACGTCCTGCGACGACGGGTCGGAGGTCTCGTAGCCGTACTGGAAGCTGCCGTCCTCGTTGGTGACGGACGAGCTGCGCAGGAGGCCGTAGTCCTCTGGCGTCTTGAGCTCCTGCGGCCGGCCGGCGGCCACGGCCAGCAGGGCGGCGAGCACCAGCTGAAACAAACAGACGCGATATGGTCACTACTTATTATAGAAATTCATGGGAAGGTCTAATAATTCCACGAGATGTTTCGCCACTGAATCACGAATAAATTAACCTCAAAATTATCAAAAAAGTTGCGCTAAACTATTCAAAATATTTCATAGAAACGGGCAACGCAACGTGTTTTCCACTTAACGCGTCTGAACACCATATGACTTTGGTGTTTTTGGTTCAGCAATCGTTCGCACCAGAGGGTTAAAAACTGCCGACACAGAACAAAAAAAAAAAAAAAATGTCCCCACTCATCCGATAATCAAGTTGAAAAGTAACATCGAGAAATGGCAGCCACAATCTAACCCCCTAAAGGCTACAAAACTTTAAGCCCTTGTAAGAAATACTCAAACGTAAAACACACAGCCCTCCCATGTCCGCTGCTGTCCCAACTCACGTATTTCATGTCGGTGAGTGTGTGCGGTGAAGGTGAGCTGCGTCTCTCCAGTGTTTGCCGACGGTCTGCTGCGGTGGGGCGCCGCGGCCGCCTTTATACCTGGCTCAGGTAGACGACATGGCCCCGGGCACCGCCGCCGAGGCCAGGCGCTTGCCCTGCTAGCTGGCAGAGGGCACCCTCTGGCAGGGGTAGCGCCAGGACGAGCGGCAGGGTTTCCCGCGCCCGTCTCTGGCCCGCCGGAGATCTGGGAAGGCCACATGCCGGGCTGGCTAGGGCACGTTTAGGCCACAGTGTCAACGTGATATGCTTGGGAAATAAGTTATGGTAACGAATAGTGTTTGTCTTATGTCTATTTCAAACAACCTGCGGTTACGTGTTCAAATGAGGACCAGTTTTGGGTATGGAGACTTGGCTAAGTTTGCATCTCTTGTTCGGCCGAATCATTTGCAATGTAGGCAACTGCTGAACTTGCAGGATATTTCTCATCAGTTGTGTTATTGTACCATTGCTAAGAATGAAATTCAATATGTTAAAGTTGGCTTGTTGCACATTCGTGGAGATGACAAGAAAAGAATCAATATCAATAGGCAATAGCCCTGAACCATCAACATGGTTCAGGGCTGCGGAGTCTATGGATTTTAGGGTGACTCCGACTCCGACTCCGACTCCAACTTGGGCTTCAAAAATCGACTCTGACTCCGACTCCGACTCTGGACGGGTCTATTAACCCGCGCCGGGCCGGGGGTGTTGTTTGAACCCCCCCCCCCCTGCGGTTTTTCGCAGATATCTCAAGCGCCGCCGTTTTTTGCACACCTGTTTGTGCATCTTTTTCGCACATGTTGTGAAAATTTCAGACCAGGTCGCTCAAGGTCAGGTCACCAGGTCACGCCAAGTGACCTCACCTAAAAAAAAAAAAAAAAATAGAATGCTCGTCATAGCTACACCGACGGAACGATTGCCTTGAAACTTTCAGCGATTGATAAAAGTAACAGTATCTATAAAACGTATATCTCGGAATTTTGATATCAGTGACCTAAGGTCAAGTCAATTTGGCGGCCAATTATAAGTTAATGGGAGAGAATTGAAAAGTGTCTCCTTTGCATTAACGCCATTCTAGACACTCTCAAACATGGGGATGCAGGTAAAATTGACATACTGAATCGAAAAATGGCACCTGTGACCCCTCGTTATGTCCCCGAGGTCATCTCAGGTCACGAATAGTAGGGTAGGGTGGGGTAATTTGAACATGTGGGGCAATTTGAACATAGTGTGAATAACAGAAAATTACGGAAAATCCATAAGTGGCATGACAATAAGACCAATGAGAGAAATTATCGTAACTAAAAGGGCTATCATATGAACGGGGTTTAAAGTTTCAGGGAATGAAGATGTTGACGCACAGTGTAAAAAATCAATTTCGCAAGGGAAAACGCCTAACAACACGTCATTGCAACTTCATTGCAGCGCAAAATCTTGCATTGCTAGCGCCTAATACGCAACGGCTTTTGTTGTATAAAGACCTAATCAGTGCCTTCAATCCAAGAAATTTGCTTTTGAACCCTCTTTTTTTAAATGGCAAAATAACTTTTAGCGTGGGGTAATTTGAACATAGCGTGAGAATTTGAATGAAGACAGGGATAGCTCCGAAAAAACAACGCTCCCAGTTTTTTTTTTTTGCCAATATTTTCGACCCAAGGCAGTAGCAGATAAGTTATGCCAGTTTTAGAAAATTTACGTCTAATATCCGTCTTATGTCCGGCATGTTTGTTGATTTTCCTTTCAAAAATGTTAAAGTCAACTATTTGTCCAAATATGTCCGAAAATTATGCAGCTATCAACACTCAAAACCGTCATTTATATTGCTTATCATGTAATTTTACCAGCCGAAAAGTGTTCATTATATTGAGAGCTTAACAAGCTTTCCATTCGCCAATCAATGCTATGCACGATTACTTTATAAAAAGCGCTGAAGTGTAGCAAACCATCGTCCAATGTTGTCCAGTCTGCTACCTTTGTCCAACCAATTCCGAATTGGACATTGGACAAAATCAGAACTCCAAATGTCCAGGTTTCGATTGGCACCACTTTAACAGATGTAGTACGATTGGTAGAGTTTTTATCGAACAAAAATGATAGACGTTCTGTTAATTGAAGAGGGGCGAATTCTGTCAACTGACCGGTGTGCAGCGTGCAGATATTGATACTCTGCAACTGTTATTTTTTGCTGTTGTGTTGATTTTTTAAGTGAAGGTATGTTTAGAATTGTTCTGCCTATTTGTTTATGGGTCAAACAACATCGGTGCTGGCGAGACTATCGTTTTTATGACAGGTAAAGGCAGTATGTTCAAATTACCCCACGGTGGGGCACTTTGAACACACCGTGACTTGGTGGAGAAGTGAGGCTATGCTATTCAAGGTATGCTCGGCTCGTCCAAAAATGAGACTTGCATGGTGAAAGCAAGTGACACTTGCGCTACTGAAGCAGTTTTTCTTCATCCAGGGTTGAACTGGAATTTGGTACAACGGAGAATACGTAAAAATATGTTCAAATTACCCCACACTACCCTATCTAACAATTTTTCGCTAATAACTTCTGATTGGAGCATGCTAGAGCGATGAAAACGCCTTAGATGTGTTCAGCTCGACGATACGGATCGACTGATATGCAACATGACCTTTTCCGGTCAGATCATGGCCTTGGCCTGAGGTCAAATTTTAAGTTGACCGAAGGTCAAATTAAAGTATATTCGAAGCGTCTCGACGAGAGGAACATGATGCTAGCAAAAGTAATGTCGTGGCTTCTTTGAGTCAAAAGTTATTGCCGAATAAACACTTTTCGTATAAACGGCTATTTTTGGAGTTTTTGCCCTCTGGATGCTAAACCGTTGACCTGAGGTCAAATCTGAGGGCATGTTGGCGAAAGAGCGTTAAAAGAGCTATCGAATGCGTTTTGCCGTGGCGCTGTAGCTCTATCGGTTCCCGAGTTAGCCGTTGGCAGTTTCCAAAATGTTGGAATAGCCAACATTTTACCTTTAGTGACCACTGGTGACCTGACCTTTGACCTGACCCAAAAATGACTGGAGTGTTTTTGTCCTCATTTTGGACGCTCTTTCGATTGCCGCTTACCGCGTGTCGCTACGTGACCCAGGAGCCGAGTTAGAGGAGGAGGGGGGGGGGGTTGTTCAGACACCCCCGGCCCGGTGTGGAAGTCTCGGAGCACCGGCCCGGCGCGGATAAAAATCCATATGATATTGAAGTTCATAATGGAGATGCTTTTATCTTGCCTGAAACGATCCCTTGTGCGTTCCAAGGCTTTGCGTTGCAAATATGCATGAACAATACCATGCATAATTAAATAGCAGGTTTTGGGGAATTCACCGTCTTCTGCTTCCTTCCCTGAAAACGTTCGTTCAAAACAACGAATTGACCTTTTTTCGACAAAATATAATTTGAAGCGCAGTAACGTCAATCAAACAGGTGCAGTGCATGGCGTTGAGCCATGCATGCAGCGTTAACTCCGACCTCAGGTAAGATTTTAGCGACTCCGACTCCGGGCTGAACTGTCGACTCCGACCGACTCCAGCTCCGACTCCGACTCCGCAGCCCTGGACTTTCAATTGATCAGTGATTGCAGTTTAAATCGACTCCCTTTGGTGCTCACAAAAGTGCGAAATACGACGCTTCTCACCTGAGATTTGAACGTTCATTTCAAAGCATATGGAAGTTTTTATTTCAAACTTACATTGAACGTTTTCATGAAATTGATGTGTTTCATACAACGATATAAGCGAGCGATGCTTGTTCCAGAACATTATTTTTTGTACCTAATGCTGCTGTTCCTCAGCGACAATGAATTCTTAGCCTTGAACTGTTGCCAGAAGAGTCTATCTTTGCTTGCGCTGTGTTTCGAGGAATGGTGGAGTGATTGTTGAATCTCCAATCGATTCATGGTGCACACTTTACAAGTCCGATAGGCGGGCTGCCGCTAGGGGCTTTTACCAAAGGCGTCCCATTATCAGAACATGTGACGCATTCCCTTTCTCGATCAGGGTATGCCCATGCAGACCCTATGCAGCCCGAGTGCTCCGTAGGTAGATATCCGTTTGTGCCATGGCGCTTCTGTTAAACACTGAATGTATTATCAGAGGCGTGTATGTATCCTACTGCATAATGCATTCAGGATGTTGGTAAAAGGTATACGTACGTACCATTCTTTTAAAAACATGCTAAAACAACTTTAAATCATTGAGTCATCGATTTTTTCTCAATGTTAGCCTCCAAAATCAGAACTGACACCACCAACCCTTTATCTATTATTCTCTCTTCCTCTATATTGGTCGGGACGATAGGAAGCCGATGACCAAGCCTCCATAAGACATGATAAAAAATGCTGAAATACTTTACGGGATGTATTATTGTGTTCAATCCCGCAATAGATCGTTGATCTAAAGATCAAAATTCACTGCAGAGTTATTTGTGCCTTGATTCATGTTAGACTGAACAATGCCTATGCTAAATACGGCAATGACAAAGGGCGACCATGACATGCATTCTCTGGTATGTCCGTCGCAGAAGTATCACCGTGTTGCAGTATGTAAATTCGCCGTGAGCCGGTATCTAATGTCACGTGGGTGGTGGACGGCCGGCTGTCCACGGTCTCGGCCCCGGCCCCCTCGGGGGTTCAGTGGGGGCGGCGCGGGGCCCTGGGACCCGGCTGACCCCAGGGACACTATGGGACAGCGAAAGGGCGCGAAAGGAGTATCGCGCTATCGCAAACCGCTAGCAATGGTAGCATTCGCGGGGGAGGGTGCATAGAAAGACGAGAACGATGCATTGTATAAGGTGACCTGCGATTGTGTTGGTGAATGCTTTTGTGTACTGTGAGAGCATGTTGACAGTTATCTCTAGCATTTATGAACAGCCTGTATACGGTCCTATCAAGGTGAAACGAACATTCATATGTTTCCCTCTATACTAATGTGAGTGACTCCGGGTAGTCTCATTAATGGCAGACGGGGGTAGGAGCTCAGCGTGCAGTGAGGTCGGTCGAGTTGATTCAATTGTTTCCCTTCCAGTTCCAAATCATGTTGTATGTCACACTCAGTCCGTCCTGTTCAAAAACAGTAATTTTACCACCGCTGCATCATGTGACGACCCCCCTCCCCCCTGTCTGTCGTCAGTAAGGACAAACGAGAGTACCTGTACAGCCGGGAGCAGCTGGCGGAGGCGCAGACCCACGACGACCTCTGGAACGCTGCCCAGGTGAGACGGTGTGAACAGTCCTCAGTGCTTACTGGACGTGAGGCTGCCACTGGGAATGGACTCTGGGCTCGTGAGAGATGCTCCCTGGGATTTGATGTCTCGGACTTGAGCCATCGGGTATTGAAGGCTGCTGAGAAGAACCAAGTTACTTAAGGAGACATTTGTTATTACGGTTATCTTTTTACTATATTAAGTTGGGCGTCATGGAAGACTCGATAACAATGCAAACAATATTCACGTTAATTATTCGAAGTGGTGGGAGTTGGAGCGGTTTGAGCTGGCGCAGTGGCTCAGCCGGCGCCTCCGTGCCGGCGACCTTGGTCTGCCAGCCCTCGCCCCCGCCCCGCCCCGCCCCCGCCGCCCCTGCCCCCGCCGCTCCGCCCATCGTCCGCCGGGGGCGGGAGGATGCTCCGCTCGGACACGAAGCGGAGGGAAGGAGCGGCGGCCCCTGTACTGGAGCGGAGGGAGGGAAGGGAAGAATTGCGACCCCTCGACCGGCGCGGAGGAAGGGAAAAGGAGAAACGCTACCTTGCAAAAACCGGCGCGGAGGGAGGGAAGGGAAGTTAACCCGCGCATGACTGGGGGGGGGGACTCTACAGAGCCCCCCTCATGTTTATCAGCAATATCTTCGAAACCGTTTGACGGATCAACACGAAACTTGCGGTACCCTCAGAGGCATCAATTTGACACCTTGTGTTAAAATTTCAACTTCCTAGCTACCATAGTTTAGCCGGAAATGACGTCAGAGTGACGTCATGTCGGCCAATTTTCATGCAAAATACTGAAATACGGCAAACGCTCTCAAGAGCTCTGTTTTAAAGCTAGATCCATTTTCTTTGCATGAGTGGACTACAAATACACGTAGCTATCGAACTGCTATCTCCAATTTTCGAAATTTTGAAAATTTTGAAAAATATTCATTTACAATTACAAAAATATATTTTTAGATTTTTTTTCAAAATGTTTTTGACTTTTCGCAAAAACCGGAATATTTGTGATAGAACACACACTGATGAACTACATTTGCAAGTTTTAGCCCAATATCTTCAAAAATAGCCAAGTTATTCGCATTATTGTCAAAATTTTACAATTTTATGTTTTTTTTTCAAATCCATTTTTCAGTACCTTTTTGACGTCGTACAGCAATATAAATGGCACCATCGTGTTCCTGAGCTCAAACTGCATCTGATAGGCACCTTTTTTGTTGAAAAATTTCATTTTCAAAATTTGACCTTTTATAACCTGAAAGTGACCTGACCTCCGGTAAATTCAGCTGACAATGACCTCAAATGACACAGACGACACTATTTTCGAAATCTACGAGTAAAATGGACCATAAAACATGCGTCACGTGACCGATACATGATATACAATTTTTGTGACCTAGGATGATCTGGCCTTGACCTTAAAAATTCGAAGTAAAAGTTCGATACCCTCAGGGTATCTAAGGCATCCGTCAAGGAGTGTGTAAACCAAAAATGAGCCTGATCGGACCAGCGGTCCGGCGGTCAGAGCCTAAATTGTGAACTAACAAAAATGTCGATAATTTTTACTTTGACCTGACCTGTGACGTCATCGGTGACCTCGAGATCAATGAAAATAGGTTTCGCTCTCGACAGTTTTTCTAGGGCTATCAGACGCCGTTTGAAGTTTGACGATCGGCCCAGTAGTTTCGGAGATAGGAGGGGGGCTCTGGAGAGCCCCCCCCCCCCCCAGTCACTCGCGTTATGGAAAATACCCCAGTCATGCGCGGGTTAAGGAGCGTATCCCCTGCTAGTGTGGGCGCGCAGGGAGCAAGAAGGGAAGGAGGGAAGGGAGCAAGGGGGAAGGACCGCAGCCCTTGTACTGGCACAGAGGGAGGGAATGACTGCGGCCCCTGTACCGGCGCGGGGGAGCGAAGGAGGGAGGGAGCGGCCCCTGTACCGGTGCGGGGGAGTGAAGAAGAGGCCCCTGTCGGCACCGGCTCACCTCGCCGCTGCAGCCTGATCAGCACACGGAGCGGCCGGCGCCGGCGGCGGCCGTGACACGGCCAGTCGCCGGTTATGTGACGCCGCCGCTGTATGTAGTGTGTGTTCAGCACACTCCCCCGCTGACCCGGCCTGAGGACGGCCGGACGACCATGACGGATGAACGAGTGGCGCTGGAGCGGCGCCGCTGAGAGGGCCGCGGGCAGGCAGAGGTGGCCAGCGGCGAGCTTCCGTGTCCGGTCTGCCACATGACTGTCACATACCATATGACAGGACACCACCTACGGGTGTCACGTGGCGTCTCATGTCACGTGGTGTCTCGTAGCTACACGGCGTGTCCCGGTATGAGATGACATTTTCTGGAGTTCGAATGTCAACGAGGCGAGAAGTTTGCCTAAAAGTTTATCTGATGAAGCGTCCTTTGCCAAAGCTGTACAATGCCCTAGAAGTTTCTCAGACATTTTTCAACTTTTTATTGGCGTTTTTAGCAGAAGCTCTGATTTCATGCTCCTTTGTCGCATGATTCACTGGGCTTTATACCGTCCTTCGTCACAAATCATTCAGCTTTATCTTGCCGGCCATGCGCACGTGTTTTTGTCTGTTTTTCTTTGAATAGATCAGAGATTGCCTTGTTTATACGTGCTGTTTACTTGGACATGAGGGCGGTGAACACTCGGCCCTTGTCGTGTTAGATCTTGATGTAAACACCCTGGCCGCCAGGTCATATGCACAGAAGGTGTTGTCGCGATGTTTACAGGTGGCCTGTTGTGACCGCTGCCTCGTCCCAGCGATCTGGCAGATTCACTCGCTGTGTCAGTGTCAGGATGCATAATAGTCCGACGGCCATGGCCCCTATTCGTAAACATCGCGGCGCCTCAATTTGAGACGATGGGGCCTGCATGATACAGCGTGACGGCAACCCAGCTACCTGTGGCATCGGACCTGGATACATCTGATGCATCTGCAAGTTGAGTCACCCTAATATGCGCCTTGAAGATGATCAAGGCTTTTTGCTGCACGTCATTCGCCGTTTTCTTTGTATCTACCGGATGTGTACGTCTCCTGCGGTGTTGTCCGTAGCTGTTCTCTTCGCCTCGTTCTTTGTATCGGCCCGGGCTCTAATCAGGGAAGTGGTCCTGCGCAGTTTGCTCATCGATTCGTCTAATGGCTTTAATTGGTTTGCCCCAAGGTCAGGGGCGGACGGCCACCCGCGTTCCGACCGCCCACACTATTGTCAGGTGGCTGTGAATGTGGTTTGGAAGGTGGGATGGCTGCGAGCTGCGTCGGTGTGGGGTGGGGATCACGTTCAGAACAAATCAGAGGTCACGGTATCGCCCAGGGCCTTCTCGACTCCTGTCGCCGACGCTTCGGTACCGCCCACCGCCTTCGCAGTTACCGCCGCCCGCTGTTTCCCGCCGCCTCCTCCGTTTCCGCCGCGGCACCTCCGCCGTTTCCGCCTCAGCTTCCGCTGATGGCACTGTCACGCGTCCCGCCGTCACGCCCATCAGAGGCCGTCTGTTCACGCTAGGTCGACTTTTCACGGCTCACACTTCCCGATCGTGGCCTCACGAGGAAATGGTGCACGACGGAGCGACGGTCGTCAAGTTAGATGTAAGTGAATCCTAATCTATAATCTAAGATTCGGAATCAGGTGAGCCCCTACGATTTGGACCAAACTTGGTCAGTGGATAGTACGTAACGTCCTGATTACGATGCACCCAAAATCTAAGCTCGGCCCGCCATATTTACGAAGTTACGGATGTTTGAATTTCAAGGTCATTCGGGAGAGCCCCTGCGATTTCCGTCAAAATTTGTGTACGGACACTCTAGATGCCCCTCATTACGAATATCACAAAATTTAAGCTCGGCCCGCCATATTTACGAAGTTACGGAGGTTTGAATTTCAAGGTCATTTGGGTGAGCCCCTGCGATTTCCGTCAAAATTGGTATACGGACATATTACATCCTCCTCATTACAAATATCATAAAAGTTAAGCTCGGCCCACCATATTTTTCAAGTTACGGAGTCACAAAGTTACGGAATTTCAAGGTCATTCGGAGAGCCCCTCCGATTTTCGTCAAAATTTGTATGCGGACACATTACATGCTCCTCATTACGAATATCGTAAAAGCTAAGCTCGGCCCGCACTATTTCAAAAGTTACTGACGTTTGAAACTCACTGAAATTCAAACATCTCTAACTTTTGAAATAGTGCGGGCCGAGCTTAGCTTTTACGATATTCGTAATGAGGAGCGTGTAATGTGTCCGCATACAAATTTTGACGAAAATCGGAGGGGCTCTCCGAATGACCTTGAAATTCCGTAACTTTGTGACTCCGTAACTTGAAAAATATGGCGGGCCGAGCTTAACTTTTATGATATTTGTAATGAGGAGGATGTAATATGTCCGTATACCAATTTTGAAGGAAATCACAGGGGCTCACCCAAATGACCTTGAAATTCAAACCTCCGTAACTTCGTAAATATGGCGGGCCGAGCTTAAATTTTGTGATATTTGTAATAAGGAGCATCTAGAGTAGAGTTGCAAAGTTTCCCTACCGCACTACCGGCATGCCGGTAATTTTTCACTACCGCAGGTTTTTCGTGGTATCTGGCATGTCTTGCCGGTAGCATGCCGGTATTTTTGGTTTTGCACACACAAAAAAATTATTAGCATACGATTCAAACTTTGGACACTAAGAGGTTATCAAATTGTAACAACAGCAATCTTTGCCACTGCAAAATACATTTTGTGGTAGAAAACACATTGCTAAGGGTAGGGGTACATATGGACCTCAGCATTTCACAGGTTTGGTTATAATTATAATTGTCAAGAACCTACTGTGGTCTATAAAAGGAAGAACACACATTCATGTTGCAAAAGCACGATCAATTAGTAAGTCTAATGGTAGGTAATAGGTATAATACAATAAAATAAATAAATGTTCATGACAACATTTCATAGGGGAAAAGGCAGAATCAAAACACCACAAAACACATTGTTTGGAAACTGGCCTTGAGTCATGAGATGTGGTCTGAGATACGCCACAAAGAAGTTGACACTGAAAATCCATCTGAAAAGGCAGGTATTAGGTAGCCCTGAGCCTGACTTTGGTCCCAAAAATGAAATGAAAATTAATGAAACTGGCAGTTTGCCTTATCTCTACAAGAAAACACAATATGCAGACAAAATTAATACAAAGTTGAAGTGGTGCAAAATAATAAGAGCTTAGAGAACCAAGGATTGACTTTTAAGATCCTCTCTCCCCTAATAAAATGATGTGAGATGATGACGTAATAATTATTCATATGCCCTTTTGGTTGAATTACTGAGGGGAAATGAATTTTCTTGTAGTTAATTGCACTCAAAATATTAATTTCATTAGAAAAAAATATCGGATCATTTACATCAATAAAGTCATTCACAAGGCAGTGTGTTGCAGTCCAAAAACTTTTTTTGCAGCAGTTTTATCAGCTGGTTAAAAGCCTCTGTTATGGCGCATCTGTGTTTGGAGAGTATCGTGAGATTCGATGGGGGGCATCATACCGTTTTTATACATATTATTTGGTGACTGTTCTCAGGACAAGTGAGTTATTAACATATATTTTTACATGATTCGTATATTATTCACGAAGCAGCAAGCCATGGCGAATAGGAAAAAAACAGATGTTGATCTCGCTTCCTCAGTTAGGAACATGGCCGAATTGGAATCGGTAGGTAGTTTTTATGTTGTGGTCATCTATATTTTGAACATTTGGTTGATGCCTGAAACATTTTAGGAGAGTGTGGAATAATAGAACACCTGTGACCTGTGAAATATAAATGTGATTACTGCTAACTGTCCAGTCTTCAGAAACACATTTCAGTAATTCAAGTTCTTTTTGTCCTTGCTTTTTGATGATAGTTTAATGCTTTTTGTAGGCAATACCTCTTTGATTACAGGTTATATTTCAACAGTTATAGATGGAGTTGGGTTTCAAAATTGTGGGTATTTGTAGGGCCAACTGAGTAAAAATCAGCCTGCTCGTAGTTGTGGTTGGACAATGGGTGGCTACTGGGTGGGATGGGTACCTACTGAAATTGTCAAAATGTGGCATCTCTTGTAGGGGTAAGCTGGAATCAACAATGCAGGTTTTTTAGTATGCCGGTAATTTGGTGGTGTTTTTGCTTGGGGCGTGGTAGCATGCCGGTATCCCAGAAAATTTTTGTGGGGCGGGGCGGTGCCGGTAGCAGCCTTTGGGGGAAACTTTGCAACTCTAATCTAGAGTGTCCGTACACAAATTTTGACGGAAATCGTAGGGGCTCTCCCGAATGACCTTGAAATTCAAACATCCGTAACTTCGTAAATATGGCGGGCCGAGCTTAGATTTTGGGTGCATCGTAATCAGGACGTTACGTACTATCCACTGACCAAGTTTGGTCCAAATCGTAGGGGCTCACCTGATTCCGAATCTTAGATTATAGATTAGGATTCACTTACATCTAACTTGACGACCGTGACGGAGCGCCAGGGATGGTTTACGTGTGGGCTGTTCGTGGGTGAAGTCCGCGGATAATGGCCGTTTGAAGTGTAGGCCGAGACAGCCGGGATGGAGTCGTTAGGTGCTGAGCTCATGACCGGCATTGGGCCTGTGCTTGTCGGTTGTCTTCAATCTCATCATAAGAAGGTCTGGAGATAAGGAGAGATCCGTGTTTTGGTTCATTTTTCTCGCTTGCTATGGCTTTCGGAATTTCGGCATGACATGTTCCTAACGCCGGCTTCTTCGTAACAGGTGCGACCCCAGATTTCTTATTCAGACCATGTTCGCGGCCTGTACAATTGTGATTTGTAAGCGCCTGTACTATGCGCCAGTGCAGAACCTCTGCCTGTGATTCAGCACCTTCATCCAGAACCGAACGCAGTATCAGTGCAATAACCAGCACCCAGTCAGTACCGTATCACCGTCCTTAGACTGCCACGCTATGCGAGACCCGCCCGGTGTTGAATCGGTGTCTGGACAGTCGCCGGGACCAGTCACGTGACCGTCCTAGGCATGCTGATTGTGACCTTGACATGTGGGCATAGCCGACATTGCGACACTGCGAGCTGATGTCAACAGGCTCTGCCGAATTCGCGGCTCTCGGACGGCTAAGCCGGGTAATGGTCAAACTGGCGTGTCCTTGTCTTCAATGTCTAGCCTGCTCCCAGCGCCCGCCCATCTGCATACCTAATGAACAATGACGACGTTAAACGTAGAAAACAGGGATTGGCGGTAATTTTATTCCGTATAATGTTGTGTTTGTTAATTCATCGATTTTGGTGCATAGGACAAAGACTGAAAACGTCTTTGTTGCGTTTTCGCTTGACAGAGTAAAATAGGTATTGTTCATCTTCAAGGTGTGTTTATAAACTAAATTTTCGATCAGAGGAGCATACGCTCATAGAATTTGATGAAATAAATTATGCAATAAACGATTTGAGTGCCTTGGAATAGTATATAGTGTTAATAAACTAATTTTTTGGATCAGATAAACTTCCATCGTTTTTATCTTTATTTTTAGCACGTCAGAGAGGGCAATTCGTCCTCGTTCGTCCTTGCACCTGACTCAATGTCGTCATCAATGTCGTCACCAATCCTGTTACGTGCATCGTCGTCATGTTGCTGTCGAGAGAGGCCCGTCATAATCCGCTTATCCTCCGTCACACACAATGAATGACCGGTGATGGGGGCCAGCCTAATGCGGTGACTAACAATGCCATACAAGATGTTTTCAATCTTGCGTAGTGTCTTGTAATGACAATTGACAAATCGCTCGGATATTTTAGTTTGATAAATTTATTCACCGGTTTTCAATGAGTGTTGCATGCTGAACGATTTTTCAGCTTTGCGCTTGTCCACGGCCTAACCTGTCCCTCTCCGGGTCAGCCTTATGGAGCCCAGCTGGCCGCCTGGCGCCACGAGGGGTCCGCCCTCCCCTTTGGAGCTGGGCTGGCCGCCCGGCACCACGCAGGGTCAGCCGCGTCGGTCACCGTCCAAGGGCAAGGTCATCGGACCGCCGGCCGTCGCCACCCGCCGCCTAAAGACGCCCGCCTCCTCTGTATACTGGCTGTTACCGAGCCTCCCCAAACAGTTTCCACGAACTGAGCCGACCAAAAACGATCAGCACCGCCGCCCGGGTGACAGATGACTGCCGGTGGACCGGGACCACGCCGGGTTCCGCGGAGCTGAGTAGAGCTGGGCTCGCCCCCGCCCCGATCCGACCGGCGGGTGGCAGCGGCGCGGCGGCCCTGAGCTGCCCGCCGCTGACGGGCTGAGGGCTTTCACAGTAACTGGCGGTCGTGCCGGCAGGAACGGGAGATGGACGCCATGAAGATAGGGTGGGATGAAAGGATGAGCATGTGCAGTCATCTTTACTTGGGCAGGAGAGAGGACGAGAGAGAGAGAGAGAGAGAGAGAGAGAGAGAGAGAGAGAGAGAGAGAGAGAGACGCCGGTTCCGCGACCGTCGGGTTTCTCTGAAGGTGACCCCGGCGAAGGTCAATGATCACCCATCCCCGCACCATTTCCTTACCGGACTCGTGCGGGTCATCAATTTTAAACCAATGAGTTTTTTTTTATTTTGTGTTCATCGATCAGTTTAACAATAATGAATCAAGTAGCGAATGAATAACGAATGGTAGCTACATACGAGTATATGCTATGTAGTTATTAGTGACATTAATTGGAGTCTGGAATGTGTAGAATTTCGTCAGACCTGCCCTGTGCTGCACGGCAGCCTGGTCGGTGACTGGATGTGTTTACTCGCCGGTCCGTCTCTGTGACATGAGTAAACCACTGCCCTCCTCGGCGGTCGGCAGTAATAACAAACATCATCCCCAGCCGGCTCCCATCCCCAGTGTCGGACCAGCGCAAATAGACAGTCGGCAAGCCGCCCTGCCGAGCCGCCGGCCTCGTTAGGGACTCGTGGTGTATATTTTGACACGGTGCTCTCTGCGCCGGCCCCTCCATATCGCCCCCGCACCCGACCTCTGACCAATGTGTTTACCAATTAGCAGCTGCTGACCGGCGCATGACCCGTCCCGTGACCTGCCCCGTGACCCGCCCCGTGACCCGTCCGCCGCTGCTCCCCCAGCTGCAGCTGGTGAAGGAGGGCAAGATGCACGGCTTCCTGCGCATGTACTGGGCCAAGAAGGTGCTGGAGTGGACGAGGTCGCCGGAGGAGGCGCTGGCCACCGCCATCTACCTGAACGACCGCTTCTCGCTGGACGGCAGGGACCCCAACGGATACGTCGGTGAGTGGACTGCGGCGATGTGCGGCGTTTTCGACACCAGCGGGCGCGGCCGTGGTCAGAGGAACGTCCGGTGGCGGCGGCAAGGACAGCGAGACGGGCAGTCAGGGTCTTGTAGTGCGTGATGGGGTCGGGTTGGGTGATGAATGTAGCGACAGATCGGATATAATGACTGATATGCCGTAGATGGGTGGAACATGGTGGCTGACAGGGGGTAGCTACAGAAGTAAGGTGTGCAGGCTCGGCCAGGGGTGTCAGAGAGCGGCGGCGGCCCCGGCCGGGCGGGCACCCACCTCTCACGTGACGCGGCGCGCCGGGGTAGGGCCGACGAGCCTGCTAACCTTGACTGGAGTGAGGCCTCCGAGCGGCGTCTGCCGCCGCCGGCTGCAGGGCCGACCCGACCCGGAACTGACGCCGGGCCGGGGAGGACGGACACGGCGCCCGTCTGGCGTGGATGGTCGGACGCGAACGGAGGGGACACGGAACGGGAGAGGATGGGATGTGGGGGTCTAGAAGAGAGTCGATAGGTGATGGGACAAAGCATCACGAGATGGGCTGGACGGCACGGCACAGCACGTGGGTCACCCGGTGCCGTCGGCAGAGAGGCTATCCATAATGGTACCCCCCCCCCCCCTCCGAAACGCTGGACGCACTCAGAGAGACTTTTCAATTCTTTATGCCGGACTTTTCAGACGCTCCTTTTTTCTGAATGGTAATGTTTTTGTTTGTTTGATTTTAGCCTCACGAGCAACTTTTTTTGGAAAGTAACAATTGCGCTGGTGTGTTTCTAGAAGTTACACAATGAAAATAGCAAACGACTTGAGGCGCTGCTAGCCTTGCCGGACGCTTATGGCCGCTATAGCATCTTTTTGTGCCACTCCGATGTTGTCCTGCCTAACTTCGATCGCGATATCTGATCCCTGCGCCTCCCCTGGCCAGCCTGCTCTCTCACGAGGGTTAATCGCAAGCTCGGTTTCTCGCGCTGTTCGGTCACAGGCGCTAGCTCCCGTCCCAGGGCACAGGTCGGTCGCCGAGCCCAGGCCGTGCGCCTCAGCCAGATCGAGCTGCCCTTGAACCGCGCGGCGCCGGCGGCTCCCGCAGGGCGGAGGGTGTAGACTCTACACTGTAGAGAGAAGGGCGGAGGGCGTAAGGAGGGCGGTCGAGGGAGCACGGCGGGGCCAGGGGCGGCGAACTGCGTGCGAGCAGCAGGGAGAGCCGATCACTGCAGGCCGCTGACCTCTGCCGTTCCGACCGACCGGCGTAGCGCAGCCAGCCGCCGCCGATTGGCTCCCCGCGCCGTTTATTTCCGCCGTCACTGCGCCGGCCGTGTCGGTAATAGGGTGCTGGCGCCACCGTGCTCCTGCCTGAGCCGCGGGTACAGGGTTCAGACGGCTGTAAAATGCCGTGTGCTGCGCAGGGGGCTCTGCTAGTCACCGATAAGGCGTCAGCTAATGCCCGCTGAGTGCAAATTTGCACAGTCAGATGAGTGTATGGCCATTCATGCCCATTGCACAATCCACAGAGATTGAACTAAACTGATAAATCGTGTGTCGGTTGATATATTCGTCTTAATTTGATTTGATCAAATGATTTTAACGAACGCATGCGTTTTATCCGTAATCGTATTGGATATAGTAATTCGATTTGCCAATTGATTTGCGCCAGCCTACCACGGCCGGGGTTGCCCGCTGTTGTTTGCTGTGCTCGGCCCTGACCCCACCCCCCTTCGTTCCCCTCAGGTTGTATGTGGTCGATCTGCGGTATCCACGATCAGGGCTGGGCCGAGCGACCCGTCTTCGGCAAGATCCGCTACATGAACTACCAGGGCTGCAAGCGCAAGTTCAACGTGGACGCGTTCGTGGCCCGCTACGGCGGTAAGAAGCACAAGTACGTGCCGCCCAAGGAGTGAGGCGGGGCGCGGGGAGATCCGGCGCCACTGCCGACGTTCGGGCCGGGACAGCCGTGGTCCGACGGGACGTGACCGTTGGCACGGTCAGATGTGAGTGGTGGGACAGAGTGTGTGAGTTAGAGTGGTGTCTTGAACCCGCTGTTGTGTAGTTAGCGCGGCAGCTTAGGTTCTTGTGTCACGTGTCATGTCTCAAGAACCGTGCTAAGAGCGGTTTGTGGTGCGGTCTTCATTAGTCAGTCTTTAGTGTAACCACCACAGCGTCTCCACGGCCGGGACCGCACCACGGAGCGCTGTGCTGGTCCGGTACTCCGCCCTGCCACCTCACCTCTCAGGGAACGGAATGCCGATCGCAGTGGCGATGCGTTTTTGCGCGGTTTTATTCCGTACCTGCGGTTCTCCTAGCTCGTAAACGGTCACCTCTCGACCCCTGTGGAGGGGTGACCTTGAACCTGAAACCGCCGCCATTCTCGGCTCCTCGCCGTTCGTAAAACACTGCCCCCAGTTCGGCCTTTCGCCTCTGCATATTTATTGTCTTGGTTGTTGGGTTGGGCGTGGATGATCGGTGGCCTAGATTAGGATATGCGTTTTTGTCCATGCCATATTGGCGCTTTTAGTGATTGAGCATGCCTTTTTTCCTCACAGTCAGTTGTTGCCCAAACAAATCGTATATTTGTTGTCTGTCAGTGCCTGAATGACTGAGCTGAGGTTGTTAGTGTAAAGGAAGACCATGCAATGAACAGTCACTCTGTTCTATTAGTTTCGCCGAATCTCAATCCCCAGTCCGATTCAGACCCTCTTTTATATGTGTGATCAAGCATTGTTTTCGCTCATATTTGCTTGATAGATGTGTTGTTTTGGATGCACGAATGTACAACAACATGATCAAATTAGGTCAAGGCGCTTAAATACATCGTTTTTACAAAAGCACCTTTATTACGACACCGCACTCAAGTGCCAACAGACCTGTGAAATACGCAGTTGGGTACTCCGATGGTATACTAATCAGTAATCACAATACTCCGCCCGGCAATGTGCCGCCAAGGCAGCCGGGCTAGCAACAGATTCCTCCGTAAGGACACTATGATGAATACCGTCCTTATGCATGCTGACGTCATCAGACGGGATGTATGACGTCATACACCTCTCCAGTATAATCCGGCTGACGTTACCGGGTAGCCATCAGTCATCCGCCGATGACGTCACTCGGCGGCAGATCTGACGGGTGATGTGACGTCACTGTGTGTCCCTATGACGTCACGCGGTGGCCGCCTGCCTGCCGGCCTCCTCCGCCACCTGGTGTTTGGCGATCTGGAAGGCGGCGACCAGGGCGGCCAGCTGGAGGCTCTCGGTAGCTCCGCGGCTCAGGTGGTGCTCGATCTCCCCCAGACGGTACAGCACGTCACATTTGGCCGTCGACGGCAGGTCAACTGACGGGGGGGGGGGAGAAGGTCAACTGAGGTCACACATGGCTCCCGACGGCAGTTCAACTGACTGGGGAGACGGAAGGTCAACTAAATGAGGTACAGGACGCCTGATGGTATAGCACGTCACATTTGGCGGCTGATGGCAGGTCAATTGAGGTACGGAAAGTCAACTGAGGGTGACGGCAGAGGGTGTACTGAAGGGGAACAGCGGTTCGACAGAGGAACTTCAAAGCACGGTGCCGAAATGCATGCAGAATTGGAACTCGGCCGTCCTTGTTCTGGAAGGTAAAGGTAGTGGTGACTTGGGCTTGTCTCGAAAGTGCACAGAAGATGAAAGGGTGCCACAAAACCGTGCATATTTAGCTGTAGTTCGCGACTCAGTAACCGAATGCGTGAAAGAATGGGAGGGAGTGCAGCGCAACTAAACACGAAGAATGCGTGTTTTCTCTTCACAGCTCCCCGAAAGGAAATGATCGGATCACGTCGGCGCGGCAGTTCGTTCTGCCGGGGTAGATGACGCTAGCCTCGGATATAGATTACAGATGGCTCAACCCCTGTGGCATACGGCGAAAAGCTGCGCACTCGGACTGCTGTAGGACAGGATATGAAATTCTGTGAGGGGTGCGATACTGAAGCAGTTTGTGAACCGGTGAGGAAATACGTAGCGGACCACTTAGTGAACCTCTAGGCCCTAGGGGGTGCTGTAATAGATCAGTTTGTGAACCCCTGAGGGGCACAGTACTCACTGCGGTGGACGAGTTTGTGAACCTCTGTGAGTACGTCCTGCAGCGCCAGGCCTTTGTGCGTTTTCAGCTCTACGATCTCTGCCGGAGGGGAGGAGGGACGGTGTCAGAATGTGACGATCAAGAGACGGTCTACGATACCATAGCAGACCACCGCACTGTACAGCAACTGCGACAAATGTGCAATGTTTACTTGATTTAGTTTTTAATCATCGGTGCTTCTAGAATAGCATTCCCAGGCAACAATAACGGTGGCTGAAATCAGCTCAGCCTAATGACAAATAACTCAAAGTCGAACCCGGCAGGCGACCGTACCTCATAGTTCAGAGCTGAATCAAAGGTATCGCTAACATCCTCGGGGCCCGCAGCGACACAAACCCGCGATAGTCGTCAGCCTATAGCCTGCCTCTGGCGTCCGACCTCAGCTAAACCTCGTTCCGAAACTTCTAGCCTCACCCTGGCCGGCTTCCCTAACGTACTGCGTAGCGCAGTGGCCATGTCCTCGTTCAGCATCCAGTTGACAATGGCCGTGATGTCGGACGAGTGCGGGTGGCCGATACACGTGTATACATTGTCCTCCGTGACGGAGCCGAACGCGATCGCCGTGGCCTGGAGGATATTGAGCACGCGCCGCATGTCGCCGCCGGCCAGGTCGAGCAGCGCCTGCCGCCCGTCCGGCGACAGGTCCACGCTGTGGGGGAGGGGGGCAGTAAGATATGAGCAGCGCCTGCCGCCCGTCCGGCGACAGGTCCACGCTGTGGGGAGGGAGATCGAACAGTAAGGCATGAGCAGCGCCTGAATTTCTTCCGTCCAGCCACAAACCACGAGGTGGGGGAGTGGGCCAATCATGAGCTACACTGGGGATTAGTGGGGTTCGGCCGCCTACTCAGCCTAACGCTCATCACGCGACAGATCCACACTGCGCATGTGAAACAAGGCAGCCTCGGGGAGCTGCGAAAGAGTGGGCTACATGATATAGGGTGGGCCATGCAGTGGGATAACAGTAGGCTGCATATACACTCTGCTGTTTAACCAATCGCCACGTGACCCCTGCACTCACCCTCTCCCCTCCTGTTTGACCACGTGACCCCTGCACTCACCCCTCCTGTTTGACCACGTGGTCGAGTCGCGGCGCCACCTGCTCCGTCGCCAGGGGGCCGAACCGAAAGCGAGTGCAGCGCGACTGGATGGCCGGGATGATCTTGCTCAGGTAGTTGCAGATCAGACAGAAACGCACGTTATCTGTGTACTTCTCAATAACTGGCGGCAGATGGTTAAGCGCAAGTGAGGTAGAACCAGGGGCTCAGACCTCATATTCCCATTCTCCAACAAACAAACAAAAAATAATAATAATAACTGAGTGAGGGGAACGAATATCTTTTCAGACACAATCGAAAAAGTTATCGATAAAGCACTGAAATATTAACGAAAACGGCGACAAAAATGAAACAGATTTATAGATGTGTTCATGACACATTTTTCGTCATCAATGACACTGACACCACTTCCAACAAACAATCATCGAACACCCTTAGCATCACTCGTCTCACCGTTTTGCAGACCCTCTCCAGCCTCCCCTCCCCTCCCCATGGCAAAACTCCTTCTCGCCATCCCTGGCTGACTCCCTCTCCCTTCACCTGCCCTCATCCCCCGCTGACCCCCCCCCCCACACACACACACACCCACAACCCCCCACCCCCACCACTACCCCTCGCGACACTGACTGCGTCGCAGGGCGTTCTGCGCGTCCTTGGTCATCGCGTCAGCCTCGTCCAGGATGATGAGCTTGAAGCCGCGGTTGAAGATGGTGCGCGTGCTGGCGAAGCTCTGGATCTGGTTCCGCACGGCACCGATACCTCGGTCGTCGGAGGCGTTCAGCTCCAGGACCTGAGCGCGTGACAGGGCTTAGCTCAGCGTCCAGCGGTGACAATTGGTGTCAGTTCTAGGATCTGAGCACGTGACAGGGAGAGACGGTTTGGGACCAGCAGAGTTAGGGTTAGGTCAGCAGGAAGACACGATGGGCAATGGTGTTAAAGAGAGCACAGTGTTGACAACAGCTAGTAGCAACGCAGCGTCCTCAGAAAGCTTCAAGGCAACTATCGTGATAAATCACACAAATGGATACACTTGCGAGGGTAATTACGGAATGCCTTGAATGTCGTGGAATATTCCTATGGCATATTATGTCGTAATTGATGCAATATTTCAGATCGAAAAGTAACAGAAAATCGTCCGTTATTTATCGCAACTCAAAAACATTATCCACGGAGGATCGGTGACCAAGAAAAAAGAAAACATTGAAAATATTCCATGAACAATCAAGAGGCACCAATATTCCGAATTCCTGGCACACCACCCAGTACTCACCATGGCCTGGAACTCGCTGGGCTTGTACAGCTGTTTGGCGCAGGCCAGGATTGTAGAAGTTTTGCCCGTTCCCGGCGGTCCGTAGAACAGCAGGTGCGGGAGCGCATCCTCCTTCATAAATCGGCCGACTAGCCGCACAAGAACGTCAGTCGACATCGAACAGATTGAGGGAGCTTGTTTTGGTTATGCTTTTTGTTGAGAGAACTTCCATGAGAGAAGTACAAGCTATCAGTAAAAAAGATGATAAACGAACAGTCCAAAAAAGGGATGCTAGACTACACAGAAATAAAACATATTTGACTGAGCTGCTTCCTTTAAGAAAAAAGGCAATGATTTGTGATATCTATATCTGTCAAAAAAAATGGAACAAATGGAATGAAAATGAAAAAACGGTCTACCATATGAATAAATATGATTTATTGATGCATGTTTTGACTATGTGGTGCCTCAGATTCATAGTTGTCCTTACTTGTCTTGATGATCTCCTCATGTGATATCAGGTCTGACAGCTGCTTAGGCCTGTACTTTTCCACCCAGGGCAGATTGTCAGTCTTCTCCTCTTGAACCATTGCAGAATCTCAGAAAAAGGACAACTTTGAGCAGATCAAACCTGGTAAAAAATATACTCTATGGGTCATCTTTATCAATGTAATAGCTTATGCAATTCAGTTTGTAGAACACCCAGGAGCAGCCTGTGGTTACTGGTTGGTGACTGCATTCTTAATTCTACCATCACTATTAAGTGTTCATAGCTTCATAGATCACTATTCACTGCTATGTGTGGCATCCCTAGATAGTGATAAATGGAGCCCAGACACCAGGGTAAGAGGTGAAAAGTGGATATGAAAGATACTCAATAGAACTGAATCATTTAGCTCACTTCATAATGATCAAGAGAAAGATACCATTGACAATCAGTTGATGTCACCATCAAAGAAACTCAATCTTTCTTTTTGGCAGCAAGAGGAAGCACTGCAGCACAATTTGATGTTGAAAAGCCTTTCCACATTATATGTGATATATTTAACCAGATTAGTCAGCTGAAGTCTGGTTGGTAAATTGGCAGGTTGTAGATTGGTAGGTTGTTGTTTTTATGTTTAGGTTTAAGGTAGGTTGTAGGTTTATAGTTTATAGGTTGGTAGGTTCAAGGTTGTAGGTCAATAGCCAGCAGGTAAGGTTAGGTCAGGTTAGATTATGTTTTTATCTTCACAGTACCTCATCTACACATTAACCGGTCAGTCTTCAATTAAAAAATCTTGTTTTAATGTTTCATGACTGTCAATTTTATTAACTTTGAGCATATAGATTATAAAATATTTTTCAACTTTCAAGTGCCAAGAAGCACGGAATCAGAAAGGCAATTAGCCTATGCAAACTGAAATAAGTGGGCAGACCATCAAGAGCATGATATTCAATAGGCATTTCTTAAAATGCAAGCAATGTACGGACAAACACATAGCATGAGCCACAACTGTTATCATTTCATTATCGTGTAAATAGTATGCTATTTATTACCTACTTAAACCTTAAAACAAAACAATTGCAATGGATTGCATCTGACATCTTTTGAAACAAGGCCATAAATGCAATTAAGTTTGAGATTGAATAAGTCTAAAAACCACACCTAGTCCTAGACATCAGCAGTCAGTGCGTGAATGATTTCAATGGATTTTACCAAACCATCACAAGCTCATCTATTTAAGATTAAGAAGGGACGAGTATTTAACGATCAAGGGCCAAGGCCTTCACGCCTAAGATCAACCTAAGATGAATTTACCGCGAAATGACGATGAAAATTACTCTCTATATTGGTTATTTCGTACGTGAATGTGAATGTCACTACTGCGCTACATATGTAGACGTTTGAACAACCATGGCGCCAAAACAGACGCTATTCCACTGCTAATTTTGCAGAAACAAGCTTGTGGCAAAATTAGCATCACTTCAACTTGAAGGACATTTGGATAACAACGTACAATTTATTATTATGTAATTTTGGAATTTTGTGAAATCAAATGATATTGGTAATCTTGCAGAGCTAACTTGTCGTTTCCGCTAATCGCTATTGAAGCCATAGGTGGGGCATGGTAAAAATGCGAGGGATGTTTGTATATGTAGGCCTACACTGTCTGTGCTTTTCAGTAATGTTGCAAACGGCAACGGCAAATGGCGCCCAGTGGCGGCGGAAGCAGGGGGGCAAGGGGGGCAGCTGCACCCTAAAGTTATGGAAAGGGGCGCCTCGAAAATCTGTAGAGGAGGCAGGAAGTTAAGAGGTGCGGCAGCCATAAAGCTGAGCAGTGCGACACCGCAACTGATAAAGGCACTTGTGACACGAAGAGGGTGGCAATGACGTGGGAAAAGTATCTTTTGATATGCTGAAGAGTGGAGGGCATCCTTATCTGGAACAAATGCAGATGCTGCCGACCCTGTCGAATATATTCTTGCCAGGCGATAAAGGCTAGGAGGGCGCAGCCACTCGAGAAGCGCGCCATGCGGAAGAGGGGCGCGGCGCCTGTGTGTGGGACGAAGTTATGGATTGTTGAGTGTTATGGATTCGGCGCCTTATTCACTAGTCCACACGAAGGTATTGGAACCGTGGAACTCTTTTCGATATGCCTTATTCGGAGAATCTTATGATATGGTGATGGGGTTGTTTCTAAACGAACATTATGAAGGTTACATTTACGCTATGGAATGTACCTAACTATTTCTCGTTACATAAAAACTGTAATTCTGAACGTGTTAACAGGTACAACACATTATCAAACGTCTCTTCACTGTTTGTGTTACTACAACCGTGTATATGGTAAGGGGCGCCCAGCGGGAAGAGGCGCTTCAATATCGTTTGCACCCCTATCCTAGAATACCTTCCGCCGCCACTGATGGCGCCGCGAATTCTTGTGCTTCATCAGCAGCTCCATACCTAGGTCCTACTATATGTAGAGAACCGCAATTAGTTTGTGGGTGTGGCCCGTGACCCGTGTGGGTGTTCGGTTCGGTAATCAGCAGCCAGGGCTGCGGAGTGGATGCATTTTTGGTGACACCAACTCTGGTTCTGGCTTTCAAAAACCAACTTCGACTCCGACTCCGACTCCGACTCCGGGCGAATTGTCGACTCCAACCCACTCCAACTCCGACCCCGACTCCGGCTCCGGTTTCCAAAATAGCCGACTCCGACTCGAACTCCGGTCACAAGTACAGCTGTCGACTCAGACCGACTCAGATCCAGACTCAGACTCGGCAGCCCTGCCGGTATAACCGCAAATCCACCGTCCAAGCACGGGGCGCCATCTGTTTCGGCCCCAAAACCAAGCATTCCCTGCCCAGGCGCGCTAGGGAGGAGGTTTACGGTGCCTGAACACCGAAAATGCCTACAATTATCTGTCTATGATCACTGAGCTAAGCAACTCTGTAGTCTATGCGACTGACTGTGTTCCGCGCACCTGCGCGGGGCGGTCATTCGCCCCCCCCCTCCCCCTTGATCTCTTTCGTAAATAGCGGGAAAACCTTTATTAAATTAATTTGCCTCTCCGGCCCATAATAAGTTTAGGGGATCCTGCCTGTCCCTTATTTTTCACAAATACTCGTATTATCTAATTTTAGCGCGAATGACACCATTCACGACTAACTCTGTCTAACTACCTAATGCACTGTTTGCCATTTGATGATATGTCATATGAAGGTCGTCTGCATGAAGTCATCAAAGTTCAACTTTTTTCTCAAATAACGTCCTATACAGAAAAGAGGCGCAGCCGTGCGAATTATCTCATTACGTGCTCGTAAGAATTGTACCTACCTAGACCTTGTCCGCCTGCGTCCCATGTCGTTCCGCTTCTTGCTTCGTTTTCGAGATCTTATAGGCCGACGGGGGGGGGGGGGCAGATATCCCCCGTACCTAATAGTTGCGAAGTTGGGCCGGGACCCCGCAGGTACGCGGGTTACCACAGAAAGTATAGCCACCAAAATTTGGATCATAATTCATACAATCATACGGTTTATTTTATAGCAGTTGGACCTCTTTATTCTTTTGGCCTTGGGGCGACGAACGAGCGAGCATCATAGTGGCGAGCCAGGAACGTGAATACCCGCGAGGAGTATTGTACTTCTCACTGACTCGCGCACGGTACCCTACAAACCCGGTCTCTAACGGTGTGCCAAATTTGAGCACAATCGGTTCAGTCATTCTTGAAAAATCGCCGTATGCGATTTCCTCAGTTGTTTCAAATACGGTGACCCTAAGTGAGCTTGAGGGGTCAAGTTAACGTTTTTGCCTATTGCACCCTAACTCAGCAGCACGGGACCGAGCCAGGCGAAATTGCCGCCATTCGATCTGCCGCATGAGTTTTCATCAGCCGTTTCGGATATTGTAACCTCGGGTAAGTGATAGGATTGCTGACATAGGCGAACACTTTGAGTTGACCCTCGAGGTAACCAACCTTGAGGTCACCATATTTGAAACGGTTGATGAAATTCCAATATCAACTGGTGCGTGATGTTTTCGACGTGCTACTCTTGATCTACCCAAATCCCAATATATGACTGAAATTGGCGGAGGGTTTAAATTGAGTCCTCAAGGTCACCCAGGTCACCTGAGGTCACCCTTTTGAAAGGGCTGATATAATCGCGTGCGCGAGAAGTGTGTCGAGTTAGATGACTGGTGCTGCGCACGAATACTCTCTGCCTCGTAAGTCGTAGAAAACAAGTACCTACGCAGCTCCACGTTTGCCGCTGGTCTCGCCGTCGCCGGCACTGCGTCGGTCGGGCAGGATGCGGCTAAAAATAGACTCCTGAGAGCCACACGCAGGCTGTGATGTTTGGTTCAGCCATTGAGCAACGGTAGACATCCGCCCTGCATCTAGAGTTGAGCTGAATGTAAACATAGGAAGTCGCTTAAGTGAATCATACATTTGACCACTAATAACAATAGCTCGATAGGTAATCTCCTTCGTTGCCGACTGCCGTAGTCGCCACTTTTTATACCAACATGTAGTTATTTTGTTCATCTAATGCCGGACCTCGTTTATTGTGAAAATGTGTCGTTTGATAAACGTTTACATTCACGAAGGAACGGCGGGCGGATCCTGCTACATGATGGACAGAAACGGAGTTGACGACTTCGCAAATATACAATGACGCCAAAACAATGAAGCGCTAACGGATGCATCCTCTTAACGGGAAAACCCTCCTGCGAGAACTGTGCTCCGACTCGCTGACCCGACAGTCGTTTCCCTTTGTCTATACCGTTCCTTGGCCCAGAGCGGTACAAGAGCTTCCACGCTGTGGGTGCATGAATCACGAGGAGAGCCGGATTTGAAAATACCCAAATATTTATCATCCATGACAAATTGATGTTGACGTCATATAAAAATATATAATATCCGAAAACGCCAATAAAGATAACAGTCTATCCAACTTTTTCCGAGCAGAAAAATCGTCACTGCGGTCAAAATACGGCCGGTGAGGAGTGCATGCCAATTCCTATAGACATACGTACGTATTTACAAACGATTAACGAACACAGAGATGCATTTGTCCTCTGTAATTGCACCATAATTCGCCATGTTTACCAAAGAGGAATTAACAGAATCGCCACATAGCGACAGCGCTGAATGGCGATGATCTGCGAGAGAAAGAGCCCTGCAGATTCACATATAAAGTAAGGAAACAGCGAAATAAAACAAGAAAACGAAGCGTCAAAGAATCAAGTGCCGAAATAGGCCACATATGTATTTTAAAGCACACGAAAAAAATGTGTTGCTGGAGCAGATCTTAATCACCTGCGAGATCTCTTCAAATAACTACTACATGACATAATGATGTAACCTACTGCAGGTTCTTTTTACGTGCAGACACGACAGGAGGTGCACAAAAGCTGGCCAAATGTGCGATGTGCATATATGTAAATACTGCACACATACACAACTTTCATCACAGTTGGAAGCGTCACTTTATCACATTACATTACGTTGTATTATTCATTTTGACAGCCGATAAGGCGCAGACCGAAAGCCGGGGCTGGGTAGCAAGTCCAACTTGTCTATAAGATATCTTAGCGTTTCGGATATGCTTGCCGATCACATTACTTCTTTCCGTTTCGTATTTTCAAGATTTCAATTATTCGGATTCCGCAAGCTTCCGTTAGAGTCCTGCTCAGTGAAACTGCGCAGCCCCGACGGCATTCAGGAGTCAGGACATGACCCATGACTCTCTCTGGGACATGACTATGATTCCCTTCTGCTGAAGGTATTCGGGACATGACTCTTGCTCTCTCCTGTTGACCTCATTTAGGACATGACTCTGGCTCTCTTATCTCGACGCGACAGGCAGGAGGCGATGACGCAGTCGACGATCTCGACGAAGGTGAGCAGCGATCCGCCGAGCATGAGGCCCAGGTTGCCGCCGACGTCGGAGATGAACGCGTCCGCCGAGTACGCCTCGCGCTCGGCCACGAGCTCCTCGACGTCAGAGAGCCTCAACATCACGGCTCCGATGGTGGCGTTGCGCGCCTCCGGGAACGACAGGTAGATGCTGGTCTCCTCCGCGTGCCACTTTTCGTGCTCCTCCAGCTGGTACTGGTCGGCGCGGCAGGGCGGTGCGCACAGGCACTCGGCCGTCCACGACAGGAACGCTGTCTCGTCCACGCCCTGGTGCGTGTCCATGGAGGCGGCGCTGAGCTCCTCCATCGTGGCACACGAGGTCGTGTCGGGTGGGTACGCGGTCCGGGGCACCCAGGGCACAGAGCAGGGTGGCCCCTGGTCGGCCGACGGCGGCGCGCCCGCTGTCATACTCTCCATCATGCAGGAGCCCAGGCACTGCTGTTGGGCGTACAACGCGTCGCGCTTAGTGCTGCACCCCTTGCCCTCGCCGTTGGGAAGGGCCTCCGTGACACGCCGGAATACCTTCACCTCGTGCAGCCGGTTCCCGAAGACCTTCACCGAGGCGGTCAGCCCCGAGAGGAAGAGAAAGTCGTTGAAGTGCACGTCCTGTGGATGAAGGTATACGTGCCAGCCGTTGTGCTCAAATTCGTCCAGCGGCTCAAGCTCATGAAACCCCAGCATGAGCTGAGCGCTGACCAGCCGCCTGGTGACCGTGACGTTGGTGTTGAAGGTGGTGCACTGGCCGTTGAGAAGGGTCGGTGCGGAGGCAAGCGTCCCAACGTCGGTGCAGTTGCTCCCGTTCACCATGCAAAAGAACACCATGTCGTCCCAGCCGTACGAGGCCTCCGCGTAGAACTGGTCGAGTCCGTCGAACGAGCTCCAGTTGAGTGTCTGGTAGCCGAGCCGGTGCCAGCTGGGCCAGCTGGCCGCCCCGGCCGGCTGGTGGCGCAGTACGACGCTCTTCTTGAACCGGTTGCCGTGGCAGACGGTGACGGCCGGCAGCGGGATGTCCGTGACGGTGCGGCGGGACCAGGTGCGCACGGTGCCGCCCTCGGTGAGGCGCAGCACGCACAGGCGCAGCTGGACGCACAGCCACACCAGCAGGCAGACGATGATGGTCAGCCAGATGGCGCGCCGCAGCCAGAACGCCGCTGTCGGGGGAGGGGGGGGGGGACGAATGGAGGGACGTCAGCTGGACACAGGCGTCCCGACAAGCTTATAATAAGTTAATAACGTCCTGACATTCTTACGTACGATGTAAGCATTGGATGGCGTAAAAATGAGCCGAGGTATCTCATCGCGAGCGGTATTGTTTGTTGGGAATTATTGTCAACAACTCAGCACACGATTACCTTGAAATCTCTAGATTTCCCTTCTCACGAATATTTCTTGTTGCAAGTGTGTGGCGTGGGAATAATAAGTAGCGAGCAAATTGAAATTTTTAGAAACTCTACAGGTATTACATTTTTTGTTGAATGTTTAGCCGTCTAGATTTTTTTTATAAAAATTTGTCCGAACTTTTGATGGGAAGGATTCACAAGGACAGAGCCACCGCTAAGCGAAGCTTGTTGCGATGACCCTGCCCTCTACCCTCCGATCGCGCAATTCCGATTCTATGGCAGAATTTGGAGTCCAAAGTTTAACGTGCGCACAAAGCCGCGCACGGCCGGTCCCCTCGCTGACTTCGCCTGGCTGCGGCCTGCCACCAACCGCAACCATACCTGTCAGGAGGCCCATAAATGTCGAGCGCCCGTCGCGCTTCGAACCCGGACTGTTATAACCGGGAACGCGTGCTCTCACCACGCGGAGTCCAACGCTCTAACCAACTGAGCTACGGGACCGGCTTAGTAGATTTATCGGCTTAGTTGCATTTATTTGTTACAAATGTTAAAGATCAGTTATTATTAGCGACATTACATGTAATTTAAATCGAGCTAAGCCCCACTCGCATCTCGTAGCCTTTTCATCGCCAATTATCATCCCACCGAGGCCACTTTACCACAAAAGGGCGACCCATTTGCGGGGATTCTGAGAACCTAACGTAAAACATTCGCTGGATAGTACATAGACTGTGCCGCAATGTCACCGTCGGTGAATATATGAACCCAGCTAGATAAGCGCCACGGCCACGCACTTGGCAGCGCGAGCCTTCTATTTCCAGAAAAACCGCCCTGAACATGCACCAGTCAAGTCACCAAGCCGGCCCCGGCTAGGTTACCGCGTGTTACCATCCTGAACATTTTGTCTACCTACAGGTAAAATCATCATGAGTATCGAATGAAGGACGATTTTCGAAATTTGCTCTCATGACTCTTATACAAGTATACTCGTATATACTTATACTCGTAGCATACAAACCATCTAATTCAGTTGCTCCAGTATCAGATCCCGTTTAAAACCATACCTACCTACACCCTAGCAGGCAGGCATGCTAGACGGGGTTTCCAACGGAAGCACATATCCAACGAAAGCAAACTTATTATAGGTATTAACCAGTCTACAGTGTACCAGTGTAACCAGTGTACTTTGCCGAAGGTATGACAAGTAATTAAAAATCAGGCATATAATATGTTTTACTCATTTTGTTAGCTATCTATCGCATAGTTGCTGCGGCCAGTTCATCCTATCGGCAGGCTTGCACGCCTCTCCTATGCGATTATCAGCACCTCTTCAAAAGAATGTCTTTATACACATGCTTATAAATAGGTTCTAATACAAATGTCGAACCAATAGCGCTCATTCTGTCGGTATTGTAGAAGTGTTAGCGGTCGTCACGTCGCGACACTGAAGCAGCAGGGTTTAATCAAAGCGATGGCATCGGTTTTACGACATTGATACGCTCAGTAACGGCATCGGAATTGCGAGAGCGTTACTTGCCATTTTGCTCCATTTGGCTGAACTACCGCTGTTAAATCTTTCAGGACACAATTTGTGCTCATTGATACCTAGACACTACCTAAACGTTAATGAAAGTACAAATGACGTTAGACGTACGTCATTCCATGGGCAAGGATATAAAGATGATAGTATATAATGGCCGTTTTCACGACGGGCTATCTGGCGAATGCACCTGATTTGACCAAATCTGCACCTAATTTCTTTTACAGCAAATATCTTCATTTTATGAATTTACCCCGCGTTCGATGTCTCCCGGACGACGAAGATTCTATGCCGTCCGGGCCCAAAATGCCGTTCGATGTCGCGCGGACGGCAAAGATTCTACGCGACGTCACGTAGAATCTTTGCCGTCCGCGCAGAATCTTTTGAGCGTACTACGGTGGGCAGACAGGCAATGATGGCGCGTATTTCAAAAGCGGCGCGGCAGCTGTTTGCAGAAGTTGTTGACATTTGTGCTCGGTGTCTATGGAAACGTTAACTTGGGCCTTTTTCGAAACTGACGCACATTGTGTAAGTGGCGCACAAAATGGCCGGTCTCGTCGTCCGACTGTGTGCTTCATCGAACGCAAAATAGAATATTCTGCGCAGAATGTTCTTCGTCCGAGGACACATCGAACGCGGCCTTATTTCAGTGTTTTAATCGATGATGCCATCTGATAATATGACAAAGCAGGCATATAAGCAATTAGTAAATCCCTAGCTGATAACTGCTAAGAAACACACTGAACCTGATTTGACCAAATCTGCACCTAATCTGTACCAGATGTGCACCAAATGTGTACCAGATGACCGTCGTGAAAACGGCTAATAGATCCGTCATGGATACCGTCCCATTATTGTTTGAACGGAGTTATAAATTGGTTTGTGTGTTTGAAAAATAACGATTCAACAGTTAAATGTTAGAAACATAAAAGTGTATGAATCGAAACAATAAAAATGGTCTCGAAAATGTAGGCAATAAAGCCGCAGCCAATACAGTTCAGGATATTAGCAGAAACCTCTAGGCGATGTGGGAACTGCGTATCGAATACACGAGCTTTGGACCCATGTTGGCGTTTTTTTTTTCACGGCATGTTCAATGTTCATAGAAGTTAAGAGTACTGGGTAACTTAACCTTTTCATTTTTATGTGTTTTTAAGCCTAACATGTAAAAACAAAAATCATTCTCAGCCTTCAAGCTACAAATGGCTATTAGTCCGCATTTTGAGGCCGCTGCTCACCCGGGTTGAAGACGAGCGCCATGCCGGTGATGCTGAGCTGGTCGACGGTGATGCCGGCCGACCTGGGCCGCCGCTCGGTGCCCGTCCACCGGTGGTCGGCCCTCTCCCGGAACATCTTCACCCCGTCCCCGGAGAGGGGGCCGAGCGCGGCCTTCTCGGGCCCGGCCGGGCCACCGGTCCGGTCGGGCAGCACGATCGAGATGACGGTGGAGCCGGAGTGCGGCCCGGCCTCGCCGTCCGGTCCCATGGCCGCCGACGCTCGGAGCCGGAGCCGGAGCCGCCCGGCCTGCCGCCACCGCCGCCCCCGACTGGCGCGGGCCACACCGCGCTGAACGCGCTGTTGACCACCGCCGCCGCGGGGGCGGCGTGGGAGGGACTGGGGAGCGGGGCATTACTTACAGAAGGCTACTGTGGTGTTTGCCAGCACGGCGTAATGATACCCTCTTCATCAGACTCTATCAAAACACGATGTCATTGGGCGGAAGCATGCTTCTATTGCTCAATAGTTAACTGAACCTGAAGACAGAAGATTGGTTGAAAACTCATTAAATCATGTGGATGGTCAATTTTTCATGCACCAGGGAAACGATTATATAGAGATTATTCATAAGACAATAAAAAACTTGCGATGGACATATTCGGAAAACCGCAGTGAGGGGTGGCCGGTGTCCTCCCTCCTCAGCCTTTGGCGGGTATTGCGCATTCGTGTGTGACATCACATGTAACACCGTAAGATCAAAATATTCAACATCAAAGGACGGTCTCCAGACTTATCCCACCTCAAAATCTTCGAAGATCAACACATCTTTTAACACAGAGCTTTCGTTTTAGCTGTATTTATCTCTGTAGTGTCCGAGCTGCCGTCGACGGCCGATAGATGGCAGCAGCTCTACGCCTGAAGGTAGGCTGTGCCGCGGCGCAGGCAGGCTTGGCGGCGCAGTTTCTTAGTGCCTGCTGGATTGACGCAAGATTACTTTACTAAATATTACGGATTGACACGCATGCACCGAGACAGTTTTCAGCTGTATTTTAGGATTGGCATTTGGAATATCCTTGTAAGTAACATCAAGTCAGGCCCTACAATTCTAAGCTATAAATCAGTTTGCTGCATGGTCTACAGTAATTTGTTTATCAACAAGAGAAAAACTACAGGACCTGAAGCGATGCGAACATAAATAATTACGAGCGAGTACGAAGTGCGAAGCGAGTCTTTTCAATAAAACGGGAAATTTCAGTATGAGCGGTCCGGCCCGGCCCGGCATGTTAATAGACTTATATCTCAGCAACCTCTAGGCCAATAGGTACAGTCTGTCTTAAAAGTACCGCGCAAAGTAACGGTGGATCCATCGAGCCTGACCGAGGAAGGACTGCTAAATCTGAGTCACCGAAGCAATGGACATCCTCGTCCATTCCCCAGGTCAATTGGTTCGGTGACTTTCAAATTATAGCAGGCCCTTCCTCGGTCAGGCTTGATGGATCCACCGTCACTTTGCGCGGTACTTTTAAGACAGACTGAACATACATCTGCGGTCTCTTAGCTGGGTAGCCCCATCCCTTTTACCCCGTAAGTGACTACTCTTGATGCTGTATCGATATCTAGGTATTGAGAGAAAAAAAATCCAGGGCGTACAATTTGTAGCTATCCGTGTCCTTATTACATCCTGCGAATTTCAAAGGGCTTGGTCATCCCTCCTGTGGCTCTGACACGGTGGCAAATTGGAAAAAATGATTTGAGGTCGGGTCATTCAAAGTGGCCTGGTGACCTGACCTTGAGAGGTAGGAAGCAATAACTTGCACAAAATGTGTGAAATTCATGAGAAAACAGTCATATCAAATTTGCTATTTACGAATACCTCAGGGGGCCGGGTAACCGCTTCCCCCCTCGGTGGGCCATGGCGGCGGTTGAATCAAATATTGACTTTATTGAAATAACATGAATAACAGTGTTCATTCACCTTAACCCTCGCCCGCACATGCCATTTTCCCATCCTAAAACGCACATGGGGGTTGGTTGTCACCCCCCATCCCCGCGCCACTTCGTTCCTACTGAAGATAGAGCTTCATGGCAAAGACCAACAGATTCGTCGGGAAGAGACAAAGCCAATGGTACCCAATTTTACCTCATTAGGTCAATCATTGACCTTCCAGGTCAGGTCAAACTATAAAAATGTTGCTGTTTTGGGCCACCGTTGGAATATCACGTGCGGTGCCCAGGGGCGCGGGAACTACTTTCCGACTGGGGGGCACACCATAATAGAGATTAACCTAGGGTACCCCCAAATCTAGGTTTCTCACCGGTTTTAGGCCACTTATTTTTCACCCCTCGGATTTTTCAACAAAAAAAGAAAACATTTGCAAAAAAAGTGTGTTATTCCGTCTCAAAGCTGTGGGGGCACCGCCCCCACGGCCCCAGAGTTGGGGGGGGCAAGCTGCCCCCACTGCCCCCCGGCTCCCGCGCCTATGGCGGTGCCCGACGGCGCTGCCGTTTGTGGTGCCAAGCCAGCTAGAACAGCTCTTTATCACACTATCCGACTAGGTTTTCACTAGGGTTAGGGTTAGTGCATTCGAAATGGCCCTCGTTTGCGATTTCCTGACCGCGAGAGTGTTTCAGCCAAGGTCAGGCCAGGCCGGGCAGGGCCCCTCATGCTCAATACGAGTATTATTTTACAATAGCCGTTTTCACGACGGCCATCTGGTACACATTTGGTTCACATCTGGTGCAGATTAGGTGCAGATTTGGTCAAATTAGGTTCAGTGTGTCTCTTAGTAACTATCAGCTAGGGTTGCGCTAATTGCTTATATGCAGACTTGTGACAGCTCAAGAAAAAAGTGAGCTCGCTCAGCTCAACTCCGTCTTATCCGCTCCCGCTCAGCTCCCGCTCAGTTTAACGCGGTACAGCTCAGCTCACGTTCCGCTCAAACCGGCTGCGCTCCGCTCACGCTCAGCTCAGCTCAGCTCAGTTTCCGCTCAGCTCAGCTCAGTTTCCGCTCACCCAGCTCAGTTTCCGCTCAGCTCAGCTCAGTTTCCGCTCAGCTCAGCTCAGCTCAACTGAGTTCCCGTTCAGCTCAGCTCAGTTTCCGCTCAATTCAGCTCAGCTCAGTTTCCGCTCAGAAAAAAATGTACCGACGAAAAAATGCACGGACGAAAAATGTACAGACGAAAAAAATGCTAGACGAAAAAAGTCGGACGAAAATCTGCGGACGAAAAATTGTCCGACGAAAATCTTCTAGACGAAAAAAAAACTCACGGAATCATCTCAACTAGGCGGTGTTTCACGGCCGAGAGCAGCACGCCCACGCCGCCATCCGCTCTTGGCACCCTGCCAGGAGCTGACGTTACATTTTGGGGTAGTGTTGGAACTTGGAGATAAGAGTTTGTTTATATCTCCATGGAAACCCCATTTGACACGTGTGATAGCAGCGTGCTGTTATCAGTGAAACCTATAACACCACCCTGATCTCAACCAAGGCAATGTCAACACCATTAGAATTCATAGTCGGCGTGTTAATAAGGGAGCTTTTCCCATATAATGGACATCAGAAGGTGAGAGTTCCAGTTAGCGCCTCTGCCCCACCCCACTTTCAATAGGATATGGTTGCTTAGCCCACATTCAACCAACGAAGAGGAACTTTATTTGCTAATTCCTAATTGTAAATATTTTATGCAGAGGTAAGAACCCTTATTGATAAAATTAATTTAAATACCTGCTTAAATAACAAAGAGAAGAATGCTGAATTGTACATTGCGGAGCAGAGTGTCAAGGCGAAGCATCAAAGCCTGACAGTAGGTATTCATCTTGCAGTCAGACTTGAAACTTGAGACTGGCTGTATTAGCTTGTAAATTGGCCAAGACCCTGGTCTTCCAATTTCCATGCAATATGGGTTTAACCCGCGCCCTGGTGGGGTCTGTTTATAACGCGACCTGGTGGGGGGGGGGGCTATTTTTTGCCCCCCCCCCTCGTATCTCCGAAACTACTGGACGGATCCGAAAAATTCAAACGGCGTTCGAAAGGCCTGTCAAATTTGTCGGGGGAAACCAAATTTTATTGACCTCGGGGTCACCGATGACGTCACAGGTCAGGTCAAAGATGAAATGTTTCACCGTTCACGGGTCTTCTAGGGAATGCGCTATAACACCGAGGAAAACGCATTTTGTCGGGAATCAGCGATAGGGCGTCAGTTGCCTAGTAGATATGTTGCTGTTAGAGGTCACTGGTCATACCAGGTCAGGTCACAGGTCAGGTCACCAAAGGTCACCAAGGGTCACCACATGAACCCAACTTTACTAAGGTTATGCGATGCATGTTTTATGGCCAGTTTTTCATTTCCAACTCAATGGTGTTGGTTATAAGACCATCAGGTACGGTTTAGGTCACTTTCTGGTGGAGGTCAGGTCAAGGTCAGGTCAAAAAAGGTCAAATTTCAAAGTTGATATTTTTGCATAAAATGGGTATTGATTCGATGCAGCTCGTCACGGGGAGTCTAATGGTGGTCTTTGTTTTGCGCTATGAGGTCTAGAATTGCTGAAAATTGAGTTTGAAAATTTGACGTCATCAATTTTGAACAGTTTTTTCGCTATAACTTGGCCAAAAAAAGAGGTATCGATCTCAAATTTGGTATGTAGATAGAAGGCGGTAAGGACTATCACATATATTCCGTTTTTTCGAAATTCAAAAAACTTTTTGGATTTTTTGGCTATTCTATTCAAAAAATCTATTTTTTGATTTTTGGGGGTCAAAATCCAAAAATTTCAAAAATCCGAGATAGCAGTTTTGTAGCCCTGTCCATTCTACAGCTTTTATGTCTGTATCATTTTTCTGTATTTGCAAAGCTATAGGCCTGACAGCTCTTCCCGCGAAACCCTTTTTTGGGTCGAAAACGGCAGAACATGACGTCACTCTGACGTCATTTCCGGCCAACCTATCATAGCCTTTGAAAAAATTTTTGGTCACAATGTGTAAAATTGATGTCCGGGAGGGTACTGAAAGTTTGGTGACGATCGGCGCAGTGGTTCTGGAGATATCTCGAAAAGTCTGGAGGGGGGGGGGCAAAAAATAGCCCCCCCCCCACCAGGTCGCGGGTTAAGAAATTAAGCTTGATTAGTGATTACTATTGACTTCTTTAGAGTTTTGATATTTTTAAGTGCGATCACGAAGGCAGTGTAATTGCTCACTCCATAGCTAGCTCATAGCTGAAGCATCAAAGCCTGAGTTAATTTCCAATCATGAACTGAAAAGAATTAGAACTGGATCAGCTCTGCTCAGCTAAATCAGCTCAGCTCAATCAGCTCAGCTCAGCTCGGTCAGCTCAGCTCAGCTCAGCTCAGCTCAATCAGCTCAGTTCAGCTCAGCTCAATCAGCTCAGCTCGCTCAGATCAGCTCAGCTCAATCAGCTCAGCTCGCTCAGCTCAGCTCAGCTCAGCTCAGCTCAATCAGCTCAGCTCAGCTCAGCTCAAGCTCATTCAGCTCAGCTCAGACAGCAGCTCAGCTCAATGCATTACTGAGCCGGCTCAGCTCACAGCTCAACAATTTGGCAAAATGTTGAGCCGGCTCATGAGCTGAGCTGATTTTTGAGCCGGCTCAACTGAGCTGATCACAAGTCTGCTTATATGCCTGCTTTGTAATATTATCAGAGAGTATCATCCATTAAAACACTGAAACAAATTCATAAAATAAAGATATTTGCTGTAAGAAGAGATTAAGTGCAGATTTGGGCAAATTAGGTGCACTCGCCGGATAGCCCGTCGTGAAAACGGCTAATATTACTTTACTCATACCTAATATTACTTTACAATATTACTTTACTTTACAATCTCATACTCAATATTACTTAACGTTTTATACATTCACATATATAATGTATAAAGGAAGAATACTGATATTTTTCTTTAACTTTAACAGTTTGCTTCGCTCGCTCGCTCGTTACGAGGCTGTTTAGCGTGCGAGATGGAGCGATACGCGTGCAGCATAAGCACCATCCTGATCTGACCACCAGCACGACCAGACTTTCAACCAAACGAAAACACGTGTGCCCAGCTGTTTCTGCCTGACTCCACTCCTATGCACTCACATTTACTCACCTTCTGCCCACATTCATCCTAAGAGTGGAGCGTTGGGTCATGGGTGACCCATAGGGAGCTAGAAAGATGTGCGGTCAAGACGCAAAGGCGCTGCACTACATACATCAGGCTTGCCCCTCCGGCACGACACCAGCCCCTCTGGCGCTGTTTCGGTGTCGGCTCGGGCCGCTGCAAGGTGACGTCACCCCGGCAACGGTCCTGGCCGCCGGGCGGGCGGGCCGAGCGGGTTACGGCCGCCCGGCGCCCCTCAGTTCACCCCGGCGGCGGCTCCGAGCGCCGGCGGCCATGGGACCGGACGGCGAGGCCGGGCCGCGCTCCGGCTCCACCGTCATCTCGATCGTGCTGCCCGACCGGACCGGCGGCCCGGCCGGGCCCGAGAAGGCCGCGCTCGGCCCCCTCTCCGGGGACGGGGTGAAGATGTTCCGGGAGAGGGCCGACCACCGGTGGACGGGCACCGAGCGGCGGCCCAGGTCGGCCGGCATCACCGTCGACCAGCTCAGCATCACCGGCATGGCGCTCGTCTTCAACCCGGGTGAGAGACATGGTCGGCGTTGAGTTGGACGGCATACATACTCTCCAAAATATCTAGATGCCCAATTATTTTTTTTAAATCAGATTTTGCTTCCCTGTGCGGCACTGTGTAACAACAAAAAAGTTTCTTTGATTGGTACCCCACGCCAGCAGACCGGGGGAGGGGATGTTTAAACACCCCTTTGTGTTTAAACTCATTGTTTAACCTCACTGATATTTTAAAAGCGTTTCATGCTTCTTTACTGCCCATGTGAAAATCACAGACCCAGATCGCTCAAGGTCAGGTCACCAGGTCATGTCAAGTCACCCTTTACCTCAGAAAAGTTATAATGCTCACCATGCTACACTGAGTTCAGAGTTGACAACCGCTTAAAACTTTCAGCGATTGATCAGAGTAACAGCACGCACAAACACTTTATCTCGAAAGTTTGATATTGGTGACTTGAAATCTGGTCAATTTTGCGACCTCTCCATTGTCAATGACAGTCAATGGGAGAAACGCTCTCAAACATCTGTTACAGTTGAAAATGAATTTGACACAATGAATTGGGATGTTACATCCGGGAAGTGGCCCTTTGTGCCCTGGAATCATCTCAGGTCATTAAACGTCTCCATGGTAAAACGATCAAAACACCTTAGATGTTTTCATCGGTTTAGCTCTCTGGAGCTAAACCGCTTATCTCAAGTCAAATCCTAGGACACATTCCAAAATAAACGTCAAAATAACTATCGAACGGACTTTCCCGCGGCGATGGAACTCTATTGGTTCACGATCTATGCGCTGATTAAAAAAAAAATGTTGAAATAGCCAAAACTTGACCGCTGAATATCTCTGGTGACCTGACCCCAAAAAATGAACTGACCTGACCTGACCTTACTTAAACACGACCTGACCTGACGTCACCCGACCTAAGAATGGCAGAGCGAAGTTAGACGGGGCGATGGGTGTTCAAACGCCTCCCCCGGCCCGGCACAGGTTAAAGGCTGTTTAGTCTCCTTTATATTCTAAAGAACCGACAATATTTCGTCCATTTCGGATGCTGCACAAAAAAAATAGTTTGTGCTATAAAATGGTACAAAGTAACGGCTATTCATTGTTGCACTTTTACGTGTAAGACATAAGTGCTTACGTGGTCAAAGTAGCCAGCATGTGCAATGTGCATAATCAAAAGATGCGGATGCGAAATACAACACACATAGGTTAAATGTAATAATACGATCAGTACGACATTCTTACGCTTGGTGATCCTCACAGGTCTTGTTATTCTGGCAACGTTCTTGCCTCATAGCAAAATCAGTTATAAAATTCCGTAGAAACAATGCGGTACCTGTAATTCGGGAGTAAAAGTTGTTATTTTAGATTCTGGACTCAGGGTTCACGCATCAGTCCGAGTCGTCACTGAATACGGGTATCGTGGAGGGTCGAAACTTTTTTTTTAATGCCAGTCTTTTGCCCATCTCATATCAAGGCTAGGTGTAGATACTGTAAAATTATTAAGCAGCAGTAAAATATCCGGTAGGTTGGCATAGGCGGCGGAACGGGGAGGGCACCGGGGCACCGTGCCCCCCTTTGATTTGGGCATTTTAACATTAGCCCTATGGGCGTTGCATGGAAAGAATGGGACCAAAAGTCGGCACTGCCCCCCCCCCCCTTAATTGAAGGTGTTCCGCCGCTACTGTCGGTTGGTATGCTTTAGTTGGTGCTTTGACCCAAAAACCCAAATAAGTAAATATTATGACCATACCAATCCCATGGCAGTGATAAAATCGTGTGTAATTTAGGATCACCTATTCAACGATGACATTTTCTCAATTAACGCCGGTCTTCGCATTTTTTGGCGCAGAGGAATGTCACAGAGGAATGTCCAGCTTTCTGCACCATGGGTTCAGAATGCCTATGTCCTGTTCCAACTGCGCCGGACTGGCACTCTTTACTGAATGAACGAACACTCGAGCAGATATGACCGTAAAGAACCGTGCGCGTCAATATTTGGTGCAAACAACAATCGTGGAAATGGTTCAATAAAACGAGACTAGAGAAACATACAAAGCAGCACAAAATTACGTACGCTGGTGACTGTCAACATTTGGCAGGGTCACATGGTTTCAATCAGATATGTGAGAGGTATGTCGTGCGATGACAAGACAAATAACTATATTGACACGACGTTCGAATTCAATTCGATTGGAATGGTGAAGCCGCAAGGGACAAGGGTAGCACCGGCGTGGGCACCACAGCGATAGCTTGTCATCGTTATTTGTTCCGCGCGCATTTTTATGAAACCTCCAACAATACGTGCGTCGTGCAGTCAGGCAATAAATCGAGAAAAAATCGGAGCTCATCACCACATATTACCAATAACAATACCAATAGCATCATGGTCTGTCGGTAAAGTGGTATGATCAAACCCACACGCTCATCTCAGCGTTCGATGTTGACGTCCGTCTGCGCCTCCCCAACAGCGGCGTTCTGGCTGCGGCGCGCCATCTGGCTGGCCATCATCGTCTGCCTGCTGGTGTGGCTGTGCGTCCAGCTGCGCCTGTGCGTGCTGCGCCTCACCGAGGGCGGCACCGTGCGCACCTGGTCCCGCCGCACCGTCACGGACATCCCGCTGCCGGCCGTCACCGTCTGCCACGGCAACCGGTTCAAGAAGAGCGTCGTGTTGCGCCACCAGCCGGCCGGGGCGGCCAGCTGGCCCAGCTGGCACCGGCTCGGCTACCAGACACTCAACTGGAGCTCGTTCGACGGACTCGACCAGTTCTACGCGGAGGCCTCGTACGGCTGGGACGACATGGTGCTCTTCTGTATAGTGGATGGAAGAAACTGCAAGGACATCGGAACCTTCCGCCGAGTGCCCACGCTGCTGAACGGCCTGTGCACCACCTTCAACACCAATGCCACGGTCACCAGGCGCCTCACCACCTCTCAGGTCACGCTGGTGCTGGAGGAGAAGGAGCCACTCGGCGAGTTCGAGCACAGCGGCTGGCAGGTGTTCCTGCACCCGCAGGACGTCCGCTATAACGACGTCAGCTTCCTGTCCGGCCTGGTGGCCACCGTGAAAATCTACGGCAACCGCATGCATCAGGTGAACGTCCAGCGTGCCATCACGGACGAGCTGCCGCACGGCTCCGGCGACGGCTGCAACAGCTCGGCGGACGCGCTGGCCGGATACCAGCGCTGCATAGCCGGCTGTCTGATGGGGGCCATGCAGCAGCGGGCAGCGCCCTCCGGCGAGCGCGACCAGCCGCCGTGCGCTGTGCCCTGGGTGGCGCGGCACGTGTACCGCTCCGAGCCGCCCTCCTGCCGCACTATGGCCGACCTGGAGCGCTCCTCAATGGGCACACACAACGGTGTAAGCGAGCAGGCGTTTGTGGCGTGGTCCTCCCGCTGCCGCTGTCCGCTCCCGTGCCGCATGGCCCGCTACCGGATCCAGAGCCAGGAGAAGTGGCACATTGAGGAGACCAGCATCTACCTGGCGTACCCGGAAGCGCGCGGAGGCACCCACGGCTCGCTCATGCTCTGGCTCTCCGAGGATGAGGAGGTCATCGTCGAGCGCGAGGCGTACTCGGCGAACTCGTTCATCTCCGATGTCGGCGGCAACCTGGGCCTCATGCTCGGCGGCTCGCTGCTCACCTTCGTCGAGATAGTCGACTGCGTCATCGCCTCCTGTCTGTCGCGTCGAGAGAAGAGAGCCAGAGTCAAGTCCTAAATGAGCTCGGCAGGAGGGAGTCAAGAGTACTATCCCGAACACCTTCGGCAGCAGAGAGTCAGAGTCCTGCCCTGAAATGTTCTGAACACCGTCCGCAAAAGACAGTCAGAGTCATGTCCTGAACACCGTCCGCAAAAGAGAGCCAGTCATGTCCTGAGCTTCGTCGGCAGAAGCGAATGCAAATGTGGAAGTAGGGAATGCCGTCTCGTTTGCCTAATAGGTCGAGCGTGTGTTTGAGTCTGTGATATTGAAAAAGCGGCGATTTCGGGGGTATATTTTTGAGTTGTGGTGTAGTTATCAGTTCACTGCACAAAGCTCGTCTGATGGATGCCTTGGCGGCCCACAGACTAGACCAGGGGTCGGCAAATGGTGGGGCATGCCCCCTTTGGGGGTAATGACGCCCTTCGGCGGGGGGTAATGAGGGCCGCTGAGAAAGCCTCATCTTTTTTAGAATTAATGGCTCCCTTGATGGGACAAACATCGCAACTGTTGTGCCCCAGGATTCAAAGATTAGTCGAGGTCAAACGCACAAAGCATGAACTGATTAGCTGGCGCATGTCAATTTTCATGTAGCTGCTCACCATTCCGTACAGTCGTTGAAAGTAACTGTCATGTACTAACCGGCGCTCTTCTATTGGCGTTTTCACAGTCACTAACGCAAGGGAGAGGAGTCGTCCATTGCACCCTGACCTGAGCATCTCGGTCTCTGAGCTGGAGCTTTGCAGAAAAATTGAGCGTGTTGCCCGTGAAGATAAGCAGCCGCTGCTACCCAATTTAAAGGTCGTTGGTCATTGGGTGACCTTCCATAGGTCAATAACAACTGCCGAGTAAATCGGGTCCCGCTGTAACTTCTTGAAGTGAGATTTTTGGCCTGCCATGATCTCAAGAAAGATCTCACAAATCAACGGTTATTCGGGTTAAGGGCATGCCATTTTCAGGACAGATAAAAATGATCGGCTCGATGGTACAGTTTTTTTTTTCGTGATCCGACCCTTTTAACGTGATCTATTCCCGAAAAATACCCGCTACCCCTATCCGTATGGGGGTTAACCCGCGCCCCGCTGGGGCTCCTGGATTTCCACGCCCTGCTGGAGGTGGAGGTTGAACACCCCCTACTAACTTGGCTCCTGGGTCACTAGCGAAACGCCGTAGTCGGCGATCGAAAGAGCGTAAGAAATGATGAAGAAAAAAATATGGTCACTTTTTAGGTCAAATCAAAGGTCAGGTCACCAGAGGTCATCGAACGTAAAATTTCGCTAATTTCCAGGTCAACCTTTGACAGTTTTCGACAAACTGGCCCATAGCTCAGGAAAGGATAGAGCTACAGCGCTGCGGAAAAACGCATTCGATAGCTCTCTTTAACGTTTTTTTCTGATGCCTGCCCTCAGATTCAACCGAAGATTAACGGTTTAGCCTGCAGGAGACAAAAACTGCCAAAATGTACGTTGCTTGCTGATAGTTTTTCTTAAATAACTTGTCACTCAAAACATGCGCAAGAGCTCACTTTTATCAGCATCGTGATCCTCCCGTCGAGAAGCATCGAAGGTTTTGTTGCACATCAGTCGATCCGTATCGTCGAGCTGAACACATCTAAGGCATTTTCATCGCTCTGGCATGCCTTATACCATTCATGACCTGAAATGACCTCAGGGACATACAGCGGGGTTACGGGTGCAATTTTCCGGTTCAGCGGTCATGTTTACTTGTAAATAAGAGTGTCACAGTGTTAGGAATGACACTGGTCCAAAAGAGGCGCCTTTCAATTTTCTACCATTTACTTTGCGTCCTCTCCCATTGATAATGGGAGAGGGCGTGTAATTGACCTTAACTTTGGTCACCGACATCAAATCTCCGAGATACAAATTTTGTACATGCTGTTGCCTTTATCAATTCCTGAAAGTTTGAAAGAGATCTGTCACTCAATGCAGCTAAAGCAGGCGTTACAGTCTTTACTGAGGTGAGGTCACTTGACGTGATCTGGTGACCTGACCTTGAGTGACTCTGGTCTGAAATATTCACAACATGTGCAGAAACGATGTATGATCGATTGTTCCAAAATGGTGGCGCTCTGTGCCAACGTTTTTGAGATATTTGCGAGAAACCGCATGGGAGGGGGGCCTGCGGTTTCTCGCAGATATGGTACCCAAAGAGTCACGGAAAAGTATGGAATTTCAGCAACCTTGGTTGTATCACCAATTATGGGGTCTGGTAGGTGGGGGTAATGGCCCTGCCTGGCGCCAAAAAAGGGGGCACGACCCCGGAGGACCTGCCGACCACTGGACTAGACGAAGGACCGGGAGGATATGCAGCGATTTTGATGGGAGCACATCACACGTTCAGACTTACACCGAAGGCGGGCAATCGCTTGCGGCGTGTGATTTGTTTTGAACCAGCTTGTGTGGTGTTCTGGACTTTGCACGAATTATTGTAAAGGTTTATTGGCATTTAAGAGGAGCAAGGGCCAACATGTGAAAAGGTCCAGCTACGGATATCCGCCAAGACAGCCCCCCCCCCCATACAAATTCAGTCCGGATTCAGGCCAGATCAGGGACGCCTCGGATCGACTGATAGTGGGGAAGTCGCTACAGGTCATGGAAAGTCGGTTGGTGCCATTTTCGGTGCTCTAGCTCCACTGGTTGGGCCACAACCTGCTGTTAATTTAGGGGCCGGGCCAATGTCGACCTCTGAAGGTCAGACGTGACACGCCTGGTGGTGCCACCGAATTATTTGGAGTGGACCACGTATTGCCTACCACAAGGACGTATGTTGTAAGGAGTTTCAAGTCGGTCCGAGATGCCCCGAATCTGGGCTGAATCCGGACTGAATTGGGGCTGAATATGGGCAGCCTCAGTGAACAGCAACATTGGCCCCATCTTCATATAGGTACCTAAGTTAGGACGTTCACCATCACATGTAGCGAGTAATGGATCGATTTTCTGAAATACCTTAACATGATAATATGAATATTTTCGACGTCTTGTGCTCTGAAAATCAACCAGCACCAGTACCCCATCTGGCTAGAGCCATCGCATCAGCCGTGAGCATCCGAGCAGGCTTTCGTGCCCATGCATTGTTACACATGATAAAAATGAAAAAATAAACTGAAATGTTTACAGATGGTGTCGAGTCGACTGAAGGTAATTCACACAGACAGCTGCGAGTTGTAAGTAATAAAATGTAGTAGCATAGATTGTGCCATAAATATGCAGCATACTGCACGCCCATCCACTGCATTATTGCATTCTGCAATCTGCAGCTTGAATTTGAGCAGCTTACGGAACAACAAGTTTGTGACGCTATTACTGCTGTTATCCACCAAAATCACTTGTTGACTACCGGCTGCAAAGAAATGGCATATCCGATCGCCTTGCAAATTGCACTGAAACTACCACTGGGGCAAAACATTAACGATAAAAAACTAGCATGCCCCTAAAAAATACCCATCGTTTGGGTCGTTCGGTTATTCACGTCGACACGCAACGGCCAACCTACCCAACGACTTGATCCTGCAATGCACGTTCCCTCTTCTTACTTTGTCCGAAGGTCACAAGTCACAACCCACAGCAACCTTTGGGGAAGTTACAACTACGTGGTTCCAGCTTCCCTCGGTCGACAGCATACTGCGCCACACGGCACGGCGGCATTGCGGTACAGCCTATCTCCAGGAAACACTCACTGCTGTCATCTATCAGGAGAATGGGGTAGCGCGGCCCGGGGCCCAATTGGAACAGGTGTGGATGTTTGCATCAACAATAACAGCAAACGAAGAGGGGCATTGTCCCAGGCGAACAGCCGCCTGCCCGGGCCACCTAGTCCTTCAGGCACCCGCATTCATCTGATTTACGCAGGACTGCACACGAAAGAGACAGTTATCGAGAGGAGAACGTTCCCCTTCCGCCTCCACTCCCGAGTTGAGCGGTCAATAGCGATCACTTGACCCATGCCCCGGTACAGACATGCATCACTAATAAAAACAACAAAACCATCACATATATCCATACCTAGAATGAACGAGGGAAGACAAGTGTTTATGTACAGCCCACCGCTAAAGTAATGTAGGGTTTTACCAATCTCAACGATTGGCTTTGCCTGGCGATTGTTTAATGCGGAGTGATCGAAAAGAAGATGTCAATAGCTAAAATTACAGCTGCAAGGGTGACGATACATATAAGCTACATTCAAAGTTTCATTGTAGTCTGGCTAATCGTTCCTAAGCTTCAGAAGCAGAACATACCCATGACTGAAACCCCTCATTACTTCTGCTGTGGACTGTACATACATGTGGTCAGACACATGTCGAAAAGCACATCAGTGACGTGAAAGCTAAATGTATAATGTGCGACGCACGCGCCGGCACATGCCTACATGGACTTTGTTCATAAATCAAGCACACTATTAATTACCGGGCTGGATCATGGGTAATTACTAGTTGTCCATCCACAACAAACATAAACGCGATCATCTCTGGTGTATTGGTACTAAACACGTTGATAAATGCACACACACGCACGGGAGTAAATACACACGCGGGGGTAAATACACACACTATCGGGAAGACACGGAACGCTGCTATAGCTGCCGCCAGTCGGGTTAAATGCACGGTGGGTCATGGTCACAGGTAAAATATACACGCGCTACAGCGTTCGACACGCAGCCACGACCCTGGTGTTTGTCTCTTTTAGACGGAGCATGTGCCAGAACGCTGTTCGTCTGGCGTTTTCTGTCTGCTCCTGTCAGGAAATAGAGATTCAGTTCGACGCACGCCTACCACTTATTGTCCGCGGCTAGACGATAGACGATTTGGCGCATCGGCCGCCTAGACAGTCTTGGCGCACTGGGGACCGTAATAAGGCACAACGGCGTCCGTAATGGTATCTCGGTATGATCGTAACTAGCCCTCAGAGGAACATTTTTGAAAAGCAAACAAATGCGTTAAAATGCAAGCGCCGCAGCCGTTAACACTGCAAACATAATGTGGAGCAAGGCAGGGCGGAGCGCTAAATCACAGTGGTAGATAATAGACACGGGAAAGTCGCATGCACGGGTCACGGGGCATAAACAGCCTATCGGGTACACTCGCGGAGTTAGGCACGGCAAGAACACAGCACTCGTAGACGCACTCGGCATTAAATGCAGTCAACGACGGACACACCGGCCGCCGTACAAAAATACACATCCAATTTGGCAGCACAATTAATAGGAGCAATACCATTCACATTAATTGGCACGTCTGTCGCACGCCGTGGCTCCCACCGCTACAAGAGCGTGAAATGTCCCTCACTTATAGAAGTCGAGTATATATTCGCCAGGTTTTTCGCACGATACTCTCGCTAGCCGATTAAAGGTAGTGTGCCAGCTTTCCTGGACCGTATGGAGTTAATGGCCCAGATAAGGAGAACCGGATTTTTAGAACTTATCCATACCTTCAAAACTCATGGAAACGTCTTAAATTCTTCAAATTTTGAGTACCCCAGTGCGAAATTCGCCCCGACGGGTTGTCGGTCGTACCCCAACCACATTTCACACCACTATGAACAATAAATGCACACACTGAAATCGCCATTACCGATATGCTCATCCAATCAAGTTTCGATAAACCCGTTCATCATCATCTCCTGCGGTTTCGAACACGCCTGTTAGGTGGTGCGGTAGACCGCGCCCAAAGCCAGGGCCCCGGTAACGTGAGGTAGCCGAGTCGGGGCAGCGTGCGCTGACCCAAGCCGGGGCCGCGCGTCCTCCCGGTGTCATGTGATAGCCCGGGACTGTCCGCGGGGATGCGGTAGACCGCGCCCAAAGCTGCGGCCCCGGCTTGGGTCAGCGCACGCTGCCCCGACTCGGCTACCTCACGTTAACGGGGCCCTGGCTTTGGGCGCGGCTTCTGCTCATACTTTGTGGTGCGGTGGTGGTGCGTCGGGCCGCGCGCTCTGACTTCGGCCAAGAAAAATGGGTCAGCTGATCATTGTCATTTCTGCCACTTGCGTGTGGTGAAATGGGGTCATAACTTAAGAGACGGCTTTTTCATATCAATCATTTTACATAAAATCATATTTCAATCCATAAATAATGTTCGACAGCCAAATAAAAGAAACAATACCAATACAGGCTTACAGTTTAAGGCTCGATATTGTGTTGTCTACGATTAGACAGCTGATAACTCATTCCCGTACGTCGTAACTCTATAATGACCTTTGCTTATTGTCACATGTGCGCCGCATTCGCGATTGTTGCCGACGCCTGTTTGCAGGTCAGCCCACTACAGTTGTTATACATATCGAAAAACCGATAAACTTTTAGGCGAAAAAGGCACTATTCCAGGCCCATTTTTGATTCTTTTTGCGATATTAGGTAAAAACAGAAGCTTCTTATCCTAGGAAAAATAAAATGGGAAATCTTTCAAAGGTGGCACACTACCTTTAACAACACTCGCAGTCACACATACAAACAGGGTATCAAAATCGGCATGGCGACGGTGCGGTGAGATCAGCCGGTACTCGCCAGGCGAAACGGCCGGTGATATCGCTTACTAGAAAGGTGAGCATTGTTTAAACGTCGTTCAAAATGGGAGATTCGCATATTTTAACGTCTTTGACGAGGATGTGTTACTGAGTAAAAACTGGCCTAAAAAGGTAAACAGAAGATATAAAAAGGCAATAAAAATCAGCACAGCAGAAAGCGTCAAAATACATAATCAATTTCACCAATAGTTAGTATCGTCAACTACCAACAACTGGTGTATCGGCGGCAAAACAATGCCACCAGACCGATACCGGAAAACGCTTCGATGTCTTCCTTCGCCTAAGCCGGGCCTAGTTATTACCGTCAGCGTGGCAATACGATTCGAGTGACCGCCTATGACAGCAGCGGAATACACCGCCCGGGGCAATGCCACCTGCAGTTATCCCTCCTCGCGTCCCCAACCGTCTGCCAGTCTACTGTCTAGCGGCCGTTCGGTGTGAGGGGTTCATTACCCCGTGGACCACACGTCATGTCACTACAGACAGCCGGGACGATCGCGGTGCCTGGTGTGAGCGGTCTCAGCAGCCGTTCACACGGCGGGTAGCGGTCTGTCAGAGACTGACGAGTCCGAGCAGGGGCGGGTCCCCCGGCGGAGCACTGTGGCCTATAATTAACACTGACGACCTGAACACTGCCCACTCCGGGACGGTCACCAGGGAGAGGGGTCAAACAGAGCGCATGACAGCGCGACGGTCACACGCAGTCAGACGGTGACACATAGTGTCATCTACTGACAGTAGGAGTGACACCTCATCACCGAGTGACACCGAGCGCCGCTCACAGCCCGGCGAGGACCGACCTGTGACCGGTGACAGGGCGGTGACAGCTGGTGATACACCAGGCGGCCGGTCAGACGGGGTCGGAGACGATGGTGACGGCCAGGTTTTCGTCCTCCCAGCTGAAGGTTTGTGGTAGCACCACCTGGAAACAGGAGACACAGGGTCCAGGGACATCAATCGAGTGACCCGCACACACCAAATCGTAGCCACGGTATCAGACTGAATGTACAATAATATGTACAGTCTACATGTGTATAGAATAAAGCAGAATATAGGTACGTCGTGCAGCAAACGCATCTCGTCGATAGGAGAAGATAGCAATAGAGAGATACTATACACGAAGAGATAAATGTAGACAAACAAAAAACTAGTCATTCAGGTTGGCCAAGTGATATAAATGGGAATTAATGCAAGGCCAGACGAATAAATCCCAAGAAACACAAATACGTCTGAATGAATGTCGCAAAATAGAACTGACTGCAGTGAAGTACGGATGGCCACAGAAGGCAGTAACACAGAAAACTGTATAGTCGAACCACAACACAAAGCATGTTCCGTCTATTTTTGCTGTTTATTTTCATTTAACATCAAATGCCCAGGACACAAATAACTCCCATAAAATAGCCTATCCCAACGTAATACGACACAACTATTGCATTCAGTCATCCAAGAGCCGTATAGTATCAGAACATTCCCTTCCAGGCTTACAGTGAAAGCTATGACATTGACACTAGAGTAGACACGCGCGCCGATAACGCCGATGGAGGGGAGGGTAGGGGTAGGGAGGGGTCACCGATACTGCCCGCCCGTATCGTCCATCGTCCACCGGTACCGGACCGTGCCAAATGGCCCCCATTTCAGGCGAATAGCCGGTGTCGTACGGAGGAATTTCACAGTGCGTTGGAGCATTGCCTGCACAGAAACGGCGAACTTGGGCGAAGCAAATGAAAGTGCCGATTTATTGGTCAGTACGATTCAGGAAAGTAATTGGCTGATTGACACGAAAATGCCATAGAATAAATGCAATAGAATGGACGGGTGGTCCATTCTTTGCAGAAAGCACCTCCATTATAATAAATGCGCATGAAGCTTATGGCACAAAGTAGCTATGTCACTATTCGCCGCGAGCGCATTTCGTTTCGAAGAAGGAAATGTATTAATAGATTGAGGACTGCGATCGAGCTGTCATTAAGCAAAAAATATAATAAACAGGGTTGTTAAAAACCCAGGGTTTTTGGTGAAAAACCCAAAAACCCTGGGTTTTTGCAAAAACCCAGGGTTTTTCATGGGTTTTTGGTGGGTTTTTGGTGTTTTTGGTGGGTTTTCGTGTTTTTTTTTTGGGTTTTTGATATTACTGGAGGCTTTTTGATATTTTTGTTCACACTTTGGTTGTTTTAGCTGTGATGTTTCATTAGGCCCTATGATCGTTGCAACCACGGTGGCTAAAGATAGTTGCAACTAATTTTACCAGACGTGTTCTATATCAATGTTTGTACCGTGGTTGCCATGGAGACCTGTTCAGATTCATTGGTTTGTTACGGGGTTGCTATAGAAACCTGAGTTCATAGAACAGCCCAAGCAAATACCGTTGCCTAGCAACCTCTTCGTCGGTCGCACTTCCGCCGCGCTGGGAGGGAGCGCACGGATGCGTAAAAGTGATAATGCCGCCGAAACCACAGTATAAACGCTCTTATTAACCGAGTTTCAGAGTCGCCTTTCTTGCCCTGCCATCCGAAATTTTGACTACTTATGCATATTTTGGACACGGAAATCGCTACAGGAGACATTGATGAATGTATCGGTGTCCAGTTGTCCACGAAGCTATGCGCAGATCAGGCCACAGGCGTTCTTGAATATCGCGGATGTTCCCGATCTTCAGCACGTAAATGCCCTCGGGTGTTCTCTTGGTTTGGCGACGTAGGTACGGGAGCAGCCAGACTGGTATGAACTAAACTTTGTCCCCCCCCCCCTGCCCCAGCCTAGCCGGCGGCCCGCTGCATCTCGCGCCTTATGTTGCAGGGCGTCTATAACACGAGGCGCGCCCGGCAGCCTCCGCCGAGAGCAGCGCTGACACCACACCACATAATTGCAGATTCCCGCCAATCCAGAGGAGTGGTCGACCTCATCCAGTCCACGTACTGGTGCACATGGACAACGAAACATTTTACTATTGTTTCCTATTAGTTGCTTGCTTCAGTTCCCATTCTAAATATAAAAAGCAGCTTAGAAACCCAAAAACCCACCAGGATGGGTTTTTACTTATAACAGGCATTGATTCAGCGTCTCTGTAACACACTATAAGATGCTAGCATAAATTAAACATTGAATTAGGCCCAAAGCATGAAATACTGAAATGTAGAAGTGATTGTGGTGATCGAAACAATTCAAAGTTAAGGCAAAAACCCACCCTGGGTTTTTGCTTTCAATTACCCACCCAAAAACCCAAAAACCCAGCGGGTTGGGTTTTTGCTCGTAACAACCCTGATAATAAATGATCAGTCCTTTCATGAATATCACAAACGAAAATTATAAAACACTGGAGACATATTTGGGTAAATTCACCATAACGGATATTGAGTGTATAACAGCAATAAATGCAATTTTTCTAAACTGCTTGGCATACGAGTATTTCTTTTAGCCATTAACTACACGCTGCTGTACTTTGCTGGTCTAAATGTACCAGCAAAGTATGTAAATGTAGAAATGTGTATGTACATTACATTACACATTTTTCTTTTTCACTATGACCTACCGTTAAACAGACGGATGTCCCCATGACATGCAGGTATCCTTAATCATGTGGGACTCTCCCAAGAAAATTACAGTTGAGCGGTACATTGGGCTATGACATTTGAGACTAGGTCACTGGCTGACTAACACCCCACATGCTATCAAATCCATCAAGTACACTGCAATCCTTAGCATGTACAAAGGCATGATTGTCCTGAATGGTAATTTTAATTATTGCATTACATTCTGCAAAGGCATTCTACCGAACGCCGACCAGACCAAGAGTCATATTTGATCCCACAGTCCAGCTTCCAGCTCATTATTCTTTGAATTTAAGATCGGAAAAGATAAAAGGGACAAAGAGCGGAATAATAGCTTCATATAGCTTTAACCCTCGCCCCGTTGGGGGGGGGCCATTTTGGCCCCCCCTGTGGTTTTTCCTGAATAGCAAGAAAACGGCGGCGCGCAGCGCCGCCAAATTTTCAGTACCTTCCCGGGCATCAATTTGACACCTTCACACCAAATTTCAAGTCTTAGGTCACCTTAGGTCAGGAGTTATTGAGGTCAAACTGAGGTCATGTTCGAGCAAAAATGAGCAAAAAACATGCAATATTGAAACGCTCACCAAATCTACAGTTATCAAGCAATTTCAAAGTTCTTTATACGGTCTAGTAGACAAAAAGCGGCGCTACAAAACTGCTATCTCGGATTTTCAAAATTTTTGGTTTTTGACCAAAAAAAATTCAAAAAATTGATTTTTTTAGAAAAACTTTGAAAAAATCCAAAAATTTTCCGAATTTCGAAAAAACCGGAATATATGTGATAGTCCCAGCGCTCTTCTATATACATACCAAATTTCAGATCGATATCTCGTTTTTTGGCCAAGTTATAGCGAAAAAACTGTTCAAAAATGATGACGTCAAATTTTTGAACTCAATTTTTAGCAATTCTAGACCACGTACGGCAAAACAAAGACCACCATTGAACTCCCCGTGACGAGCTGCATCGATTCGATACCCATTTTATGCAAAAATATTAACTTTGAAATTTGACCTAATTTGACCTGACCTTGACCTGACCTTGACCTGACCTTGACCAGAACGTGATCTAAGCTGGCCTCAAAGGCTGCCTGACCCATATAATCGCATTTGTCATGTAAAATGGACCATAAAACATGTATCACATGACACTTTCATATTGTGACCCCCCCGTGACCTGACCTCTGTGACCTGACCTGGTATCAGTGACCTCAAATAGCGAAATATGTGTTTGAAGAACATTTCCCCATCGATGATTTTCAATGAAATGCATTTTACTCGATTTTACAACGCATTTCTTGAAGTGCCTGTAAACGGTGAAAATTGGACCTTTGACCTGACCTGTGACGTCATCGGTTTGACCTAGGTCAATAAAATTGGGTCACAAGGTAGTTCCCCGTTGGGGCTATCCAACGCCGTTTACCGCTTGTCGCTATGTTGCGTGGTTCTCGAGATCTTAGGGGGGGGCCAAAATGGCCCCCCCCCCCAACCGGGCGCGTTGCTCGGCAGAGCCCAACGGGGCGCGGGTTAAAAAGGGGGCTAAATAGGCACGAAACAATTGTGAGCTGTTTGTACTAGCAAGTAGCAACATATTGGGCTGTATAAAATATGAAAGTCAATCTAAAATGCTTAAATGTCAGTGTCAGTGTCCATCTTTGCGATCCCCACGCATATACCTACTGACTGTCAATAGGCTGGCATGCGGTAAACAGCTTGCGGCTTTGTTACCCAGGCAATGACTTAGTGCGAATTTAAACATTCTCGGTCGCCTAAAAAAAACCATGGAAAGGTGGATGAGGTATAAAATTGAATGTCATATAAATTATGTTAAAAGTAGATTGAGCAATAGCCAAACAATTTTTGTTATCGCGAGCGTAACTGACACGAAATAATAACAGAGCTCCTAGATGATTTTCAGGAACATGTTAATATCGTACTCAGAGCAAGACACTATGATGCCAATTACGCAGACAAGGAACATGTATAACATGCAATTAAACAAATTGAAGTGGTCTATGACGACTGGTGACGGCAACACTTTGAGAACTAAGCGTGGTACTTCAATAGCAGTACCGGGCTCGACATGTAAATGACCATCCTTTGAAGCGATCAGAAATGAAATCTCATTACGATATTGTTCAATATAAACATATATTAATATTATAAAGACAAGCACCGAAAGACGATCAGAGGAATTGGTTGCCAATTTACTAAATGAACATACATCAATGAGAATAATCCCATTACTATTCAGCGGAAACTTCAAGAGCCAACGCTATCGGTTAATGGCGCTACTGAACACACCGAATGTTGGCAACGCATCATATAATTAGCGTCGCGACGCACACCTTAGTGCGCTAGGAAATAAGCTCGGGTTGTCATAATCAGCTCATGCACATCACTACACACAGTCGTTTACGTAACCAGTACTAGCACTCCATTCGCCACGACTCGGCAGGACTACAACTTAGCCTGTAGCCCATCGTCACACGCACATATCGCGTCCGTGCTGCCTTACAGTAGTGTTTACATCCTTACTCCTCATTTTTGGTGTGACACCTACACCCGGACCTGGCCGAATCATCTCATCCTCTTCCACGTCGCTTCTCGTCTTGCTTCCTCTTTTTCTTGGAAAAAAGAAAGCGACTCACCACTCCGTGCCGCTCCTTCATGTCCCTTTCCCCACTCCCTCACTCCCGCCACTCCCCCCCTCTCTCTCTCTCTCTCTCTCTCTCTCCCTCCCTCCCTCCCTCCCTCCCTCCCTCCCTCCCTCGCTCCCTCCCCCTCCCTCCCACTGACCTGGTCGGGGTCGGAGAGCACGTTCAGGTCGCAGAGCATGCGGTCGACGAGCGCCGGCGCCAGGCGCACCTGGAGCCACCGGCCGCGCGCCACGTACGGCTGCGCCTCCGTGCACACAGAGCCCTGAACAGACGGCGATACCAGCGTGACGGCACAGTCGCCCGCCATCGACTTGAACGTGAAGTGGCGGCCGTGCTTCAGGCGGCCCCTGCCGCGAGAGGAGAGGGGGAGGTCAGAGAGGCCGGGGGGGGGGGGGTATTAGACCAGTCAGTGGGTTCTCTGAACTTCATGCGCACACGATGACCCCAGCTTCACAACGCATTTTGGATCAAGTTTATGCACGCTTTAGATCGATGAACACGCGGCATGCATTCATGAATTGCATGCTGCGTGCATTTACAGACACATAAAATGAGACAAATCCACGAAGATCTACATTCGCTACACTGTCTTGTCTTCTAAGCATTCGGCAGTGTCCCTAGCTCCATAGAAGGCGCACGTCCCATCCCCTTTCCCTCGCTCGCGCGGCTATGCTCTCTCACCGCAGGGCGAGCGGCAGCATGAGTCCGGACTCGAGGTTGAAGCTGAGGTGCAGCGATTCGAGCTTGTCCAGCCGGTCCGAGGGCGGGATGTCGGGAGTGTCGGTGGCGTCGCCGCTGGAGCTGCTGCCGTCTGACGCCCGGCGGTACCTGATGGGACAGTAGAGAAGTCACAGCTCCAGGTGAATGTTGAGGTAACCGTGCATTATCCCCTTTTAGGTCCCGGTTGTTCAACTATGATCCCAGAATCTTTTTGAAACGAAAATTGCATAACAGTCTAATCAATCGTCCATGTCATTCCAGTGTGATCCACTTTCATAATCATCATAGTTATGTATTGATTGGGGATTCAGTGCAAGTCACAAGACCTGAAGGCCCCGGACGTCTCATCAAGCTCATTGCATGCTGGACTTGCTCATCACTCATGCCTGTCCTACAATAACCCTGCCCATCTGTACCACGTTATCCTATCCTGACCCCTATCACGCCACGCACAGTTCACGGCCCGCTGAGACAAACTCAGTGTACTCACATGGCCTCCAGCGGCTGTGCGCCGGCGGCCGAGCCGCTCCTGCCGGCGCCGCTGTTGACCTGCAGCAGACCGCGCTGCAGTGTGTCGCGAATCTGACGGCGCTGCTTCTCACTGACCTCGCGGGGCGCGTCCTCCTGATCGGCCGCCGCGTCTGCCGGTCGGGAGTGCGGCGCTCAGCACATAGCGGCACGGGCGACCGCGGGTGTCCGGGAAACGTGCCGGCTTTAGACAATGCTCAACCTCGGTCATGGAACTCGCATGTGATCCAGAAACAGCCGCTGTTCCGACATGAATGGGAACGAGCATAAAAGATCATCAAACTGAGAAAAGCCAGTAACTCGAAACTATCATTCCCATTATACGCAGACGTCATCAATGAACAGAATATGGATAGCAATATGCATCGCCCATAAACAATCCTGTGACAGACTCTGAAGCGCCCACTAACCGTCGTCAGCAGCCGCCGCGGTTCCAGCCGGGTCAGCCGGGTCTGCGGACTGGCGGCGCGCCCAGCTCAGCCAGGCAGACACACCCGACAGGTTGGAGCCCTCCACATCAATACCGCACTCGACCTCCTCACGGACGGCCGGCTCCAGCTCAAACACCGACTCTCCGCGGCGCATGTCAGTCACCAGCAGCGGTCCGCCCGCGCTGCCGAGGGGCGGACGCCAGGTTACAATCACGCACAGCAGTGACAGCACAGAAAGAAAGGACAAAATCGCCAGGCAGTGGGGAAGCTGGACCGAAAGGTTTAACATCAGCTTATGGTAAGAGAGTGAAGGCTTCTTATATTTTACCCCCGTGACATGTCAAAATAATTTACGATGCCCTCAGTACTATCCGATTCAGGCTTGAGCGAAACAAGCAACATACCTTTCAAATCAATACGCATTCGCAAGCTATAATCCCATCAGCGCCTATCTTTCTGCGTTCCCTTAATATTCCCCACCCCGCGGCGGGACTGGACTCTCACCCGCGGCAGCGTTTCATGATGTCCACCATTCCGGAGCCGTTCCAATGCTGGACAGCTTCCAGCTCCTCAGGCGTGATGCCCACGATCTGTACGAACTGGACGGGCCCGAACGGCGTGGTGACCTGACCCAGGTCGGGATCAGACGCCAGCAGGATGTGCTGCAGCCGAGACTCGCCGCCGTCCAGAGGCACGTGGTAGGACACGTGGTCACCGCTCACCAGCAGGTTACCTGCAGACGAGGGATGCGGTGAGAAATAGCACGTGGTCGCCGCTCATCAGCACGTTACTGCAGTGAAGGTCGTAGTTCGTACACCACTTTGAACTTTCAGTGGATTCGAAAGGCGCTGAGATAACATTGCGCTAAGCTAACTAGTATGCAGGCCCACTGTGCTCTGAACGAGTTAACATTGAACAAAGAACATGCTCTCAAACACTGAACACAGAATATCTTGTTGGTCCCCGCCGCACGGCTCACCCGACTGGAGGACGTATTTGGCGAGCGCCTGCATCATGGCGGCGGGCCAGGTGGGCGGCGTGGTCTCGGTCGGCTCACGGCGCAGCCGGAACGTCAGCTCCAGGCCCAGGCCGCTGGGTGTGTCGGGACCGCTCGGCTCGTGAAGCCGCCCGTCGCCGTGCAGGTCCGACAGGCCGAAACTGGCGACACAGATGAGTGCAGTGCAGGGGTACAGAATGATGGGATGAAGAGGGGTGGTGTAACAGGTGGTGAGGTAATAAGCGGAGGGTTAACGAGTGGTAAGATAAAGAGTGGAGGGTAACAAATGGAGGGGTGACGAGTGGAAGGGTGACGAGTGACGAGACGAGGTAATAAACTGGGGGACGCATTGTGAGGTTATGGAGGCTGCAGCGTACAAGTTCCACCAGCCTTCATACTATAAGGGAAAGGATTTTACACTCATCCAAAACTACTGATGCACAGATCTAGTGACATGTATGTACGTGTCAGATTCGTTCAGTTCCTTTTTATACAATACTCCTAACTCCTAAGAGCACAATTTCTCTAACCTTCTACGACAGGCTCCAGCCATTCAGCACTCACCTGACGTAGTGCCAATGGGGTGTCACGGCCTCGTCCGTCCCTCCGTCGTGCCAGTACATGCTGATGTAGTCCAGAGGGTCCGGACCGCCCAGCCTGCCAATCACAGGAGAAAACGGTACACTGTCAGTGTGGTGCTTCGAAAGGCGACAAAGAACAACCCCCTCGAAGGAAAATTAGCTTGGATGGAAATGTTTTACAGCCCACATATGACAAGACAGTGGGCAGAAGAATAACAAATTGAGTAAATGGTGGTAACAAATTGAGTAACAAATTGAGTAACAAAAAGTAAATGGAGTTATATGGTGGAATAAACGAACAATTTTTCAATCCCAACGTGGACTGGTTATGTCAAAATAGGTTGGGCGAATAACTGATATAATGACAAATGCTTCAGGTTACAGGTGATCCATAAGCTGACCCACTATAAAAGCCCGATTGTACCTGGCCAGTCTGCACTGATAACCCACAATGCTTGTTTATCTGATCAGTCCCGTGTTTCAGAACGCCTTACCAGTATTTTCGGACGGCGGTGATCTGCAGAGGGTTCAGCTGGTCCGGATAGAGGCGGCTGCACGCCTTGTACAGGGCACACAGCCCCGGCGGAATGCACGCCTCCATGGTCTTACTTCAGTTACTGGTCAGATGAGCCTGTGTGGTGAACCTTCAGCAGATTCTGGAAAAAGGACAGTGGGTCAAGTGACTGAGCTGTAGCAAATGTGACTCATATATTGAGTGACTGATCTGATGCTTTTTTGCTATAGCCCAAAATTATTTGATGATTTGTAACTGTAAGGTACCGCCTACCGGGACTTCAGAGGTCATTGGCGCCCCCGTCAGATCATTAAAATGAAAGAAAGGTGTTAAAATAGATTGCAGCCACTGTAACCATTTATATCTTCAGCATAACTCTTGGTATCTATGCACTTATCTTTGTCCAAACTTATTCATTCAACTACAAAGGGTAGGTACTGAAGACTTCTACATTTTACCAAAGTGAGTGGGTAAGGTTAGCACTGCTTTTGCTATTTTTGGCTATTTTTAATACATTATATTTTATTGCAATCTATTCTCTCTATCTTATAAAATTCCACAGTCTTTTCAACCTTATGATTCTGCTGCACTTCATGGCGCATTAACATCAAAATTACATCATTAGTATCACTTCGATCTTCGTAATACTGTTAGTGTGATTGTGATATATTGAAAATAATTTCCCATTTCAGCATTTTCATGATTATCTTCATGTTAGGTACTTAGCATGGAGAAATAGATTCTGACTACATGACATGAGTCTTCTGGTAGGTAAAGGTCAGAACTATCACCAAATTTTTGCTTACAAAGCCAAGCTTGATTTCATTCTTCAAGATCCTGCTGACTTTGACCAGAAATATCACCTTCAACCATCCACTTTATTTGTATTAACTGCTCCCCTCAATCCCCTTCCTCCCACTAACATTACCCTTTATGAGTGTGTATCTGTGTGGGCATTCCAAGGGTGCAGGAGGGCAGGTGACCAATGCTTTTTTTCTCTAGGGTATTTTAATATGTTAATAGCATGCTCACTCCACCGATGTTTTCTTTTGTTTTTTCCTTACTCTTAAAAGGGAGTGCCACAACTTGTCATATTAAGTTTGGTCTGAGGCAAGTCTGAGGGCTGTTCACGGGCCCTGTGTGCGGTCGGACCATACACAGCCTCCAAGCTGAAGCTCCACCCACTGCGTCCCTACGTCAGCCTTCCGTCACCGCACACAGCGATCGCTGTGGCCGGTCGGGACTAGCCACAGCGGACCGTCCACCGCACGCAGCCATGACGTCAGAACCCCTACCCATCCCCTACCCCCACGCCTGCTGCACACACCGCACACACCGCACGCAGCAGTGTGCGGTGCCGTGAACACCCTCCGGAGTCCGGTGTCAACGTAAGGTTCTGTGCAAGTTGTGTGTCGGTGTCGCTGGGATAGAGGGAGGGCAGTGGGCACACTCCTGGGTTACCTGTTCATGGAAGGTGGCGTAAGAAAGCAATTAAAAGAAATTGTTCAACTGATGCGTAAAAATTTGAGATCCACAACAACTTGAACAGCTAAGAAGCCTGAAACAAAAATTGGTCACGGAAACTCTATCACCTTTAGCTTTGGTTTATTCTATACCTACAATCGCCCCTAGCCCAGAAAGAAAACAATAAGCATTGTAAAATTAACAAAGAAAAAGTAATGTCACAGTACATGCATAAACCTAACTACCACAGTGATTAAAAATTGCTCCAACTACCCTATATCAATATAAGGCCATCTATAAGGCCATCTATATCTATAGATGGCCTAGCAAGTTGCACCTACCAACAAAGCCACCCAGCAGAAAAATTGCTGAAAATAGACAGAACCTCAGAACCTCAACGCCGGCTACGCGTGTGCTTTTTCAGTATTTTTGTTCTAAACGTAATATTTTCGATCTATCTCGCGAATAAAGGATTGATTTTACATTTTGATTTGGCAGTTTGGATAAACAGCAGCAGAATTACCGTAATTAGAACACTATTGCGTCATTACTTGTCACTTCAGCGTCAGTAGGTGGAGTCCACGTCGACGTGCGTAAACAATAAACTTGAGTAAACAGTCTGTGGATGTTTCTAATCATTTTTTTTTTCGGGTTATTGAACATTATTGCTGGTGAAATTGCTGATAGACTAATTATCTTTATTTTCAACTTTTTCGAAGTGTGTTTCAGCTGTTTGAAACAGCATTCATCTAATCATAAAATATGTCTGGTCCTGCTGAACTGAAACGCATTCATCCACTTTATGCAGAATCTCAACACCTAATCACGTGATAAATTTTGATTATGTTTCAATGGATGGATTGTTGCAAGGCCACATATAGGATCGTTGAATGTTGATGCCAGCAGGCAGGGTCTTGTTTTGCGGGTCCTATTTCAATTTCTGGGCATTAAAGTGTTGGTTCTAATCCAATGATTGAAGAGGAAGAATGTGGAGGAGGATGATTGCTGAGTGATTTGGCTTGTGGGTACAATTAAAGTTCAGTTTTTCAACAATGATAGATAGGATCTGTGATGCTCACTGACTGCAGCTTGCTTAGCTGGCTGGAGTTGATCCAAGGATGCTCTGTGGCAACAGAAGTAAAGCAATTGGAATGAAGTTTGCTACTTTGAATGACAAAGAACATTGAATAGCTTGAACCTTACCTGTGCTGGTTACTGAGGCTATAAACCTTTGAGTATTCTACTGAAGAACTGAGCAATGGGACAGATCACTATGGAGGAGTTGAATTCAAATCATTTGAAAAGTTGAATGGCCTAGATGAGTTTTATAATAATTTTCAGCTTAGTTGCCTGGCATGTTTTACCAACTTTCACTTTCTGTGTTCCAGAGAAAGGGATTGCCTAACTATACCAAGTTCATACAAATTCCTAGTCTACATGACAAGCCACTAGCATCAACCAGTGAACAATGAGTGTAAGTTTACTTAGGTATCAACCTTGGTTTGCTTACACAACCCTCTTTGTTTTTGGTTATGAACTTCTTGCACAACATTCGACATCAATGCAGCTTTTGTCATCCTAACTTTTCAGATTCTACCAATTTTTCAAGACACATGACTTGTTTTCAATCCTATTGACTGATTTTCTGCTCTGCTTCTCTATGGTTCTCTGTGTGGTGAAATGGGCAGGTTCAGAATGTCTTAATTCAATCTGAGCTGTGTTGTTATAATATCATCACATACTGCTGCCAAACTATCTCATGAGCATAAATAACTATGACAAATTTGGGCCCTGATTTTCCCTGTATCATGCTTCCTCTTCTTCTCAGTTCCCAGTTATTTGTGTTTTGTAGAGCCCACACCTTCACTCATCTGGCTGGTTTATCCCTTATCTGACTTAATCCCTTATTGCTGACCCCATCATTCATTGCTGATTCCATCCTCTATTGCTGACTCCATCTTCATAGCTGACTCCATTCCCACTTCTGATTACATCCCTCATCTCTGGCTTCATTCCTCATCCCTGACCTCATGTCATCCCCCATGGCTGACTCCATCTTAATAGCTGATACCCCAGCAGCTCCCCAGGAATGACTATCTCTATCTCCAATTCCATCTCCATCTGTGATTCCATACCCATGTCGCCATGTCCTATTCCATACCCATCTCTGATTATATCCCCATCCCCACCTCTCATTCCATCCCTCATGGCTGACTCCATCCTCAATAACTGAGTCCACCCTACTCCACTCCTGACTCCATCTTCATCTCTGGTTCCATCACTCATGTCTGACTCGACCTCACTCTGACTCTCAGGAGTGCGGCGACTCGACGCCGACCTCGGGGGCGACCACGCCCAACACGCGCTCCCGCATAGAGGCGCTCCCCCGCGAACAGCTCGTGCAGAGATGCAAATCGCTGCTAGCCATCGCCCACAAGGCCAAACTGGCCAAAGATGGTAAGGCAGTGAACGAGGAGTCGATGGTGATATTTATCTGTTAGATGATCCTCGCGTTTTTTGCTGGAGAGGTTCGGGTGGACCACCACTTCGGTTTTTTCGCGAATTACGCACCATAATTCGCAGCTGAATAATGTTTTTTCTGTCAATGTTCTACTGAATTATCGGAAAATGGCATCGATTTCTTTTAGCGCCTTCCTAAGCGTTCTAGAACAGTTTTTGTCCTTGACCATCCCCTACCTTATCGATCGATCGGGATTTGACGTTTAATGGCCCTCAACTTAGTGGTATCAGTACCTATTTACGTGAACGAAAAGAAAAAAACATTGAAGGAACATATTGAGAGCTGTTGAGGGTGCTTCGTCTTTCTACCTTCCCATTTTTCGAGATAATTGACTGTGGCCAAAAACGTCCTTCCCGCTGCCACTAAATTGGCTGGGACCCCACTCCGGACGCCGGTTAAGTGCCTATCAAATGTAACCCACGACTCGGGACTGTCTGTATAATCTTTCACTGTCCGCTGTTTCAGAGGCCGCTGAGGAAGCAGCTGCGTTCCGTCAGAAGCTGCTGACAAATGAGGCGACACTTGAAAAAGTGCAGAATGACTTCAAACGAGTCAGCACTGAGAATGGCGAACTCGTCAAAGAGGTGCGTCTTGGTGTTTATCCTCACCGTGGATAAATATGTTCCTGGGCGATATCGTCCATTATGAATAATTGTCAACATGTTTGGATTCCCTCCCCGTAAATCAATTGTTTATTGCCACTAAGACGGTCACGGCAAGGCTTGCGTGTTTTGGGTGACAAATGTTTTCATTTGCTGTTCGCTATGACGATATTATGGTCGTCTGGTATGAAGAGGCACAAACAAGAGCCACTTTCTTACTGTAGTTCCGTTTTATTAGTGGAAGATTTGATAGGTGCATTCATTCCTGCCAGACGAAAAAAAAACAGTAAATTTCATTTTCTCCTTCCAGAAGTCGCCGAGGACCATTTGACCCGAGTTGCTTTTGGAATGCCTACGTACGGAAAATCGATCTTGAAATAGAATGGGTTCTCGCTGTCTTATTCCCAAGGCCATAGAAACTACAGGTAGCGACAACACGCGTTTGACCTTGAATTCTGCCGGCCGGCGGGTGACGTCACTGGCGGCGAGCCACTCGGCGGCCCCGGCCGGCAACGTACTAAAACCGCTTATTTCAAACCTCGTAATGGTAAAGTTTGTCTTAAAATGAGATGCATTTAAATGCATTACAAGGTAATATGAAAGCAACCTTACCTTCTGATATGCCACGACGGCTCTTATTCACGCATATACATACTGTTGACAATTCAACTTGACTCAACTCTCAACTCTCAAATAAATCCGAAAAATCTCCGACACAGACCTGGAGACACGTGGCTCAAGCCATTTCAATGCGTATATATATTGAATCAGACGATTCCTGCGCACCACATCACATTTCTCAGGCCACGTCGACGACCGTCGAAACACTAAACCACTGCTAAAAAATAGTCGCTGAATCGCTGCCAAGAGAAGCGTTCACTAAATTCCGTAACATCCTCCCCCCTGAAATGCGAACTTCAGAGGGCGCGTTTCACACAGGTACGGAACCGATCTTACAACGACAGATCCATAGTTCACAGCGAACAAGACTGCATCACTTAATTCAATTCAGACAGATTCAGACAGAGAATCTGAGTCAAACGCATCAGTCTACAAACGCAAACGTAAATCGATTCACCACTCTTCAAACAAACAAACGCCAACCTCGACGCAAACGACATCAAACTTGTCACATCACCAGGGCCACTTGCACCCTGCACTCTGCGAGCCACCACACGCAACTGTCAACTCAGCGCGTCCTCTGCACGCCGCCTCACTGCTCAGAGCGACATCTACAGTCGGCGCCCAACACTACCTTGCCTGCAGACGAGAGAAAAACAAACTAACACTGCTGACGAACACTGCGGTCTAACACCGCCGACGAATGTGAGCGGTTCACGGCTCAGAGGACAGCGGGTCGAGGTCAAAAAGCCTCTGGATGGGACGGGTTTTTAGACCAGACGGAGTCCGGACTTCTGCCGACCTCACCTTTCCGTCTCGGCCGGTGATCAGTCTCGTGACGACGCCATGTACCCACCTCATGCGCGGCACGTTATCCTCCTGCAGCATGACCATGGAGCCCTCGGACAGCTTACCTTGAGGCCTGAACCTTCTGACAGAAGGCGGCAGGGTCCTGACATACTCCTTGTACCAGACAGACCAAAATCTAGCCAGACGCTTCTCACACACACGAGCTCTCTCAGTCAGCGCCTTCGCATTCACACAGGCAGGGTCCTCCACCACCCGCGAGGAGAACCCGGTCCCTCTGCCCGTCAGAAAGTGCGCCGGGGTGATCGGGGGGCTCGAGTCCAGTCCATCACCAACAAACGTCAATGGACGGGAGTTAACACAACACTCAACTTCTAACAACACAGTCTCCAGCTCATCCCGTGACAGACAGCGTGACCCAAGCGACTTGCGCAGGCCCACTTTCACGGAACGGATGAGCCGTTCCCACCATCCGCCCCACCACGGCGAATGCGGTACAATGAAGCGCCACTCAGGCGCCAGATGACTGTAGACACGCTGCAGCTGCTTATCAGCTCCCCTGAAAGTAGGTGCGTTGTCAGAGTACATGATCCTTGGAAGACCGCGCCTGGCTGAAAAACGCCTGAGTGCTAGCATGAATGCCGGTAACGACAGGGCGTCAGTCATTTCAAGGTGAACGGCACGCGTGACAGCACACGTGAACAGGCACACGTAAAACTTCTTCCGTGGAAAATCGACGCTGAACAGGGGACCACAAAAATCAACACCAGTCACTGTGAATGGAGGGGACTGAGTCACTCTGCAGCCCGGCAGAGGCGCCGCCTCCTCGTTGAACGGTCGAGAATCGTGACGAAGGCAGCTGACACAGCCGCGCTTCACACCCTTGGCGATGCAGCGCAAGCCCAAGATCCAATACGCTCCTCTGAGCGAAGTCATCATCGTTGAGACACCCGCATGTTTCAGAAGAACATGCTGCTCTCTTGCCAAAAGCACAGCCAAGTGACATTTTGGCAGCAGAATCGGGTGCTTCTCCTCGTACATCAAGTCAGAGAACTCCAGCCGACCCCTCACTCTGAGAAGTCTATCGTCAGCGATAAACGGGTCGAGACCGATCAGGCGCGAGCCCTTCGGCAGCGACTGGCGCTTCTCCAACGCGCTCCATTCTCCAGAAAACGCCTTCCGCTGCTCCTGTCGCAGCAGATCGAGCCTCGCGTCAGCTAGCTCGAGAGTCGTCAGATCAGGAAGACTGCACCTGTCAGCTGGGACACGACAGTTCCGTATAAATCGACGGACCCAGCCCGCCACACGGACAGCCTTGGACATCTTACCCCAGCGTTCAACAGGAAATACTTCCTCAAACTGTGAAGTCACCAAACAGAAGGACTCTACTTCAACCATCTCCTCAGTAATAGGATCAGACACCTTCTCGTCAAACGAACACACAGCTCCGTCCGGTGTGCACAAGGTAGCACCGGGCGAGCACACGGCAGCGCCGGGTGAGCACACAGCCCAGCCAGGCGAGCACACGGGAGTGCGCACAGCCCCGCCAGGCGAGCACGCCGCACCGCCGGACGAGCACACAGCACCACCAGGCGAGCACACAGGCGTGCACACAGCACAGCCAGGCGAGCACACAGGCGTGCGCACGGTACCGCCTGGTGAGCACACAGGCGTGCTCACATCACCACCAGCTCGGTACACATCACCACCAAGGGAACACACGTCACCTCCACGGGGGCACACGTCACCTGCACGGGGGCACACGTCACCTCCGGGAGAACTCACAGAGACGCCGGACAAATCGTGCTGCACCAAGACAGACTGGTTCACGTCAGGTGTGTGACAGTGTGACAGCCAAGATGGCCCACTGAGCCACAGCTCTGACCTCACAAGCTCCTCAGCAGACACCCCGCGTGTGGTGAGGTCAGCCGGGTTACACTCCCCCGGACAGTGCTGCCACCGTTCAGGATCCGTCAGACTCTGAATTTCAGTCACTCTGTTGGCCACAAACTCCTTCCACTTACGTGGATCGGCCCTGATCCAACCCAGTGCTACCATTGAATCAGTCCAACAGAGGCACGGAGTACTGTGCGAGAGACGGAGCGCACTCCTCACGAACACGACCAGGCGGGCCGCGATCAGGCAGCCAAGAAGCTCTAGCCTAGGAAGACTAAGCTTCTTAACAGGCGCCACACGGCTCTTTGCCATCACCAGCGACACATGAAATGACCCATCCTCCAAAGGGACACGGATGTAAACGGTAGCTCCATACCCTTTGGGCGATGCATCGCTGAATGCCAGAAGCTCAGCGCCGTGGCCGTCCCTCCACGCGCTCGGCGAGTAGCGGCGCGGCACACGCAGCTCCTTCAGCACCGCCAGTCCACTCAGCCATCTGGCGAACGTCTCACGACAGGAATCCGGCAGCGGGTCATCCCAGTGCAACCCCAGCTGCCACAGCTCTTGGAAGAGAGATTTCAGAGTCATCACAAACGGGCTGATGAATCCAAGGGGATCGAACATGCGTGCGATAAAGCTGAGAACGACACGTTTTGTGGGAACAATGTCGTCAGGCAGTGACACGCCCTGGAATGCGAACAGGTCATCAGTCGGGTTCCAGATCACACCGAGCACCTTCACATGCTCACTCTCACCAAACACACCCTGCGCCTTGTCGAACAACAGGGGGCTGTTAGAGCGACACTTGGTCAGCATCATGTGGGCATCTCTCATCACACGCTGAGCCTCTGAGAGCAGCGCGGAGGCCTCACTCTCGCTGTTGGCACCCGACAACAGGTCATCCACATAGAAATTCTCACGCATCTCACGAATGGCAGGAGAATCAGGGTACAGAGACAAATGATGTCTAATCGTAGCATTTAGGAGGAAGGGAGAACTACTGACACCAAAAATGACCCTCTGTGACTTCATCACACGCACACGACCGTCACAGTCCCACAGGAAACGGTGGGTGTCTTGATCCTCGACACTCAGACCGACCTGCAGAAAGGCTTTCGTGATGTCAGCGGTCACTGCGAACGGCCAACGCCTGAAACGCAGGAGAACCTCCAGCAGGTTAGGCAGGAGGCAGGGTCCCACCTCCAAGCAATCGTTCAAAGAGACACCGTTAGGCCCACGAGCGGACGCATCGAACACTGGGCGGACTTTAGTAGAGGTGCTGCTCTCCTTGACTACCGGACGGTGGGGCAGGTAAAATGTAGGGTTCTGGGTTACCAGCTCCTCCACCGGCACCTCTGTAATCACCCCAGCCCCCTCCATCTCACACAGGGCACCATCATAACAGGCACGCAGGTCAGGGTCCCGCTCCAGCTTACGTCCCAGACCAGTCAGCCGCTTCTCAGCACTAGCTCGGTTATCCTGCAACAGGTCAACTGCACCCTCCTTCCATGGCAGTTTCACCACATAACGACCATCAGCTGATCGTTCCACAGTGGACTCGAACGTGGTCATCACATCAGACACATCACCAGTGGTCACATCCGTCACACCTACTCCCTCCAGTGACCACAGACGGCGCAGCGCCGACTCATGTATGT